TAAACAACTTACAGTACAAAGGTTTAAACAGTTCAACAGTAGATTTTAAATATTCATTCAAAATTCCGTCAAAACCTGAAGCTTTATTACACTTCAAACTTACAATGGATTCTCTAATTTCACATTTAGTAACATTTCCATTCAACCTATAACCACATCGTCAAACATCTCGTCAGAGTTACCTCCCTTATTCCACTCTTTAAAGTAGTTATATAATTCATTAATATTTTTGTCTAACTTCTGTTCCTTACAGGGGCCACCAATTTCATTCAAAATATGCCAAAAGGTTTTCGGCTCTAGGTTCGAAACTTTTCTTAGTTCCGTTTCCATTTTCTCTTGGTGAATTCTATATGACTTGTTTAAAGTTTTCCTATACTCTGTACCTGTATTTTTAAGAGTAATTTTATTTGCGAGAGTTTTATCGACGTTATACTGACGTTTTGCTTTATGAAAGTCTGTTCTTTAACTATGGCACTCACGTGTAAACCAAGGCTTATTAGCGTTTCTTCGTTTGTATGCTTTACTATACGTTTTCTTTTCTCATGCATATGTTTTCAGGGTGACACTCGAGCTCTCCTCTAGTCAATGATTTGTTATCTAGTTTTGTACCGAGGCAATAACGTCATCTACTGTTAATGGTTTAGTGGATGTGTTTCTTTATACCGGAAATGGTTTTCTCTCTCCTTTTCTTGACCTAGGGTAACGCCTCTTTTGTGTTATTAATCTCTATTATTTACTCGTCTACATGTCAGTATGGACAATGGTCAGCTCCGTTCTATATATTCGTTTTGGAGACCTATCTGGCAGTTGGATTACAAACCAGTAAAAGGACAACACTACGGATTACTGAGTGTGATTAGAAGTCTGTCATTTCATTGAAATTAACATAGTTAAACTTCCATCTATATCCTTTTTATGTACAATATATACGGACTTCATTGTCATCACTCTCTAAAGTGTCACTATATGGTGATCTAAAAACGTAAAAAAAAATGCTGTGAAGGATAATAACCATAACCACAAAGGAACTTTGAACTTCTTGTTTTGTGTCTAATCACACAATACACCAGACAAATCACAGCAAAACAGATTCATATGAAACATACATAATGTATATAACATTTATGTTGTATAATCTCTAGGCCGTGATATAATTTAGCATTTCATACATAAGTACTGTTAATAAACTCTCTAAATTGCCGAGCTAACATATGGAATGCACAATGACGTCAATTTGTCATTATGATATATTAATAACATCATATCAATAATTAAAAAAGACACAAACGTTGAAGTTATCTTTAGAATATTTTTAACTGATACACTGCTGTATTTTGGGATCGCTTGTTGCGTTCAGTCTCGGTACAGTTTTGTTCGGAAATCGTCATTTTACTTTTGATTTTAATAATGATACATATTGTAGATATATATTTCTTTCCGTGATATTAAATGTTTCCCCTATATAAAGGTTATAAATATTGAGAGAAGACCTAGATATATAATAACTCGTGTCTCATCTCTTGTTCTAGGTTGACAATAAATCTATTTATATCGATCACTGTCTAAAACCTCGGACAAATTTCTTATGGCGGTAGTAGGAGACAGGTGAAAATCACACACTTTACACGTCAATATCTCGGTATTGGGCCGGCCGAAGTTGATGCGGGTTTCAACCTTTCTGGTTTACGATTATTAACAATAATACTATTTTCATTTCTATTTTCCCTCAGGATGCACTTTAAACATAGAATTATGATTTAATGTTTTAAAAACTTAAAAGCTTTAAGAAATATGTTTTACCTGAACAGATTTCTTTTCCAATGCTGTCCTGTGATGATCCAATAATCAGTAAATGTAATAATTTCAATCTTGATACTCCACAATATCGACGAATGTCATAATCACTGAGCTGCATGTCAGGGAAATCCTTCTCTAACAACACACAGACATACTCTGTACAGCATACGCTGAGAGGTTCGCATTAGATCATTTCAATACGTGTTGCACTAGATAGCCTTAGTGACTATACTAGTAATAATAACAAGTTTTATAAACATCAAATGTATGCATATACACTGCCACAAGTGCATCATACTTATAATTACACCGACGGACCATATGTACCGTAATTTTGCTTTGCTTTCCCTAAAGGCATAGCTGACACTAATTGGATCACAGAAACTTTAATAGATGTGATGAGTACAAAGTGTTATCTAGTGTGTAACTGTCTATCTGTAGACCTGTTATGAGTGTACATGTATATGGTACATTGTGTTATCTAGTGTGTAACTGTCTGTCTGTAGACCTGTTAAGAGTGTACATGTATATGGTGGGTACATTGTGTTATCTAGTGTGTAACTATCTGTGGACCTGTTATGAGTGTACATGTAAATGGTACATGGTGTTATCTACTGTGTAATTGTCTATCTGTTGACCTGTTATGAGTGTACATGTATATGGTACATTGTGTTATCTAGTGTGTAACTGTCTGTCTGTAGACCTGTTAAGAGTGTACATGTATATCGTGGGTACATTGTGTTATCTAGTGTGTAACTATCTGTTGACCTGTTATGAGTGTACATGTATATGGTACATTGTGTTATCTAGTGTGTAACTATCTGTTGACCTGTTATGAGTGTACATGTATATGGTACAAAGTGCTATCTAGTGTGTAACTGTCTATCTGTTGGCCTGTTATGAGTGTACATGTATATGGTACATTGTGTTATCTAGTGTGTAACTGTCTATCTGTAGACCTGTTATGAGTGTACATGTATATGGTACAACGTGCTATCTAGTGTGTAACTGTCTATCTGTTGACCTGTTATGAGTGTACATGTATATGGTACATTGTGTTATCTAGTGTGTAACTGTCTATCTGTAGACCTGTTATGAGTGTACATGTATATGGTACAACGTGCTATCTAGTGTGTAACTGTCTATCTGTTGACCTGTTATGAGTGTACATGTATATGGTACATTGTGTTATCTAGTGTGTAACTGTCTATCTGTAGACCTGTTATGAGTGTACATGTATATGGTGGGTACATTGTGTTATCTAGTGTGTAACTATCTGTTGACCTGTTATGAGTGTACATGTATATGGTACAAAGTGTATCTAGTGTGTAACTGTCTATCTGTTGACCTGTTATATATATATATATGAGTGTACATGTATATGGTACATGGTGTTATCTACTGTGTAATTGTCTATCTGTTGACCTGTTATGAGTGTACATGTATATGGTGGGTACATGATGTTATCTAGTGTGTAATTGTCTATCTGTTGACCTGTTATGAGTGTACATGTATATGGTGGGTACATTGTGTTATCTAGTGTGTAACTATCTGTTGACCTGTTACGAGTGTACATGTATATGGTGGTATAATTTACCAGAGACTGTCTATAATTTTTTTTTCTTATTTTGTTTTTTTAGGCTAAACGTACTCAGTACGTACAGCCTATTGCGACAGCCTTTCAGACAAAATTTACCGATCCTGGCCCTCTCATTGGCTGATGCGTAAATAATGCCGCGATGTTTTAAATCGCTATTTTAAAAGCATCCACAATAAGTTTATTTTTTTAATAACAATACGATTACTATATATTTCAAAAAAGATGCACAGTGTGGTTGAACTATTGATAAATTTTGAACAATATATTTTACGGAATTTCCTCACGGACATCCCCGACCTGTGCTGTTGAAGAAGATCGAGCTGACGTGATTCTTATCGCCTGCTGTTTTTGTAGATAAAACGTTTGTGCTTCGTAGGCAAGGTACAATTGGTGCTCATGATTTATGAATAATATATTTTTAATACTGTACTGATCATGATGTTGACTTTGTTATAACATATATTTTTCGTCTTTTAGTTTTATTTGATGAAGGTTGATTGTGCTGATTTCTCAGGGTTTGTTAATGTGTATCAAAGTTCCTTGAAATGAAAATATTCCTTCAAACAAAACGCGTATAAAAAACAAAATATCCATGTCTATAATTATTAATTAACTAAAACGAAATATTTCCATAACATGCGTGCAGAGCCGTATATATCACGTGATATATACGTCTCTGATGCGTGTCATGGTGACATTATCTAATGCATTAGAGATCAGAAATAGTAGTAGCTATAGTGAAAATATTGTAAATTTTATGTATATATGGAAGTCTAGTTTAATCTCATAGAACTACGTCTTTATAGATATAATTACTGGAATAAAAACCTAACCATGATACTTCAAGGAAGATGGGCATATAAATACATTTAATGTAATTATTTACACTTTTATCTATCTGAAATGCTGTGTACACCTTATCTACTTTCCTCAACTACAAATTTAATTATAATAAGTAAGGACTATTACTTTGCAATACATTTAAAATAGAGAAGTAGGTATAAAGTCCTTTCGATTTGTTTAGATCCTCATATTGATAGGATAGTAATTGCAACATCTTGGGGATTTCAAAGGTTTTATTTAGTCAACTTCATCATAGAGCTTTTTATCATTTGGCTTGTTGGCGATGAATATATGGTTGTGTTTATTTTGTTTTGTTTTGTTTGTTTTTTTGTTTTTTTTTTTTGTTTTTTTTTTTTTTTGTTTTTTTTTTTTGTTTTTTTACCTATTTTGATTTGTTCACATTATTGTCGTCTAATTTGAAATAAGAATTAAAGAAGATATAAAATCGCTTAAAAGTAAGAAAAATAGCCTCTGGTTCTCTTATTTTAGTAGTTTTTGCATTCCAAAGTGTAGGAGTATGGTGAAAGTAATATAGCTTAGCGGTTATTTGTGAACATTTTCAATACGTTTAGCCTTTCAGTACTTTCAGTACTTTGATTTTAAATGCATTCGCCAGGAGCAAATACGTGTCGTCATTGCCCGGTAGTGTACCGGAGGAGTTATTTCCCTTGTATCATACCTGTTTGTATCAAAGCGAGGCTGTCAAAACATGGAGGACGTTCGAACCAGTAACAGTCGATAGCGTTATTAGTTACCAACAATGAAGAAGTTTTTCAAAAAGATAACAAAAAACCCTGGCAAAGATCCTGCTCCTCCAGGGTCTCCACGTTTAGGTGCTGGTGCCCAACCGATACCAGAGGTTGGATATGATATTCGTGATAAGGATTTACCAAAATTACACAAGGCAGCATGGACGGGGGACATAGCGAAAGTGAAGCAATATGTGAAAAAAGATTGCAGTGCTCTTGATAAAGAAAACAGGTATGAGTTATTTACTATTTAGAATTTAGAAATGCACGTAGCAATGAAGTTATCCGATTAGATTCTGTGGAATTACAACAATGCAAAATTAGTCTGACACAGAATGATAACTCCCCAGTATTCAATCAAACATGACCTGACAGGTATGCTCATATGGGTGCCCATATGTTTTAGTTTACAAATTTTACTCGCGCATGCGGGATATTTTTATCATAAATAAGTTGTTTACAGTATTTGTGATTTGATAAATATTGCATTAGAAATGACATTATTTTTGAAATGTAAACCCAGTGCCATCCCTCACATGTCGGTCATCCATGACTGAGTAAAGATTGATCAACATTTTTTGCTTACCAGGTACTTTGCTGGTTACAATACCGTTAATGTTTTACCGTCAAGTGTGAAAAGAATACAACAATAAATTATGGCAATGACAAATAATTGATTATGATACTGGAATGTAAGACTGTAATTGTAGTAGGGCATAGCAGTACATTTATGTAGGATTGAATTCTGATAAACATGCAGCATTGCACATGTATAATTAACAATTTACAAATTAATACTTATTCAAGTATATATAATTACTTCAAAAGTTTCTGATATTGTTTGGACTATAGTTACTGTAGCTAATCACATGTATCAACCTTATGATGAAATACCTCAGTGATGATTTTGTTCTGGTACTCATCCATCCTCATCAACCATTATGTTACATATAACTGTTTCCCCCAAAGATCAAACACATTACCAATAAATCTAAACATTTTTTTTCCACATCAGTGCTTGGTAAATTAAAACTTGGGAATGCATATATCTTCCAATATTTCTATGCCATTCCTCTAGGAAGTGAGTAATTTACTGTATTATAATAGCATCATTTATTGATTTAACTTGATTATTGTTCAGTTATTGTGAATCATAAATATCAGCACTCATGCATGTATATGATGATATAAATGTAAATGTGAGTTTTTCAGGCCAAAAACTGACAAAAGTACTGTGTACCAAACTGTAAAAATAACATAAATGCATATCAGTCTTTTTAATAAAAATTTGGCCACACAACAGGTCCTGTTTTTTAAATGATTAATATTTGTCTTCCACTATGAAATTCATTTTCAAACCTCGACATCAATCACACAGACTTTGATTAAGTCATTTTAGCAATACATTTGTTTAATCCTATATGGATCTCAACAAACAAGACTTGTTGGATGTGTATTACTGTAAAAAAAAGAAGAGCAATACTGACAATGTGCACACAATTCTGTCAAATTCCATGCTAATACATGCTCGTATAAAGCAATGTTATATATTGGCTAATAACTATATAGGATCTGTTTAGTGCCTACAGAAGAGGGATCCAAAGATCTGAACCATGGTTTGTCCTGATGCATATACACATGTTCAGAGAAATCAGTCATGATATTTCAAGATAAATGTTCTAATGGAATTATAATGGACTCTACAAGAGTTTCTTGTCAGCTGTCTAATATCAGGAATTCATGTAAATACAATGAGAAAGGAAGGTTATCAAATTCATTCCAAACCATGCAAATGTTCAAGTAGTTGGAGTATTTGTGAATTGGTGTTTAGCAGTATCAACACTCGACAGGTGATTTAAATACCCTATTGAGGAGTTCTGCAGTATGATAGACTTGGTATAGTGGTTTCATTAACTTGCTTGTAATACACCATTACTCTGACATACGACTGGGAGTGTATAGCACCCGATAAATCTCAAAATGGTATTCAAAGCATTTACTGAAATGTTTCATATTGGTGTTAGATTAAATACTTGACCGAGTTGTATTATCTATGTATGTGGAACCAGGTGTAATGGAATTTGAAGCCCTGTAGCCTGTTAAGTTTGTGTGTGTGTATGTACACACCTAGCTGATCAAATTAAATGCACAAAGACTATTGATAATCAAATAGGTGTTGGTATGCAGCCATAATTTGTCTCTCTGTCCATTATACTAGATAGCATTGTATTTGCTTATTTTTGTTTGTATTTTGGGGTTTGTGTTCTAAAATTAAATTCAAAAGAAAAACAAAACTGTAACTTGAGTGTAAAGGTTGTGTAGAATTAGCATAATAATTAAGACTAGAATCGTGGTTAGAAAGAAACATGCATAAACCATAGATATTTTCCTATAGATCTTTGTTTCTTAAGAAAAAACTATTATGCCAGCCATTTTTATTGAATTCAAAGTCTTTAGTTTAGTTCCTGTTTGAAATCAATATAATACTACTGTAATTTTAGCCCACTATCAGCCTGCTGGTGGACTAAACCAATCAGCTTATGTTCTTAATCCGTTGTCTGTCCACAAATGATTCTTGAGAAGTAGCAGATGAATCTTTATCAAATTTCATACATTTACATTTTCTTTGGTCCCTCTGATTGTGCTCTTGATCCAACAATGGTGAGCGCCAAGATTCCTCTGGGATGTAGGCTACTTGTACAATTTCTGAAGTTTAAGTGGATAATCATAAAACTTACATGATACATGTACATCCTTTTTTTTTTGTATTTTGAGAGCAATTTGAATTGGAATGACTGTATGGTTGTTTGAAAGATCAAGAAAACCATGTCCTGTATTCCAGTGATGTTCAGTATACACAGAGATTGTTTTATCAAGCTTAAGGTTTCATTTAACCAAAACAGAACATTTCAGCAAAAAACGATTTCCTGTTATATGCGTTTTGTTACAAAGGCAAACACAGCTTAAACATGATTATTTCCAGTATCGTTACTGATAGAAAGTGTAAGTTTGTATTATAAAAAGTGTCAAATTTAAGTTTTATTTGTTTGTATTTCCAGGACTGCTCTCCATTTGGCATGTGCACAGGGTCACTCAAGTGTGGTACAGGAGCTACTGGAATGGCATGCCAAGACCAATGTTGGTGACAATGACAGTAAAACTCCACTCATCAAGGTATTGTTGCTTTCCTGGTCTGCCCCTGTTGATGACGACATTACAGTCCTCTTAGATACTTAAGCTTGTTTAAATCATTTATAACCAATACCTCCATTTGTCTTTGTTTTAGTTGTCTTATCTTCATCTTACCCACTTACAAACTAAATGGAAGCATGCTGTTAGATATTTTGTGACAGGTACTGTTGTAACAGCCTGTTTCCTCTTCCTTTTTGGTTTCTAACTTGGACTTGTTGCTAATTCTGTGGCTGTATCATGATTGATTTGTTACAGGTTATACGTCCACTTTAGGCAAATGACAATTCAAGTTATTTAATGAGTTTGATAAATTCCATATCACATCAGCATTTTTATAATAAAAATTAATATTTCTGAAAAAAACACGCAAAAACTGTCAAATTGGTTACCTTTTAATTTATCTCAAAGTGGACAGCTCAGATTTTACTGTCGGGACATTCATGTAGCATCATTTGAGATGTAAGTTATTTTTGACATCACAATAGTATTATTACACGCACCTTAAGAAGTGTATGACATTGCATTATGACATGATACAACAGGCCAGTTATTTGGTAAACATGACAATATACTTATCAATATATATTTTTTTTAAATCAATACTAGCATCTTTTGTTATCAATAGATAATACCTGTACATCATGTTTAGAAGAAACTCTTTTTCATGCTTGCTAATTGTTAAGATAAAGAATTGTATCTTGACTGAAACAGCCTAAGATCTATCAAACTCACAAGTAACATCTACCTACTAATTATTTCTCATAGTTACCTTGGTACCACAATGTTCTCCCACTGCATGTGTGATATACAGATCAATAGGTCTTCCCACCCAAGCCATCTGTTGGCCACACACAAAATTGCTTTCGTATCATTTTCTTAATTAATATTGATCTTTGTCAAGGCAAAAAGACCTACAGTCCTATGCTCTCACTGCTAGCGGGGACTCTTACCAAGATATTACTTTCCGAGTTCCAGAGATATTTCCAGTTGGTGTGGTATTGTACATATGTAGAATAATAAAATGTCTCAACTCATGAAATTATAAAATTTCATTAATCTCAAGGAAACAAGCCAAGTGATTAAAATCTGAAAATTACCTGCATAAGACAACATGGTAATTTGCAATGCTTTAAATCCAGCAACAAAGTATTTATGACCAAGTTAAAAAACATAACATTTTGATTAAGTATGTTGTTAGGGCTTTTCTTAAATTGAAATCTTATCAGATAACACTTATGGTTTTTATTAATTTCTATATATAACAAGTTTTCATAATAACAGTTCTCAGTCACTCTGCTGTCTGGTATCTAGGACAAATGCTAAGTTGCCTATAGTCGTGCATGCTCTCACAAAAGCTTCTTATTGATCATTTTAATGCAAATCAAGATAACAAATATTGTTTTGTACTATAATCATTTAAAAAAAAATTGTGAAGCAATTACTTTGAAGTAAGTATATAAAAGTTTGTGGAACGTACAAAAAATATTGTAAAAGGAAATATATGATGTGAAAATTGTATTGGCAAAAAGTGGTATGCATGAGATTATATTTTTGCATTCAAAATTTTATCGAAATGCAATGCTGATTCAAAGCCATTACTACCTTCACTATCAAATACTACTCATTTATATTTTTTTGTGAGAAATCTTCATTAATTTGGATGCTTTGACTGTAATATCTCTGTCACATCACTATTCAGTACCAAAATGCCTGCATGAGAAAAGACTGAAAATCCTACTACATATAGGTCCAAATCTTGCATTTTTCATGCAATTTAAGGTAGGCTTTTTATGGTTCAAACTATATAAGATTCCTCTGCTGTCCATTGTCCTGTTACATATGAACTGGCCAGGTATCACGAGGAGTCCTACCATATCTTCCTTTGTCAAAATAGTCCATGGTATTTAATAGAAATCAAACCTATCACGCCCATGCTACTTTATTGGGAAATTGTTGGCAGACTAATATTCCTAATAATCTATTGAGTAACAAGCATTTAATGTTGATGCTGGTTTAGAAAACATGAGAGTTGTAAGATTAAGTTCTCAGAACTGGAAATAAATGCACAAAAATCTAGCTTAAAATTATAAATCAGAATAAGATATCACAGTTGATAATTGATATTTAATCTCAAAATCATGGTACTAATGCCTTTGATGTATATTTACATCATCATCACCCATTGTCATATTAATTTCAATTACAAATACCTGATGGATGTATTCCATCGCAAATGTTGCAAGTAAATCAGATTAAAGTAGAAGCTATATGGTACATGTTTGTTGAGGAAGTATTGACATACATACACACTGAAACTTAAATTTATGATTTTGATATATTCAAATCCATTTATATGTGTTCTTTGTAAGGTGTCCCTGGGAAGGGAGGTGTACCTGGGAAGTAAGGTGTACCTGGGAAGGAAGGTGTACCTGGGAAGTAAGGTGTCCCTGGGAAGTAAGGTGTCCCTGGGAAGGGAGGCATGGGCTACTCAATCTTCTGACTGTGTAATTATTTGATGTTGACTTGTGTATCTTATCATAGTGTAGTACACAGATGTTTTAGACTGTAGGTTGTGTTAACTCCTTGTTATTAAAACATGAGGTATTGAAAATAAAAAAAAAACACTTCAGATATATAGAAAGTCCAAAGAATTCTGACATTCTGTCAACTTTTATATTGTCTGGAAAAAAAAATGACACTGTATTTAAAAGTGAATAGAACATATTGAGCCAGTCTGCAGAAAAAAACAAGCATAGACTAATTGAATTATGGTACATTTCTTGATAGCAGTATCAAATCACAATGTCATTTAAGACTAAACGTAACATTACAGTTTCAGCCTATGGTCAGGGCCTCTGGAAGTAAACATAACATTACAGTTTCAGCCTATGGTCAGGGCCTCTGGAAGTAAACGTAACATTACAGTTTCAGCCTATGGTCAGGGCCTCTGGAAGTAAACGTAACATTACAGTTTCAGCCTATGGTCACCGCCTCTGGAAGTAAACGTAACATTACAGTTTCAGCCTATGGTCAGGGCCTCTGGAAGTAAACGTAACATTACAGTTTCAGCCTATGGTCACGGCCTCTGGAAGTAAACGTAACATTACAGTTTCAGCCTATGGTCAGGGCCTCTGGAAGTAAACGTAACATTACAGTTTCAGCCTATGGTCAGGGCCTCTGGAAGTAAACGTAACATTACAGTTTCAGCCTATGGTCACAGCCTCTGGAAGTAAACGTAACATTACAGTTTCAGCCTATGGTCAGGGCCTCTGGAAGTAAACGTAACATTACAGTTTCAGGTCACAGCCTCTGGAAGTAAACGTAACATTACAGTTTCAGCCTATGGTCACAGCCTCTGGAAGTAAACGTAACATTACAGTTTCAGCCTATGGTCAGGGCCTCTGGAAGTAAACGTAACATTACAGTTTCAGCCTATGGTCAGGGCCTCTGGAAGTAAACGTAACATTACAGTTTCAGCCTATGGTCAGGGCCTCTGGAAGTAAACGTAACATTACAGTTTCAGCCTATGGTCAGGGCCTCTGGAAGTAAACGTAACATTACAGTTTCAGCCTATGGTCAGGGCCTCTGGAAGTAAACGTAACATTACAGTTTCAGCCTATGGTCAGGGCCTCTGGAAGTAAACGTAACATTACAGTTTCAGCCTATGGTCACAGCCTCTGGAAGTAAACGTAACATTACAGTTTCAGCCTATGTTCAGGGCCTCTGGAAGTAAACGTAACATTACAGTTTCAGCCTATGGTCACGGCCTCTGGAAGTAAACGTAACATTACAGTTTCAGCCTATGGTCAGGGCCTCTGGAAGTAAACGTAACATTACAGTTTCAGCCTATGTTCAGGGCCTCTGGAAGTAAACGTAACATTACAGTTTCAGCCTATGTTCAGGGCCTCTGGAAGTAAACATAACATTACAGTTTCAGCCTATGGTCACGGCCTCTGGAAGTAAACGTAACATTACAGTTTCAGCCTATGGTCAGGGCCTCTGGAAGTAAACGTAACATTACAGTTTCAGCCTATGGTCAGGGCCTCTGGAAGTAAACGTAACATTACAGTTTCAGCCTATGGTCACAGCCTCTGGAAGTAAACGTAACATTACAGTTTCAGCCTATGTTCAGGGCCTCTGGAAGTAAACGTAACATTACAGTTTCAGCCTATGGTCACGGCCTCTGGAAGTAAACGTAACATTACAGTTTCAGCCTATGGTCAGGGCCTCTGGAAGTAAACGTAACATTACAGTTTCAGCCTATGTTCAGGGCCTCTGGAAGTAAACGTAACATTACAGTTTCAGCCTATGGTCAGGGCCTCTGGAAGTAAACGTAACATTACAGTTTCAGCCTATGGTCACGGCCTCTGGAAGTAAACGTAACATTACAGTTTCAGCCTATGGTCAGGGCCTCTGGAAGTAAACGTAACATTACAGTTTCAGCCTATGGTCACGGCCTCTGGAAGTAAACGTAACATTACAGTTTCAGCCTATGGTCAGGGCCTCTGGAAGTAAACGTAACATTACAGTTTCAGCCTATGGTCAGGGCCTCTGGAAGTAAACGTAACATTACAGTTTCAGCCTATGGTCACGGCCTCTGGAAGTAAACCTCTGGAAGTAAACGTAACATTACAGTTTCAGCCTATGGTCAGGGCCTCTGGAAGTAAACGTAACATTACAGTTTCAGCCTATGGTCAGGGCCTCTGGAAGTAAACGTAACATTACAGTTTCAGCCTATGGTCAGGGCCTCTGGAAGTAAACGTAACATTACAGTTTCAGCCTATGGTCACAGCCTCTGGAAGTAAACGTAACATTACAGTTTCAGCCTATGTTCAGGGCCTCTGGAAGTAAACGTAACATTACAGTTTCAGCCTATGGTCACAGCCTCTGGAAGTAAACGTAACATTACAGTTTCAGCCTATGTTCAGGGCCACTGGAAGTAAACGTAACATTACAGTTTCAGCCTATGTTCAGGGCCTCTGGAAGTAAACGTAACATTACAGTTTCAGCCTATGGTCAGGGCCTCTGGAAGTAAACGTAACATTACAGTTTCAGCCTATGGTCACAGCCTCTGGAAGTAAACGTAACATTACAGTTTCAGCCTATGGTCAGGGCCTCTGGAAGTAAACGTAACATTACAGTTTCAGCCTATGGTCACAGCCTCTGGAAGTAAACGTAACATTACAGTTTCAGCCTATGGTCACAGCCTCTGGAAGTAAACGTAACATTACAGTTTCAGCCTATGGTCAGGGCCTCTGGAAGTAAACGTAACATTACAGTTTCAGCCTATGGTCACAGCCTCTGGAAGTAAATGTAACATTACAGTTTCAGCCTATGGTCAGGGCCTCTGGAAGTAAACGTAACATTACAGTTTCAGCCTATGGTCACAGCCTCTGGAAGTAAATGTAACATTACAGTTTCAGCCTATGGTCACAGCCTCTGGAAGTAAATGTAACATTACAGTTTCAGCCTATGGTCACAGCCTCTGGAAGTAAATGTAACATTACAGTTTCAGCCTATGGTCAGGGCCTCTGGAAGTAAACGTAACATTACAGTTTCAGCCTATGGTCAGGGCCTCTGGAAGTAAACGTAACATTACAGTTTCAGCCTATGGTCAGGGCCTCTGGAAGTAAACGTAACATTACAGTTTCAGCCTATGGTCAGGGCCTCTGGAAGTAAACGTAACATTACAGTTTCAGCCTATGGTCACAGCCTCTGGAAGTAAACGTAACATTACAGTTTCAGCCTATGGTCAGGGCCTCTGGAAGTAAACGTAACATTACAGTTTCAGCCTATGGTCACAGCCTCTGGAAGGAACTGTTACTACTAATCTTACTTTTCTCTTTGTTGAATTTTTTGAAACAGATTATTAGTGACCCTTGGTGGCAGTTGTATGCTGTAAACAATGCCAATATCTTTCAAAAGGTGTCATACATGTATACTGTTGCTATGAGACAATGTAGTATTATACTAGAACCTTACAAAATTGACAGACTAGGTATTCATGAAATTATTCAGATTGAAAATCGTGTCAACCTTAAACTAGCATTGCCCTTGTTTGCAGAGAATTCTCTTGGGTGTGCCAATATGGCAGAATGCACAGAATTATGGGATCATTGACATCTATTTTTAGCGATCTTTGTAAATGTCAGCAATAAGTGATAATCAGCGACAGTAAGTGTGATAAAGACTCTTCAGAAAATGTATTTGAAAATAATGAATACAGTTAGCGACATCATAGATATGATCACAATACACCTTATTGCTAAATTTCATGTTGATATTTGTTAGATTGAATGAGTAATGGAGGGTTGAATTTTCTTACAGTTTCTTAAAATACTAAATAAAGTTATATGAAAAGATAGAAATATGATTATAATGCATTCATATACAAAGTTTCAGTTTCATACATGAAAAATGATCAAGTTATAACGATTTTACTCTAGTGAGAATTTTATACAAATACCATGGGAAATCATAATGCATCTTCAGACACTATTGCCTAAATACTGAAGACATCAAAAAACATATTTTTATATGATTATAATACATCAGTGTACCAAGTTTCATGCTGATGATTTTAAGATTAGTTGATAAATTTTCCTCAATGGCTGACGCTACACTGCAGAAGGACTTAGGGTACCAGTTATAGTATTTGACCAGAAGAAATGTTAGATTGAAGAATAATCAAGTTTGCTCAGATGAATGACCTTGACCCACTTTCAAGGTAACATGGGTCAGATTATTGAATGTTTTTCCCAATTTGTAAATACAGTGTGCAGTGCATCATGTCTGTCAGTCTGGCCTCTACATTTTCCATTTTAATTACTTCTTCTCTGTAACCAGCAGGTATGTGAAAAGAAATGACCTTGAACCATATTCAGTTTACCTTTAATTCAGGTCATAACTGCTGCTCTTTAGAGCCGAGTGTTAGAAGCTTTATTAAGAAAATCTTACCAGAATCAAATGAACATGAAAAACTACAGGTCAATGCCATCAAGTCAAAAGCGGAGGTCAAATTTTGAATATTTTAGTAAATATTTTGCTATGACATATTGAAGCAAAGTTGGCCAGAATGAAATGAGAAGTAGTTTGACAACAGGCTAAGGCCACAATTTTAATACTTTAGTAGAAAATGTTTTGTTATGATATTATGAAGAAAATCGACTAAATTCTAATGAGAAGTCATCTGACTACAGGTCACATTTGTAAAGTCAATATCATATTAGATTTCTATGAAAATTTCAAATTAAGTTTCTTGTCTAAAACTACCATAATAACACAACACATATGTGACTTTCATGATGTTTTTGAAAAGTAGTGACTTAGACCAATAGTCTTCATCACAGAGTTTGATTAACTTCATTAAGATACTCAAATAACTGCTGAAGATTTGTAATTAAAAAGGTTTGAAATATTGATATTTCACTTATTATTTGTACAATGACAAAGTAGGCATTTAGTTTACAAAGACTGAGAAAAGGGCTTTAACCAGTATTTAAGGTAACAAGTGAAATTTGCTATAACACTCTAATGACATCATTTCATTTTTTAACCTTAATTGTCATTATTTATGTATTCTTATGTGATAAAAGTCTTACTTGTTGTGGTGAAATATCTGCTGTACTTTTTTTATATTTTCTCCCTTCTGTTCAGAGTCCCTGTTTGTTTGTTTGCTTTCTTTCCTTACAAAGTATGGTTATTTTTTGTCCCCCTGTAAGACCGACAAAGTCCCTGATAATTGTTTTTTTCATGTGCACTGACAAAGTCTCTGATTATTGTTTGTCCCCAAGTGTGCTGACAAAATCTCTGATTATTGTTTGTCCCCAAGTGTGCTGACAAAATCTCTGATTATTGTTTGTCCCCAAGTGTGCTGACAAATTTACTGGTTAGTCTTTGTTGTCATGTGCACTGACAAAGTATCTGATTATTGTTTGACTCAAATATAATTCTAGTTTACTTTTGTTTTTTCTGGTAAATTCTCATTAAACCCCACACTTTTTTCAGAAAATTCTGTAAGTAATTAGTAAACTGCACGGAGCACACTTACATGATCTGTCAAATATTTTCCCTGAGAAAATTCTCCGTTGATGATTTACCTCCAGATGAATTGCCCCACAAATTGTTTGTCAGTTTCCTGACAGAGCCAGTTAACATTTATATTTACTTAACTTAAAGAACTAACAAGAATTATTTGTGTTTGCTGGTAATAAAGGTCAATATTATGTTTGTTTATAGGCAGTGGAATGTAACCGAGAGGAATGTGTGATGCTGCTGCTGGAGCATCGTGGAGACGTAGATGCAACAGACCGCGATGGTGACACTAGCCTCCACATCGCTGTCCGTTATGGCTACACCAATATTGTCAAAGTCCTCCTCCGCAATGGTGCCACTATCGACAAAAAGAACAAGGTTAAAGGCTTTACATCAGAATTTAAGTTTCAACAGAGAGTTGCAATATATATTAGCCTACTTAACAGTGTTTCAAATAGGATACCAATTAAAGTGCTAGACATATTAAGTTACCAAACAGAATATCTCATTTGTAACATAAATATGATTTCACAGAAGTCTTCAAATGTGTTTATGTTTTGTCCATAGGAGGGCTGTACACCTCTACATCTTGCATGTAAGGGCAAGAAACCAGAGATTATAAGAATACTGTTGTTTGACAACAAAGCCTCTGTGGATGTGTCTGATGTCAATGGCAGGTAAGTATTATAACACCACAGGTCCCTCCCTTAGTACTCCATTCTGTATTATAACACCACAGGTCCCTCCCTTAGTACTCCATTCTGTATTATAACACCACAGGTCCCTCCCTTAGTACTCCATTCTGTATCATAACACCACAGGTCCCTCCCTTAGTACTCCATTCTGTATTATAACACCACAGGTCCCTCCCTTAGTACTCCATTCTGTATTATAACACCACAGGTCCCTCCCTTAGTACTCCATTCTGTATTATAACACCACAGGTCCCTCCCTTAGTACTCCATTCTGTATTATAACACCACAGGTCCCTCCCTTAGTACTCCATTCTGTATTATAACACCACAGGTCCCTCCCTTAGTACTCCATTCTGTATTATAACACCACAGGTCCCTCCCTTAGTACTCCATTCTGTATTATAACACCACAGGTCCCTCCCTTAGTACTCCATTCTGTATTATAACACCACAGGTCCCTCCCTTAGTACTCCATTCTGTAACACCACAGGTCCCTCCCTTAGTACTCCATTCTGTATTATAACACCACAGGTTCTTCCCTTAGTACTCCATTCTGTATTATAACACCACAGGTCCCTCCCTTAGTACTCCATTCTGTATTATAACACCACAGGTCTCTCCCTTCCATTCTGTACTCCATTCTGTATTATTCTGTAACACCACAGGTCCCTCCCTTAGTACTCCATTCTGTATTATAACACCACAGGTCCCTCCCTTAGTACTCCATTCTGTATTATAACACCACAGGTCCCTCCCTTAGTACTCCATTCTGTATTATAACACCACAGGTCCCTCCCTTAGTACTCCATTCTGTATTATAACACCACAGGTCCCTCCCTTAGTACTCCATTCTGCAACACCACAGGTCCCTCCCTTAGTACTCCATTCTGTATTATAACACCACAGGTCCCTCCCTTAGTACTCCATTCTGTATTATAACACCACAGGTCCCTCCCTTAGTACTCCATTCTGTAACACCATCATAGACCTTGGATCAAAATGCTGTTGACCTCCAGAACACAATAAATCTCTCCCTATGATATTCTTCTTCTGTAAACATGCTGTTCTGGTTGCCCTAATGTCCCTCATAATTCAGAAGCTGACATGGAAAATAAGTCTTTACACAGAAAATTTGATAAAATCCACAATATAAGGTAATAAAAGATAAATGCCGTCAGACTTACTTCAAAATGATTTATTTCAAAGTATTCTGTTGGTCACGGCCAAATTTCACACTTAACATTTAAATTCACTAAAATTGAATATTCTGATGATGCTGACTTCGATTAAATGAAGTTGGACTATATATGATTTCTTTACAAGGATTCTGATCATTACAGAAAACCCTAAAGATGTTCATGGTGATTTTACTGACAGTCTGTCATTGTCATCATCCCAACAAAGTAAAATTGATATATTTCAAGACCTTTACATTTGTGACACCTTTTGTTATTTACCTGTGATGACAATGTTTAACAGGACTCCCCTAATGCTGGCCAGCTATGATGGATCAGTGACCGCTGTCCAGCTCCTTCTCCAGTGTCATGCTGACACAATGATCAAGGACACCAAAGGTTTGTCTTTTATTGCTGTACCCACTGTAGCAGTAATATCAACCTATTTTACAATACAATTGTAGTTATTGTGCTATATTTATCTGCAAATAAGCACCCTTTATTATTTTTGCAGAATCATCAATATTAAATAAGCCTAAAGCACAAATGAACCTCAAACTTTAATACTAAGCTTTTACACTAGGAGAGAAAGCTTATTTGAGCTTTTTACACTAGGAGAGAAAGCTTATTTGAGCTTTTTACACTAGGAGGGAAAGCTTATTTGAGCTTTTTACACTAGGAGAGAAAGCTTATTTGAGCTTTTTACACTAGGAGAGAAAGCTTATTTGAGGAAAAATACAATATCTGATTGTAGTGCCGTGTTAAGTATCATTTGTCAATGTTATTTGCATACAGTTGTTGATATTGAGATTTTAAAACTTTGTGATCAGTCAACCATCTGATTTCTAATTCACCCCAGGAAAAGGAGTTGAGAAATACTATTAGATTGTATTGTAGTTAAGTATCTATGGAATTACCAGACTGTTCTAATTCATAACTCTTTGTCAGATCAGTTGATTAATTACACTGAATTGATTCTGATTGTAAAATCTTTCAAAACAAATACAAAATACCTGCATATGTGATTTGTAACCTGGCAGGCTTTACAGCAGAAGACATAGCAATGATGACAGCCCAACATGGATGTTCTCAGTTGATCCGTGACCACAACATGAAGCTACGTCGGTCTGTAAGTGGAGCAAGCAGTACAAATACTACCCCACGTTCATCTATGGGCATACCCACAAGTGCCACAGCCACACCACGGGACAACACCATCACTCCGGAGTTTGGATTACCCATACAACAACAATCAGATGGTAGGTATGGTAACATTGGTTAAAATGGCTTTTCTGCAACATTTTATTTTCGAAGAATTTTGAAGAAAAAAAAATCAAAATGAATAAATCTGCTTTAAGAGGTAAACATGCAGTATAGCAGGATCAATATGCTTTGTGTAATGGTCAGGAATCGGTAGAGTGTCTATTAGTGCTGGTAGTTCATTAACTATTAATACAAAGTTAGTGTCTGATCATCCCAGCACACATAATCTGGGGCTGTGTTACATCTCCGTACACATACTACAGACAAGAACTAGGTGGTGTGGTCACTCAGATTTACACTGGCAAGGGGTCACTCAGATGTGAACTTGGTGGTGTGGTCACTCAGATTTACACTGGTAACAGGTCACTCAGATGTGAACTAGGTGGTTTGGTCTCTGATCTATACTAGTAAGGAGTCACTGAAATGTGATTTAGGTTCTGTTGGAATTGTCACAAAAAATAAATACTGGTATTGCCAGTTATGAATGAACGCGTAGGATGTCACTCTGATGTGTACAGGTAGGAAGTCACTCAAATGTGTACAAGTAGGAAGTCACTCAGATGTGTACAAATAGAAAGTCACTCAGATGTGTACTGGTAGGAAGTCACTCAGATGTGTACAGGTAGAAAGTCACTCAGTTGAAGTCACTCAGATGTGTACAGGTAGAAAGTCACTCAGATGTGTACAGGTAGAAAGTCACTTAGATGTGTACAGGTAGAAAGTCACTCAGATGTGTACAGGTAGAAAGTCACTTAGATGTGTACAGGTAGAAAGTCACTTAGATGTGTACAGGTAGAAAGTCACTCAGATGTGTACAGGTAAAAAGTCACTCAGATGTGTACAGGTAGGAAGTCACTCAGATGTGTACAAGTAGAAAGTCACTCTGATGTGAACAGGTAGGAAGTCACTCAGATGTGTACAGGTAGGAAGTCACTCAGATGTGTACAGGTAGAAAGTCACTCTGATGTGAACAGGTAGGAAGTCACTCAGATGTGTACAGGTAGGAAGTCTGTCAACAGTTAGTGTTTTACTGTAATGTGAAAAGGTAAATCTTTCATGGTCAAATGTGAACAGGTAGGAAGTCATATGTGAACTGGGGAATATGATCACCAAGAATTAACCTGTAATGTTGCTTTGATAATATTTGGTGTTAGCTTTAGTTAGTGGTCACCTGGTTGTGAGCAAAGTAAAATTAATGTTTTAACTGGGATAGGAACTGGTGGTTACCTTGTGATATTAAATAGTAAAGATAGTGACATTATATACTTTTATTTACCACTAACTGGTCAGAGCCATTGCATCAATGCAGGCACATTGTGTAAGATTGGAGGTATAATCTTCTACTCATGTTGTACTCTTTGGTTGCAGATGAATCAGGAGATGAGGATGTAAGCAAACTATCGACTGGCGGAGATTTCGACCACTCCTGGGGGGACGACACAGACATGAGTCTGTCTATGGGCGATAAGAAGGGCAAGGTAAGTGTCAGAGATCTATAGATCCTTAAAAGGTGTTACTACCCACTGAAAGTGATTTACTCAAGGGGGTTGACAGATATGGGTCTGTCTGTAGGATATAAGGACAAGGTAAGTGTCAGAGATCTATAGATCCTTAAAAGGTGTTACTACCCACTGAAAGGGATTTACTCAAGGGGGTTGACAGATATGGGTCTGTCTGTAGGACATAAGGACAAGGTAAGTGTCAGAGATCTATAGATCCTTAAAAGGTGTTACTACCCACTGAAAGGGATTTACTCAAGGGGGTTGACAGATATGGGTCTGTCTGTAGGATATAAGGACAAGGTAAGTGTCAGAGATCTATAGATCCTTAAAAGGTGTTACTACCCACTGAAAGGGATTTACTCAAGGGGGTTGACAGATATGGGTCTGTCTGTAGGATATAAGGACAAGGTAAGTCAACTCAAGATCAACTCAACATGGTAATAAGTTCAGTTTACAGGTCTTTGTGTATCCATTTACCTTGGTAATACAGGTCTTTGTGTATCCATTTACCTTGGTAAAATTGTTTTAGAAGTGATTATATAGGGAAACTTCAGGAAGACTTTTGATTAATAATACTATCAAAATTAAAAGAAGGTTACTATACCCCTGAGTTCTATGGATTATTATAGTGATGTATAGCAGTTTATTGCTGGTTAATAAAGCAGTTTACTTAGATGTACTTTATTTTTAAAACCGATAATGACTTTACACACCAACTTGAGGATACTGATATTGTATGCTGGTGAATAATTTGAATATCATTTGAACAAGTTTTGTCAAAGTAAAATTAGCAGGCCTCCATAACTTTTCTCTGACTACTTTAGAGTATAAAATTCAACATTACTTTGTTTTTACCATTAAAATCTTCATACCATGTTTGTATGAAGAAAAGGAAATAATAGTTGAATTCAAAGTTGAATAAGACACATTGGTTTATGTTTAAGCAGAGATTGACAGATCAGCGAAGATTAGTAAGTTATGATGCTGATGTATTTGTCACAGAATTTTCTTGGCTAAAGCTTTCTACATCATTTGCCAGACTATTCATTTTGCTAATCTCCATTCATACACTGGCACATTTCCTCTAGAAGAATCTCTTCTTATTTTCATCACATTACCACCAATAGTGTGGTGTCACATTGTTGATGTTTTTCAAATTATTACTGGGTGTAAAGTCACATGACTACAATATTGTGTCACATGATCACTGGCCTGATTGATGGTATGCCAGATGGGCACATGATCACTGATAGTGTAGTTGTTTGACATAATCCCAAATGACATTATATCACATGATCATTGGTAATGTTGTGTCACATGATCATAGATGGTGTGTCACGTGATCACTCACAGGTGGTGTGTCACATGATCACTTTATTATCATTTCAGAGGAATATCAACATTAGACAATGCTATGAGAGAAACTTTGTGCTTCTCTGGCTAGACATTTAAACTATCTAGTGCTTAAAGGTGATAAGAATATCTACATTATCAAGAGGTTAAAAGAAATATACCATTGTTTTTATTTTCATTTGACTGTTCAGTAATTTTTCACTGTTGATCGTGTCTATTTCGATTCTATGTCAGAATGTGTGACTTATTCTACTTCCATAGACAATGAAATGTCCAGTAAGTGTTAATACTGTTTACTAACAATTGATTGTATGACACTAAAAAAACAGCTAGTAATTACTAGTTGTCCACATTTTTGTTTTACCTGTATTATCCACATACAAAATATAATACACACACTACACCTTCATTCCTTGTCAGTCAAACTTTGGAGATGTTGCACAACAGTAGTAAGCATTATGTGTAACACATGTGTCACATCAATTTATGTGTTAACATTGGTATCATCAGTTAAACAGTATGTAGTGCTGTACATTATAATAAGATCACATAGTGAAATACTGGTGATTTGTTAGTCAGTGTTGGGTTTACTATATATGGGAAAATGAAACAGCACTTGTTATTAAGTCTATTGAATACCAATGGATATGGGTGGGCTTATTACCAGGTATGCACTGAGGTACATCAATTTAGATAGGATCCATCGAATAAATGTATTAATAGTATGAAGCCATATGTAGAGTATAAATACTGGTATCAGATGATGTGAGTTCATTCTATCTATTGTCTTTATAGGGCAGGACTGATTTTGTAAGATAAATGTTTGATTGTGATTTAAATGATTGTGAAACATTAACCCCTTAGCTTGTCTAGTATAAATTCCTTATCAATTGGGCACACTCACTCATAAGCACATTTACTCGCTCAGTTTGGCTTTTAAATTCCTGGGGAATTTTTTCCCCAATTTGAAAATCTCCCTATAGCTTGTTTTATACATGTTATTCATAAATTTTACTGTATTGGATGTGCATAAATGGGGGTCAAGTCTCTTGACAAGGTCCTTTCATGATTCAAGTCACTGCTCTGTAACTTTTCAGAGTTCAGAATCTTCTCATTGGTTACCCTGGAGTCAAGTTTGTCCTTGTATTATGCTAGCTGCTCTGTGAGTCAGTGTCATAATCAAGTCACTTCTCTAGAACCTTCTTAGTCTCTTAAAGTCAAGTACTTCTCTATACTCTTACAGAGTCTAGCCCTATCATTCCTGGCTTCTCTGGCATCAGTGAGTCTAGTTGCCTCTCTGTTCATCAGAGACATGTGATTTTTCCTGTTCCGGAGTCAAGTACAGTTCACTTTTTACTTTGCTTCTCTGATGTCGCAGAGTCAAGCTTGTCATAATTAAATGTTCAATAGTTTGCTTATGAGTGAGTAGCCCCTGTTATGCCAAAGAGATTGTTTTTTTGTTGCTACAGAAGACTTCTCGTTCATTATCAGTAAACAGCTTAACTTGTAGTCAAGTCTTGGGTTGTTTTTTGTATAAATACACATTTTTTGTGAGATCAGACTGATTCTGTAAAATAGATATTGGAGTGTGTGTGAACATTAACCCCTATCTTACCTAGTAAATTTCTTTAGGGGTGTAAGATTGTGCTGTTCCTATAAAATAAATAATGGAGTGTTTGTGTTAATTAACAGTCCCTAGCTTGTCTACTGTAAACTTATTACTATACAGTGATTAAGTGATGCAATAATTAACCACTAGCTTGTTTGTTGAATATACTCTGTAGGACAGGGATGATTCTGACCTAGATGCGGAGTCTGACCTAGAACAGGTGACACATAACTGTGTGCTGTGTTTATAGCTTTGTAATAGTGCCACATACCTTTAGCGTGGCCATGCTGTTGTGTAGACATTTCACTGTTCTAGGTAAAATTAAAGAAAGACATCTTATCTTTATTATAATTGATTGAAAAAAAAATTAGTTGCAACAACAAAATGATTTGTCAGACCACTATTATATTGGATATGATAAAACCTTTCACAGAATCATTTTGTTTCATGTTTGTTGCACATCAATTACTGTATCTAAATTCTATATCAGCCTTTGCAGATTCATATTTCTCTCTCTCTTTCTCTCTCTTTGTGTCTGTCTGTCTGTCTCTCTATCTCTCTCTCTGTCTCTCTCTGTCTCTTTGTCTGTCTGTGTCTCTTTCTTTCTCTCTCTCTCTCTCTGTCTCTTTGTCTGTCTGTGTCTCTCTCTCTCTCTCTCTCTCTCTCTCTCTCTCTCTCTCTCTCTCTCTCTCTCTCTCTCTCTCTCTCTCTCTCTCCCTCACTCTCTCTCTCTCTCTCTCTCTCTCTATCTCTCTCTGTGTCTCTCTCTGTCTCTTTGTCTGTCTGTGTCTCTTTCTTTCTCTCTCTCTCTCTCTGTCTCTCTCTGTCTCTTTGTCTGTCTGTGTCTCTTTCTTTCTCTCTCTCTCTCTCTCTCTCTCTCTCTCTCTCTCTCTCTCTCTCTCTCTCTCTCTCTCTCTCTCTCTCTCTCTCTCTCTCTCTCTCTCTCTCTCTCTCTCTCTCTCTCTCTCTCTCTCTCTCTCTCTCTCTCTCTCTCTCTCTCTCTCTCTCTCTCTCTCTCTCTCTCTCTCTCTCTCTCTCTCAGTTTATCAATATTTATTGTTGTGATACATATTGATTCCTGAATATTGGAAATAAATTCTATGTTCTTCCACTGAAATATCATTTTTTGTTGTTTTATTTTTTATTTTTTCATTTTAATTTGAATTGACTTTAAATGCACATAATCCATATTTATGAGGAGAATGTAGATTTAGATTATCCTCTAAGTAGTGAAGGTTAGTTCAATTATTGATTCTTTTAAAAGATCAACAATGAATCATAGCCAAGTGTTTAGAAGCTGGGTGAGTAAGTTCTTTACGTATCTGTCAGTGTTGATATGGTGTCAAACTTGTTGTCAACTTTAGGTCTACCACTCTGCATTAGTGCTGCTATGTGACAACATGTATTATTATTGATATATGTAGATGTTTACAAATATGAAGTAATGTTGTTTAAGTGGGTACTTGACAAAGGTTAATGAGAAACTTTTTCACACATTTTTTACTGAAGGTGCTTGCTGGGAATTACTTTTCAGGACTGAATGTCAAATTTCAATGTTCGCTGATCCTTTTGGCACATAAGTTTTGCTCTAATTTTTTATTGTTTGCTTATGATTTCTTCTAATTGCTAAATGTTGAAAACTCCAATGTCACTTACTTCATTTTCTTAGTTCCCTCATTTGCCATTGAACTTAGCCTTGATGAGCTAGAAGTTCTTGCTTGAAATTATTCTTCTCTTCTCAAGGTCAAAGGTCAATTTTTTTTCCTTATCATTAGCCAGTTTTCTTACTCTTGAGAGCTTGCGTAAGATCATTTTAGGTCTGCAGATAGAAACATAGAAAACTTCAGCACAACAGAAGTATATTTTGTGGGTACTACAATTTTTATACCATGCTTCCTTGACAGAAGTTCTCACAACAGATGTAAGCAGCACTGGAATTAAATATGGCTGACACTTGTTACCATGAATGCTCTCTGGTCTTTAACATTTAAAGAGGATGTTGAGTTTTCATGAGACTTCAAAAAAATGTATTCTTGTATAACGGTAATCATATGTTGATTTATTGTAAACTACGGTGGTCGTAAGTATGATCTTAAAATCATTTGACCATCTTTGCCTACCATAAATTTAATGTACCTTTGTCTTTTTATAATGAGTTTGTAATAACCTAGTAATATCTGTAGCATTTCAGAAAATACATGCACTTCTGTAGTTGTTGCCTACATTGAATTAAAGCCTGTCTGTAAGTCCCATTTCTTCATATATCTGCCCCAATCACACTTAAATCTGCCACTAATTTCAACCAAAATGAGAAATCTATGATGAGGTTGAGATCAGGTTATTGAAAAACATGTGGCTGAACTTTTAAACAGGTAATTTCATGTTATATTGCATATATGTGGATGAAATGAAAATATGGATATGCGTATTTGGATTATAAATCAGTCCAATTTTGATATAGGATTTTGTTTTGAAGTTTATCTTTGAATTACAGCAATGCCAAGTTCTCTTCAGATGTTATACATGTACAAAGTTGTTTGTCTGCAGTTTAGTTTCTGTACTGATTTAGATATGGTCAAAGTGAAAGGATTTTTTAATTTCAATAAATGTTGTGGTTTCAGGACCTACCCAAGATAAATCTTGCTCAGGCTCTGACGAAGTCTTTACCACGGGACAACATCGGTGATGATGGCGGAGGGGATGGTAGGTTCTGACAAATGTCTTGAGTTTTCTAAACTCTGTTTCCACTTGTCTTATATGCATTAGGACTATCTCTATCTCCGTCTGATGCTTGATTCAGTACAATGTGTGAATTTTGTCTTGTTTTCTTTGTATTTCACTATCAACTTCTTCTTTTGTTGAAGTAAAGCCATAAAGAAACTAAAAATAGAAAATATTACAACATGTTAATGGATCATTATGTCCCATATCTTTGAATGTTAAGACAATCCTGCAATTCATAATAAACATTCTAATGAAAGCATGGATGATGGGGGTTATTTTTTATTGGGGGGGGGGGGGGGGGGGGGAATAGGATTTCTGCCATCTTAATGAATTATTTAATCTTGTAACTCAGACATAACGTTATTTGGTTGATACGTTTAAATTTAGTAAAAGATATTTAACTGACAATAACTCTGTGCATGAAATCAAAATTTACTAATGGCATGCAAATTTCTGTGATAATTATTGACGGAATCACTAACCAGGATTAAGGGTTCCATGCTTGTAACTAGGAAGAGGTTGTAGAATGAATAATGAAGGGAAAAGCATATATATTGTGGACTTTTAAGCACTAAAATTTGAAATCCTTCATAAAGGATTTCTGTTTGAATATCTGTGTGAGATGTATGGTAACACAGTTTTGTATGTGTCTTGTTTCACCACTCTCAGCTCTGCGTTCCTGCCTAAAACAGACAAGCTCGTACACAGGTATTCCCGCCCTGGAGTGGTGTTCTGGGTGTTTCCTCTTTGTCTATAGTATTGATGTGTTTGTGTTGGACCTATTAAATACACAGGAACTGACAGTTTCTAGACATTCTATGTCTTGGACAGCGATACCTCTTTAACACGTTACTGGTTTATGAATCTTCTGTAACAACTGTATGATATGTGCTGTGAATCTTGATTCATATGCACTTGAAATATGTTGAGAAGAGTTAAGGAACAAATTAAATAACCCAAAGTTTATTGAAACAAATTGAACTTCGATAAAATGACAAATTTTGAAAACTTTAAAATACAGATTATTTGCATTAAATTTAATATTTCATAAAATCTCAATTATACCAGATATGAAAGTGTAGTAAACAGCATGTTCCTTGTATTTAAGGTCTATTTCATCCCTGAACTAGATCATATCATATCTTCATCCAAATTTAATATATTTTTTTCCCGAACAGAACATTTTAAATGTGTCTATTTATAACTGTTGTTGTTGTTGGCATTTCCAAAGTATTTACGTGTCAGTGAATTTTATATTAACCTGTAAGTCAGTTTGAAATTTAACCCCTCTAGCAGGTAAATTTGCTTCCACTAAGAAGTTTGTGGTGGACCATAATATCCTGTAGAGTGACAGTAATCTAAGGTTCAGTGGTATTGGTTTGGTTGAACCAATAATAATAAAACAAGGCTTGTGGTGGCATATTTCCAATAACATAACTGAAGCCATAGTTTGTATGTGTAACATGAAGGACTGAATTTCAAAACATTTGCGTTGGGTGAGTAAGTATATAGTACCAGTATAAGGGTGGAAGTCACTAGACTAAGTCAGTAGTTAGTTTTATTTTTATATTTCCCCAATCCACATGTAGATCTATGATATACTTTTTCGTTTGATATATAGATTATATATGTGTGTGTATAAAATAATTTTCAAATATTACATTTTTCACCAAAATGTCGTGCTTTAACATTGTATTGATTGTACATAAGCCCTTATCTACACACGGTAGTAGGTATACTATTGATGGTGTGTATATTGAAATTCAGTAGCCAGTGACAAAATTTGGAGGGTTACTTTTATTGTTTTGTTTGATGATCATATTATACTGTAATGTTTGTGGTGTTACTGTATATATAACATACTATAGATATTACTGGGATGTTTCCCAGTATATATATATATATCTATTATTTCAGATTGGAGTGCCCAGTGCTCATCATACTTATCCTTTTGTTATACAATGCTCCTAGTAATTGTTTATTTATTTGTGGGTAGATTTCGGATTGTGTAACAATATTTACTTTTGGAAAATCTATGATTACACAGATCATAAATAATCTGTTTTTCCAAAAAAAAAAAAAAAAAACCCCAAAAAAACAAACACTAAAGAAAATCTCATTGAAGTAAATTAAGACTCAGCTTATGCTTTTGTACAAAAATCTCGATTCTGTTACATTATCAAATCAAATTTAAGAAATTAAATCTAAAACATTTCAACCATATTAGATGATTGATGGATTTGTTAGTATGAGAAAGAATTGATATTGAAAACAGTGATTGTGACTTGGACCTTGTAATGTCTGTTTATAGAGGGTGGTGCCCGTGGCATGCCATCACCTCGCACTCCTGTGTCCAAACAGGATTCCAATAAGTCACTCCACTCACAGACATCTGTTGAAGACAATTGGTCAGATGATGAAATGTCACAAAATCTGAGTCGCAAGTCCAACACGCCCCGCGTCACCTGGAAGGAGGGAAACCAGCTGTCGGAGATGCATGTTATTGTGAGTGCACATCAGCATCTAAAATATCTGAAAGTAGTTATTGTATTCTGCCTAAATGTATATATTATATATCTATTATCATATCAGTTATCATTATAAAGGAGTACATTTACGTGATAACATAGAGAAGATAGGCTTTTAACAGACTTAGGAGAACATAGTCTTGGGATCAGTCTCTGACCATACTTGATTTCTGTTCAATAGACAGGAGATGAAGCAGAAACAACAGATGATGATGATTGCAAAGTTACAGCAAAGAAACGTCAGAAATTGGACCAAGGAGGTCAAGAATATTCACAGGTAAGACAGATCAAACTGGAGACAAAGATAGACCATGTCAAATGTCATACCTGTCATTAATGATCAAAAAGAAATTACTAGCAAAATCTCTAAGTGTCCAGAGGAGTTTCATTTGACCTTTTTTTTCCAGATATAATTGTTTTCACTTCTTGATGCAATGAATTCATCGAATACCAGCAAAAGACATGTCGTTATACCAACTGAATTAGGAAAGGTTTTTTCATTAGTTCATCAGGTTACACTCCATACTACAGGTCCTGGGATAAATTACAGGCAAAATGTTGTAAAGCTAGTGATTGGCCTTCCTTAAATATTGTTTTTCCTTAGCCTTGCCCTTACAAGCACTATGCTTACCCAAGAAATCTGTCATAATGGTTTCTTTCTTGATTCTGATGTGTCATGCTTACCAAGCTTATAGTCAGCTCCTTACACTCATGTAGAGCACTTTGTCTCTCGAGACAAGACACATTTTGCTCTACGGTTCCTGTTTACGCAAATGCCCAAATGAGGAACTATTAAGTGGGTTTGCCACTTTACCCCCAGAATCGACAAATCGTTTAAAAATAAAGACCTATATTCCTACAACATGTTTCATTTAAATTCTGTTGGTTATAAAAGCCAGAAATGGTGGTTGATAATGACGTGTAGCCAGAGATGGAAAAATCGAGCAATGTAAAACCTTTATAACCAGTATCTGACAATGAATGATATATATAGTGTGATGAAATATATTTCCAGGGTATGGAGCAAGGTTACACCCCCACAGTAGCTGTGTCGGACAAGCCCAGCATTCCAATCACCCCAGAGCAACACAAAGGTAGGTTCTTATATTGGTCAATAAGTAAGCATCTTGATTTGCATAATGCATCTTGTCTATATTTAACCGGTTATTATGTACATCCATGGTCTGTTGGTTGCAGTAAACAAGTAAACCTGTTTTGATCACATCCGCAATGACACAGTACACCCAAATTCTGTTTGCCATTATGTAATCCCTAGGTGCCAACACTTGGGCTGTTGTCCTCTTGTAAACTTTCAGAGTTAGTTATATGGATAAACAAACTGCTAATTTCAAACGGCCAATTTTTAAAGCATGTTAGTTATTTTCTGACGTTCATATTCACATTCACTTCCACTTTTGAAAATTGTTACTAAATAAGCTTTCTTATCAAACATAGAAAAAACAAGTATGCATATACATTTTTCTAACTAACTCAAAGCTTAGGATTAGGGCTGTACCAGTGTTCTTTTCCCTTCAGTAATCTTGTAATGTTGATGAACAACACTTGTCTAAATTTAGTGTTAATCTGTTTACTAGTACCATAGAGAGACTATACAGAGAGTTATAAAGCATGTGTACCTGTAGCATGTTACCATTAATTGACAATACATTACTCGAGTACACTTAATGTGATCTTATATATAATTTGTTTAATCAACAACACTGTATTAATTATAAGATCGGATAGAAATATCTCATTATGCATGTCAACAAATATGTAACCATGGTGACTAATTATGGCATTGTTATGTTTGTCTATTGAAGAATCAGGGGATTTGAGAGCATCAAAAGCTGGTAAATGTTTGGTTTTGTTGTTGTTTACTTTTCTGTTTGCTTCTCTGCTGTTGATGTTTCTCTACATGCTGGATCTGTGTGATGTAGAGAATCTTACACATGTGGTCATCTAATACACTGTTGACTAATAAGGAAAAAATATTGTTTTTGTTGACATGACTTTTTGTAAACTAAAATGTTTGTAGAACACATGAAGCCATTCAATGGAATGTAATTGTTATTCTATTTCAAAGACATTTTCCAAGTGTAAGTTTTTGAAGTTATACTTTGGTCTGAAAGTTAAACAATTATTTCATTAGATGTCCACAAGTGTTAGATTCTGTTGTTTATACAAAACATTGTATTTTGTAGTAGTTTTAGTTTGAAGCATACAAAAGGCTAGAGTAAAACAAGCATCAATTCTGATCCTGCTAGTAGCTGTCAGAAAATCTGTTATTTTATGCATTATCAAAATTCTATATACCATGCTATAGCATTGAATATCAGATTTTTATATACTGAAGCGTGAAAGTCTATGATGCAATATATATGTAGTTATAAAGGTAAGCTTGGCATGGTGCACTTGATTTCTGTCTCTTACTTCTGAACCTTAACTTTGATAAACTGAAACAGATCGTGTTTTTCATCTATTAATATTCAGATTTGTTGATTACACATACCCTAACCAGAATGCAACAAGTCCTAAAACTGAAATCACTTAGAATTCTTACAATCATATCACAGTTCATGCTAGATTTCACTGTATTTTGTTTGCCATTGTAATTTGTAATTCTAATATTTTCTTTAACAGTCCTCTGAAATGTTGCTTCCTAATTGGATAAGGTTTCAAATGTTTGATTTTCTAAATTAATAATCCATCCACAAATACTTCAATATGACCGCTCTGTTTTCTAGTTATATATATGTGTGATTTAAAGGAAAGTAGGGTATTGTATACCCATCTATTTCATTATTGTTTTTACATGTTACATGTTAAGTGGTAAACAAATTGTGTACACCTGTTGAATATGAATAGATTACTTGCTGATTTGCTCCTTTTGAGGTGTGACTGCACAAATTGCCTTATTAGATATAATACATACACATTCAACAAAGCAGTTGTAGCAGCTATAGATACTTTATGATTTTCTTGAAATCCATTTTCATATTTTGCACTGGCCAGGAGAGAACATCTGACCCTAGTATAATATCACTTCTGGTGGTACATTTCCTATCATCTCTTGAGTTTTGACTTTTGGTGGAATATCCTGCTTTTTATGAAATACCATGTTAATAAATTAGCAGTTATTATAGGTACACCATTCTTAAATTTTTTTTTTTTTTTTTAAATATTGATAGGAATATCTTATCGTTCAGTTTACAAGTAGGTTTTTGTTTCGTACCTGCATGAACCTAAAAAATATTTCTTTCAAAGCTTATAATTAATTTCTTAATTATGTTTCAAAAACAAAAATGACACATAGATGTATAAATCTGATAATTTAATGAAGGATTATTTTATAACAAAGCATAAAGCTCAACAGCTTCCGTGACATGACATGAGGTCATTGACTGCTAATTTGTACCATATTCAGTCAGTCAAACTTCTTTCTTAGTAGGCCAGTCACATTTGAAATGGAAATGTGTATAAATAGTAAATAGTATATTTTTTCCCCATGATAAATCAGTTATTTGTTGTTTCCTGTTTGTGTACATTTGTTTACATAGTAAGATATTTGGATATTATGATACTGTAGTCTACTTTTTGTTTACATCATTGAATGACAGTGATCCACACATCAAGGTGGTATGTTGCCTTTGACTGCTCCAATCATTGTCAAGTGGGCAGAGTTATTTTTTTCAACGAGTTATTAAAAGAAAAAAATGATGAATCAAAAAGCTGCATTTTGAATACAAACAACAAAAAATTAATTATGTTTATGTAAAAACTCTTATTTGGTGCATGAAGTTCTCTACTAGCTGTTTAGCCTGTAATAATATGTTTCCTACTGTACATCACTGTATTTGTTTTCAGTCCCAGAGGTCAAAGTTAGTAAGGATCCTATAGCGTTCTTGTCTGTTTTATTGATCTAGTAATTCCTACCCTCTTACGATTATCATCACATTGGGATGATTTTGTAGTCTTTATTCTATTTTGAATGTTGAATCATATTCCTGTAAAAAATTTGGATATATTTCATCATTTCACAGTAACTATTTCTTTTCTTACAATTTCTTTTTTATGAGATCATCTTTAAATATAACATGTATAGTCTTCAGTATTGAGTACTATATACATAGCTAAATACAGATTTCTTTTCAGAAGAATGCCTTTATTGGAAAGTAACTTTCTTCAAGAAATCTCAACATTTCTTTCAAAGATAGCTGTCAAACACATATTTATAAAGGACTTGTATTGTAATAAGAACAGGGGAATTTGTCTAGTCTCCCTTAGATCAAATGAGGAAAGCAGGATTATTACAGGGAAATGATAAACATTTTATGGAATTATAACTGTAATGATGTATGAGGTTGCTATCAGTGATGGGCTGAATGGAGAATGAATAAGGAAGAAAACATTGTTTTTATATCAATTTTATATTGAGTCCTTGAAGTAGTATTTATAGATTTGATTTTGATTAGCTTACATCTACATAGTGAGGTTTCAATTCATCTAATCTAACTTACATATTTCCTGTATTGACTTCTTTATACAACGTTCTGATACTTACATTTTGAAGGTTCACTGATCTGGTGACACTGTGCTACAAATCACCTGCTATTTTCTATAAAATAAAACACTTTAGACATGCTAACTGACATAACACTGTACTGTTATTATACTAACTGTTAGTCAGTTTTAGACCTTTTAGTAAGTCCACCATTGTATGATGGAATTATTAGACCTAGTCTTATAAAACTTATGTGTGGCTTTTCTCTTCCCTTTAGACTGAGAATTGGAAGAAGTGATAACTAATGTAGATGTTTTACTGGATTGTATCTTGAATCTGTTCTTTATAACATAGATGTTGTGTCCAATGTATTGAGGTGTAATGAGGTACTGTGAAACCATTCATAATAGTTTATATGTAAATGTTCACCTCTACATTCCACGCTGAACATGAGAGTTCCTCGCTATCTGTAGCCATAAACTTTTATTGAAGTCAAGCCTGATAGAGGACTTTCAATTCTTTGTAGCCCTGATGCAGGACCTTGGCTTGAGTGATGTGTCAGATACTGACAGTGACGGGGATGTTGAATTCCCCAGTGAGGTGTCCGACCATTTGTTGGACAACAAAGTTCCACTCCAACCACAGGTGATGTCCACACTGGTCAAACAGTCTGTTGTAGACAGGAATGATGAGGGGGAACTTGATTCCATGGCGAACTCAGAACACCTCACTCCACGTCCGGGCATACTAAAGAACTGGAAACAGGTTTGGCTTGTAATATGGAATGTTGCATCCACGATACTCCAGTGGTTACAATCACTTTTGCTCTCTGTACCTCTGGAATATGTCATAGCAGAAATGAAGGTATAAAAGAAGTAATTTGATTTGTTCCAGGAAGAAAAAATTGACCAATCACAGGCTGATATGCTTCTGTTGAAGATTACAAAGGAGCAACACTCAACTTCAAAGCCATAACAGTATGTTGTTATGCAAGCTCGAGACTTGTTTGATGGACATCAAACGTTCACACTAGTATTGTCGTCCTGTCCACAAAGTGTCAAACATGGAACCTTCAACTTTGCCATGACATGTTCCAGGGGTGAATAGAGTGAAAGTGATCTAACACCTGGAGTGTCGAGGATGGGAATGTTGTAGAACTTGGTAGTTTTGATACCTTAATATTGATACCACTTGCCTTGTATATGCCTCTTGTACTTACCAGCTTCTCTTTGGGCATTAATAATTTTGAAGATAAATCTGAATTGATAACCACTGTTTACCTTTAATATTTTATATGTATGGAAATATTTTGTACTCAAGAACCCTGGTGTTGCTGTGATAATTAAATCGCGTACCATTATTTCTAACCATGTGATTCATGTATTTGCCATTTCATTCCAGGGGGAAAAGGGATGGTGAAAATGAGGCAAAAATTTGGGCTGAAATGGATTTTACTTATATATTTATCTATAATTAATGTGAATTTGTGACATTTATGAGTTGAAAATGACAATTTTTCTCTGTATACAGCACAGTAAGGAACAGGCAGAACAGAACAAGGCACAGCTTTCACATCGGTCTGATGATGTAAGTACACTAGAATTTGATGTTGATCACCTTCCAATGTCTTCATTTTAAAGGGAAAAAAATTGTTTTCAGAGATCCAGTATACTTTCTTTTATGATTAAAAATTTGTTGTGGGCTTTTTTAAATCTAGAACATGATTGAAAGTAATGCTAGTATAGTTGTGTTGTTTTGGGTGTTGTGTTTTGCTTGCTGTGCATATATATTGCACACTAAGTTTTATAATGTTTTATTAGATTTTCTTTTCTGTACTTTGAAAAATTGCATATAGAAATTATACAGTAATGTACTTTATCAGTGTTGTGCTTATATTGGATCTTTTTCTTATTGCTGGCTCTTTACTGCTAGTTTTTCATTACATTGTACTTCAGAAATACGTTCATGTTCAGTGTTAGAACCTCTTAACAAAAAATGGATCTTGAGAATTTGCACTTATATGTTAAAACCCCCATGGTCTGATACGAGATGGGTATCTGTCAGATCTGGAAGGGATTTATTTTATATCAATATTCTGAAAATATCTGCAGGTTTCAGAGTGGGACAGCGATTTGGAAAACGAATTGGACCCTGAAAAATCAATATCTGGAAATGAGGTAAAAATGTGACAATTCACATTGTTCAACATTGAAAAGTGGCTGTTTTATAATTGTAATGTTCAGGGTTGGCTTTCTTAACCTGTGGTATATATTTTGTAAGTAATGATAAGTTTTGGATATTATTTTGTATCTTGAGATACTGAGATATTGAGATATGACCTATATGACCTTGGATCAGACCATACATAACTTATGACCTGACATCAGACAGAACATAACCTATGACCTTCGATCAGATATACATAGTCTATGGCCTTGTATCAGACAGCACATAATCTAGGACTTTGAATTAAATCATAACAATGTGCATAACCTGTGATATTGGATAAGACCTTTGGTTAAATAGTAAATGAGGCAAAACTGACCAGAACCTGACTTTGTGATGTGTTGATTTGTAGAATATTGATTGATTGTTGACCGTAGTTCGTAAAAAAATGATAATAGAATTAGATAATGCATGCTTCAGTAGAAGTAGCCACATTGTTGTAGAAAGAAAGATAATTAATGCTTTATAACATTAAACCTAACAGAATTATAGCTTACAGCGACTGTAGATTCAGTAAAAAGTTTACTGTTTGACATGTGTTGGTGATTGGTGTACATAGGAGTTAGACACTCAAGGAGACCAACATCACATTGAGGAACAGGTACAGGAAGAGGCAAAGGAACAAACAGATGTTACAAAGGATCAAAACAAATCAGAAAGTCACAGACATAGCCAGATGGAGGAAGGAGATATTAGTGATGAAGGAGACATTATCGAGGTGAGGAGAGATAACACCCTGATGGAGGCTGACGACTCTCCCAGACAGATAGAATATATAGAGAGCTCAGATGAGGGTGGGGAAGATTGTAGCTATAGGGAAGGACATCAAAGTTCTGTACCTGCTGGGGGATCTGATGAGGAAATGGAGGAAAGAAGTGAACCTATTGATGATACAGAGGTAGTGCAGACAGAGAAAATACAGGAAAGGTCTTTAGTTGATCTAGTGCAGAGTTCTAATGATGATCTTGACGATGAGATGACAGACCAAGAGGTAGCTCGCGTTTTAGCTGTTGAAGAACGCTCTGGCTCGTCGCGCATGTGCTCCTCCCGTGCAGAGAGTCAGGTGGAACAGATGTTACGTAGTGCATCTGCAGATACACTGGAGATGCTACGATCTGACGAGGAAGAGGTGCCTTGTTTGTAGATCTGTCTTCACCCACTGTCCCACCTTGTCACTGTGTGCTGTGTCCCAGACACATAACATTTTTTTTTTCAGCACCTTTTATCTATGGCTTCTAAAATGTCTCTCCACTGACTGTTTGAATGTGTTGGCTTATAGAAATAAAGTCTTAAATATCAAATTATAGTTTTCACAATGCAGTACACACACAGATTATAGACACAGTATAAATCTCTTTTGATTGAATTCACAAAATCTTCTTTATTTGTAGATCTGAACAAAACACTCATTAGAGAGTTTCACAAGTTCTTTATTAATGTGTTTCTACAGCAACATTTCATTTATGTACACAAGGTTAACTTTGATAAATATTCTTTTTCATTGTCGCCAAATTTGGGTTCTGTTTTTCTTACTGAACCACACATTTGAGATTTCCTCACATTTTTAGCTATAGATCTGACACTAATAATTTTGGCTTTTGCTTTTAACATGTTTTTTAATAGCTTTGAATTAACTGGGGTGTTAACTTTCTTGCATTAGAAATGATCTGTTCTTGTGTTTATGATATCAGAAAAAATTGAGTATATTGCGTGCGACAGATGATGTTGGTATCTTATTGAAGAAGATCTTTAACATGATTGTGAAAGATAACAAAGAAAAAAAATAATGGGGATGACTGGGTGAGGGGGCATAGAACACTTTTTAATCTGAAGTTGTGTTTGGAAAAGTTCTATAATCTGAAGTTGTGTTTGGAAAAGTTCTATTATAATTCATATGATATGCAATACGCATGGGAGTTATATTCAAAATCATATTGAATGTAGATTCAAATAAGTTTGTGCTTAAGGTGTGAATGTATTATGAATTTTGTATGAAATATTCAGCTTTGTGTTTCTAGTATAATTTTCCGTGTTTAGCTTGGCGTGTTGTAATTGTATAGCATTAAAGAGATAAAAAAAAAAAAACAAAAAAACAGTAATATTGTTTAATCTTGTCCAGTTGTTTAAAGACTTTGCTGAGAGCTGTTTGATACTGTGTGGAATAAACATTGTTATCTGATATCAATAAATTGTCAATGATAGCTGCATGTTAATTTGAAGAGTCCTGGCTTGATCATGATTTAATCGAAACTGAGCTTACAAGTTTTATGATGCTGTTTACACTGTGTATCATTGACATGTATAGGAGTGTTTGTTTGTACCATGAGTTGTATGTTATTTCAGAACAGTAACTGGGACTCATCAGCTGATGTAAGCACCCCCAGAAACCCGGTTATAACTCAGGTATGTTACACAAGTACAGGATTTATCTCTTTTTTTGTTGTTTTTTTTTAAATATTGTAAATTTGTGACATACTGGTTTCAGAAATTTTTCATTTGCCCTGTAAAATATGGAGAAAAATATAGTAGGTACTAAACTATACCAAGTGTATGTAGTATCACCTGATATTAGCAATTAACTTCACTCCCTGTGTTGATAATAGTCTATTAAAAGTACTCAAAAAGTATGTTAGTCATATAAAGATATCTGTGTTTGTAATTACTCCTCTTGGTAGATAATAGATGAAAACTGACCCTTTTTTTTTTGCACAGACTGTGGCCAACTACCTTCCGCGGGGAGATGATGAGGAGGAGGAAGATGACAAAGATGATGTGGATGAGTTGGACTTTGTACAGGAAGTTCCTTTGGAGACTGTCAATGCAGCTATACAGGAGGCTGCAGCACTGGACGCTGTGTCTGTAGGGACAGTAGACAGTAACCAGTCTGCTGGCACGTCGGGGTCTAAACCAGAAACTGTTCGAGAGAACTTACAGAAGACAGGAGCTGTTAAGGATCAAGATGATGACTCAGAGTGGGATTCAGAGGTAATATATCAAGTGCTCACATAAAACCTAACAAACTTAAGAAACTAGGTGTTGATTGAATAGTCAGTCAAGGTTAATTTTGTTCACTAGCGTTAAGCGAGTTAAAATTATGTAATCTCATGTTGTACGCTATTAATAATTCTTTCCTTATAAAGATACAAGATTATTTCCTAGCTTGCTGTGCTGTACTCCTAACTGACAGTATTGATAGTGATTAATAGACTCTTTTGATAAATATTTTCCTTCAACTTCTGGTGCTCACTGTGTGCTAAGTTTAATTTGTTGTTATGCTCCCAAAAACATTTTTGTGGGAGCATACAGTCGCTGCTTTTTCCATCCATCTGTCCTGCTATCTTTCCATCCATCTTCATGTGTAAGGATCATAAGTTTGCTGAAAGTATGCAAGGAGCATAAAACTTGGTGTATACCTTGGACATACTAAGGCAATGGGCAGTGTAGCAAATTCAGGGCCCTTAATCCTTCAATTGCAGTGTATATTCCCTTCGCTAAAATTTTGTGTGTTCAGAGCATAAATTTGCTTGTGTTTAAAGTGGGATATTGAAACGTGGTGGTTATATTTATCATACTAAGACAATGCAGTGTACAAAATTCAGTACCCTTGATGACTAAGTTGCAGAGTTTTTGCCATTTATTAAAATGTTTTGTCTGGAACATGACTTTGCTCATATTGGCAGTAGGTTATTGAAACATGGTGTAAACAGAGTTATTGCCCTTTGTGAAAATTTTGTGTCCAGAACATGTCTTTGCTACTATTGAAACTAGGAAACTGAAACTTAGTGGATACATTGGTCATACTACGAGGATGTGAGATGTACCAAATTCAATGCCTGAAACCCCTTTGTCACAGAATTATTGCCCTTTGTTAAAATTTTGGGTCCAATAATGTTTTCTTTGAACATTCATCAGTTTCACTGATACTCTTGTTTGCTTCCAGCCAAGCTGTGAACTAGTGTAATGTTGTATGTCGATGTTTAGCATTCCTGGTTTTGTTCATAGGATGATGTCATGTCAGAAGAGAGGAACTCAAACACACCAGTGCAAAAACGGAACCACCCCCTCCCCAACGATCCCACCTCTCCCCGGTCAGTACAGGAGGATTCTGATGAAGAGGAAACAGAAGAAATCAGTGAATGGGAGATTGAAAGACAAAGGGAAAAGGTTGGAACCAGCTGTCTATTGTTAAAACATGAATACCTGATTCTAAATGTTTTGTTATCAACTGGATAATGTATATAACTGGTGATCACTCTCAGTATATATTATTCAACACTTTCTCAAACTTGATGTCAAAATATTGTCATTCAATTAAAGTGAATTGATCGTTTATCTTTGGAATCAATGCTTTGTGCAGCATCTTCTAATAGAAATTTCTCTTAATTTCATGAAATGAATGAAAACATTCTGTGATCATTTACAGGCAGAGCGCCAGAGGTTGGAGGAGGAGGCAGAGCAACTGAAGGAAGAAGAAAGAAGAAGACAACTGGAGTGGGAGGAAGATGAGAGAAGACGAGAGGAACATCAGAGGAAGCTGGCAGAGCAGGAGGAGGAAGACTTTGACATGAAATTAGAGGAAGAAGAGATGGAAGAAGAGCTGAGACAAGAGGAGGAGAGGAGACAGGAGGAAGAGAGGAGACGACAAGAAGAGGAGGAGAAAGCAGCAAAAGAGGCACTGCAGAGAGAGAGAGTTGTTCCGATGAGGGAGGTAGAACATAAACAAATAGATCTACACCAGCTCAAACAGCTCCGACTCAATCAGGAGGCTGAGAGGAGACAGCAATACTTTCAAAACTTGGATGATGTAAGTATTTTAAGGGGTTTACTGGGTTATGTTTTTTTTTATTTTTGAAGATTGAATCCTTAAAACAGGAGATTAGGACAGATTCAAAGATATTAAAATTGCAAAAGCTAATCCACTTCAGTCATACCAAAATTATCAACACCAGTTAGGCGTAGGCTATCATAGGCGTTGCAAGGAATAATTGTTTAAATATTGTAATTGCAAACTAAAACTAGGAAGTTCAAGGATTGGTTAATGATTAAATAGAATCTGACTTGTCAAATTAATTTTGGTTTGGATCTTGTAAAATTCTATATCTAGTCAGTGAATACTGGGGACATATTGCCCTTGTAATGTGAGCAGAAAGTTTACTACTTCAGAATGAAGATGTTTAAGTCAAGCAGACAGTAACTATGACATTATGACATAATGATAGATATTTGTTGATGTTCCAACAGACTGTAAGCATGGACACCAATGTTTTCAAACTTCTTACATTCACAGGTCAGCTCTGATGAGGATTTTGATGATGATCCCAATGCTAGCCCTGTCCTACCACCTGCCCCTGCCCCCACCATGACCTCCCCTAAACGGGTAAGTATCTTCTGTCTGCCATGCTTTTTATATTGTGTATACTGTGAATGATTGTGTTATGATTTTAACAGTGTGGTCCTGATCTTATCACATTTCTTATGACAAGAAAAAAAATCAGAATAAAAAGAAGTAAAGCTGGTATTTAAAATATCATTTTCCAGAATTCCTTTTTTATTTATGAATAATCATTTCAGCCTCCTTTCTAAATAATTAATACATATGTTGTGTTAGCACAGACTGTGTCCCTCCCATATTAACATTTACAGACAAAGCTTAGCTAGAATATATATTAAGTAAATCCTACCTGGTAGTAACCTGGAGTCAGGGCTGTAGTTGGAATATTAGAATTTAGTTATATTAAGTGATACAATCAACTATTTGTGGACATAATTATTTGGTAGAATAAGTAAACAGTCTAACAAGGCAAGTTATTAATTGCGTCATTAGATTTTTAGTGGGTGGTTCAGTTGTAAATAATTTGCTTTCTACCTTACATGGTAAATACCTCAAGTGCTTTGATTAGGGAAAATGAAATGATTCGTATAAGTTGATAAAAATTGTTTTTGGAATAATTGTAGTAAAACAGATAGTTTATAGGGAAAGACTATTAGAAAGGCAATCAAATTGTGAAACTGGTATTTGGCAAATTCATAATTTCAAATGTCTTCTGCTTTTTAATGGTTATGGTGTTAAGTTCAATTTGTAAAAAACAAAGCAAAGTATTTTTTAAGAATTTTATATTTTTCATCAATAACATGCTTTATATTGTTTTAGAACACATCATTTATCATGAATGGTTTTTGTTTTGTGATTTGTAATTGCCTTGGATTTAGTATGTTCATTCCATGCCGAGTACCCAGGATTTAGTACTGAACTTGTATTGTTGTGTTCCACATTTATAGTCACTGTTTCTTTGTGACTCTTTCTCTCACAGGAATTGAAGACATGCAACTTTTTGAGTGTTAAGAATTTTTTCAAGGATGAGAAAAAGGTATGCAGTGTTAAAGCGACATTTCTAAAATTTTCTTTAAGTAACATGAATGAATGTATATTCCTGATATACATAAAATCTTTTTCTAGCTAAAAATAGTTTGAAAAAAAATGCTGAAATTTATCAATTATGAGAATGACGCTACAAGTTGTCTGTCGATGTTTTTCAAAATTTCTTATGAACAAAGTATTGACCTTTTTATTGAGTGTGAATTAGTATGTATCAGAACAGGTCCTTGTTACAAATTAAGACAATGGTTTAATGTTTCCACTTTTGTCGGGGACCTTGTGTGTTCAAAATCAGGATTGCTTTCACAATATTTAATAAAGATAGAAGTGGAAACATATCCCATGTAGAAATGTTGCTTTGATGAATCAGCCTATACCAGTATATCTATATATATACATATATAATCTGTTATAGTCAGTGTATTGGACAGCACAGGGACTCTGGTTATATCACCAGTGTAATGATTTATTAGTAACGTTACATTTGGATGTGTCCTTAAGTTCTGAAACATTGATTAGAGTCACTAACATGTAAACTAAGTACACAATTTGTTTCGTCTGTTCAAGTATTCATTTTAAAGGCGAATATGTAAAGCTGTTTGATCAACAGTTAAAACAGAAATATATGTAAATCCAAAGACGGATAGACAGATGAAGTCCTGCACACTTGCCTGAAATGTAGAGGAAATGTGTTCACTAAATTTCTATCAGTGGTAGACGTGCTTATATCTGTACATCATATACGTCTATACCTAGTAGATATATCCTTCATGTAGTTAAGATAGTCTTGCTTTATAGCTTTACAACCACACACTAACATTTATCCTGATGATATATAACCTTGGTAAAAAAACTCAGGAAGACATTATCCTATACAGAAAATATCAAGTGGTTTTATCAAAAGGAATTCAGTAAGATATGGCCAGAAAGACTCTCAAAGACGCTTATTCTTATATCTATGTTAAAAAACTTCCAAATGATATTTTATCTTCTGTAAGAAATATAATCTAATTTGTATCATTACTGTCTTTAGTAAATAAAATAAATTCTTGTCACCTGTCTGATGAAGTTGACTATTTAACCACTGAAATGTCACATTCAAATCTTCTACTGGTTGTGTTATAAGAACATTATACCAACCTGAAGACAATGTTTCGAAAAGTTGGTCAGTGTTATTTTGTAGTTTTGCTTTTGGTGGAAGTATATGTTGAAATGCTGGCAGTGTGTGTTTTTCAGTGCTGTAGTTAAGTGTTTATTTAGTACTGTATACAGTGATTTCCTTAACTGTACTGACTACATAGTACATTTATTTCTGTTACTGACTACATAGTACATTTATTTCTGTGTTTATTACATTTATTTCTGTACTGTATAGTACATTTATTTCTGTGATTAGTACATTTATTTCTGTTACTGACTACATAGTACATTTATTTCTGTTACTGACTACATAGTACATTTATTTCTGTAACTTCATGGTTAATTTGGATTATTAAATGCTGATTAATATTACATTTAATTCATAAACATTAACATAAACGGTGACATATACAGGATTTCACATGTTTTTGTATAGATATTTTTAATTTGATTGATACAAATTAAAATGTAAATTTCTTCTTTTAAGTCATTTATTATGAATACTGTGACACAATTAAATTTTCTTATATAATGTAATAATATGTGCTTTAGTTTAAGGGTCTCTCTAAAACTTTTGAAATACCATGCTTTGAACTTACAGAGTCCTTAGCCACAAAATACATGTATAAAATTGTTACTGTTTCTAACTCCATGGCTATTCTTGTTTTTTAGGAAACTCAACCAAGTTCCTCCACTACTCCTGTTATTACCCCTACTAGAATGTTCCAAGTATCCTCTCAACGAAATGCTCCTGAGAAGGAAGAAGTGAAAAATATCCAGAAGGTAGAAGAGATCAAAAAGGAGGTGAAAGAAGAGATGATAGTACACTCAGTGAAATCTCCTAGTCTCCACTTCTCCCCAGTACCCACCCCCACCAAGGAGATGGTGCGTCAAAAGGGGTAAGTCACACAGTTTACTCATTCTCTCTGCATACTGATTTGACCTTGACAATATATCCTCACTTACGTTGTAACAGTTTAACACCAACCCTCACTGTTATTGTGACCTTGACACCAGCTGTTGTGTGTTAATTTTGAGCTTGTATTAAAAGCTATATATGTCTTACTCAACTCTGACCTAATTACAACCAAGACATTAACAAACAAAATTCTGTTACAAATTCTGGTTACAGCAGAAAAGATTTCAAATTCTGGTAATACTGCTGCTTCTGTACTGCCCATATGGAAGGGAGATAACCTTTATAGAAGTAAATACGATACCAGCCCATCACACCACATTGTTGTGTTTTCACTATATATTGTATACCAAACATGCAGTGATTGTAAAAAATCATTTTTGCTGCAAACAGAACAAGCTGAGTCATACTGGTGATTTGGTAACCAGATTCTGTTCAGGAGTTTAATGTAAAAATATGATTATTGATCAATGAAGTTATGATTTTATCATAGATTCTGTAAATTCTTTAAGAGTGAAAGAGTCACGTTTTGTTTAGATACAGTCTAGTATAGCTGGACTCACTGTCTGTTGCTGCAATGTAAACTTCACTCTTGTTGTTCAGACTCTTATGTCCTATATCAGGTTTTGTGGTGACAAGTTTTGTACACTGACAGAAAAAAATAATGTATATGGAGAAAGATGGTTGAGGACAAAATCGTTTTCCAACAAAACAATAGACACCAAGTTGTGATGGGAAATAAGTTAAAGTCCCTAATCAATTATCGGTTAAAATTGGATAGGCTTTTCAATGTAGTTAGTCGGTTACATAATCAAATGTTGGTGTATTCAATACTCGTAGGAACTGAATACCTTCTCTGTGGCAGAAATATTTTCTTTTTTTGTAAATTTAACATAAAATACCTCACTTACCTAGAATCATCATATTGGCAGTTGGCATCTGATTTTTTAGTAAAACAAGAAAATGTTAATGTACCGATGATGAAGAATTTCAATCGATCACCAAGTTTAAGAATTAGATAACTGATTGTGTGTAATCATTTTTCCATCACTGTCACTTCCTGTCTGTTGAAGATTTCTGTCACACTTCCTAATTTTATTATGGACATTGTCCAGGGCTGTTTTGAAGTGAAGTTCTATCAAAATGATCATACTTTCCTTGAGTCAAGGTGATTGAGATGTCCTCTTGATTTACAGTGTACTTGATGGTGTTTGTTTTGATTTTATTGACCATAAAATGTCTCACCTTTGTTTTAGTAATACTGTTGAAACCATTTCAGGTTTATTGGTTGTTATAAATTAAGAAATCTGACCTTTGTAAGTGATGTGTTAAGCAAACTCTCTCTATGTAAGCAATGTTTGAAATTGTCCCAAGGAATTTTATAAACCTTTCCATTATTATACAATGTTAAACATCACCTTAGTCCATTTTCTTGTCTTTGACAAGTGGATGTCTTTTCCCTGTCATTGTCTTCATTGTTGAACAAGATGACATAAAATGATATTGATATCATGGTCTTGGTAAGACCAAGTCATCATCTTATTTTTTTATTCATCCAGTAGGACTTAGATGTAAATTAACTGGCTCTATGTGATATATGTTGGAGAGCATTTTGATGACTGATGTTTTGAAATAGGCATAAAAACATTCAGTAATTAGTGAGGAACAAGTGTAAAGCTGATAGAGGGACTAGATAGTGTGAAAGGTAAGGAGTCTAGTTACAGGTGTGGCTGTACAGAAATATACCCCGACAGATGGGTTGGGGTACCTGCGGGGATAACACCATCTATTATGTATGGAGTTGGAGCTATAGCCTGTCTTACACACAGCCAGTTTAGTTAGTGGTGGGAGAGGTTTGGATTGTCCTCAATGTCAGAGGGCCAAAACCTAAAAATGAAAGTACATTTCAGGACCGTAACAGAAAATGCTTAAAATTCACAGGTATGTTGTATCATAATGTGTATTAAGTGATGATCTTGGTCACCTTTGGAATATTGCACAGGTAAGAAAATATTGTCTCATCAATAGAAGATCATTCATCTGTGGAATATAAGAGCTGCTTGCGGGGAGTTGGTTTTAGGCTGTCTGATTGATGACTTATAACTTATGACATTGCTACCTGAGACTAGGCCAGACTAAAATTAACAGATTGGAGTTAGCTCTATTGATTGTATGAATGTATAAATAATTGATCAGAAGGAATTCATTGCATTTTTTGTGTTTGGTGAGTTGGAACCATCACTGCTAACTCTTGCTACAATGGAATGGAGGTTTTATCTCCAATACTGTTGGTGATACTGTCTCACAACTAGCAGTAATGGTAGGTAGTTTGAACTCCTACTGTACCACACTTCTCACGATCTCAAGGCATTCATGGCCTGTTTATTTACACTAGTCATTGATAGGCAACTATTATGTGATAGACATGCACAAAGTTATGACGGGCTATAATAAGTACCCTGATTATATATAGGTCGGCATTGTTAACGCACACTAGTCTAACTCTGATTGATTGTAAGGGTAATTATACCTCATGCATATCATTAAGCTTGTAGCTAATTAAGTGGCCAGTGTTTAAAGATCAATGCATCCTTGTCAATGTGTCTTTGACTTAGTAAGAATGTATTCTGTATCAGACTCTGTAACCATCTGTATTAAGGTAAGTATAAATTATACCAATGATATAAATACTTAAGATATATTATCCCTTTGAAGTATTGATGTGTTAGCTTTTACATATAGAGGGTACATCTTTCTTACAGATAATTGCATACCTCAGTACACATACTTGAAAAGTAATATGATAATGGAAATAATTACTTCCGTGTCAGTTATTGTTATAATTATAGCTAATTTTGGTGGCACATTAGCCAGTAAGACATATATTATTGACATCAATCACACCACACAGCTGACAGAGGTGTGCACCTATACCTGGGAGACTGTGTATCAAGGGAAATAACACAGGTGCCCTCAGTTTTCTCATCATAAATATATGCATGACTAGTGATTGGCTGGATCTGTGGGTCGAAATTCTGGATGGAATGGAATAAAAAATCAACTGCATATGGTCACAAATGAATGAAGGTTTCTTAATGGTTAGGTCACTAAGATATAAATGAGTATAATATAATTTTATAAGAATTCATTGTGTAGAGAACTCAGTGTGACATTTGGAAACAGATAATATGTAACACATGCGTGCATATTAAGAACAGGACATATCAGTCAGAAACTAAGGTTTTAGTAAATATCATGTAGTCTTTCATCTCAAATGTCCTTAGTCATCAAAAACAAGTCCAAGTTTTTGTTAGTCCGGTGTTACAGAGGAGAACCACACTGTACTGAACTGAGCTGTAAAGGACAGTAGATATCTGTGTTCTGTAAATTCTTTACCTGTGATGATGGAAATGACCTGTATACAGTAGATGTTATATTGTACAATATTGCCTGTGTAATTTTTCTCTCTGGCAGATGATGTTGGTTGGATGTGGCTTGGCTATTAGCCAGTATGAAAGAATGGTGTTTTTTTTGTTTTACTTATTAAATATTTATGTTCATTTGTGATGCAGCAGTAGATGCTACTTATTACACACTTGAACCAACACAAGTCACAGACATTTAATCTTCTCCAGTATTAGTTGTGTTCGATGTTTGAGCTTGGGGGAGGGGGGAACTTTGCTGAATAATTGATACATTAAAATGAAAGATAGTCCATATCCATCAGATGACCAGTCAAAGTTAGTGGGATTTATCTGTATACTGTATTGATGACCTGTTATTTTGATTGTGAGTGATATGAAGGTAAGCTTCTGTAAATTAAGATAAAATAATGGTGACAAAAACATAGCATATATTTCATTTTTTGTTGTATAAAGTAATAGTTCAACAGCTCCAGGTATTGTATTACACTGGTGACAGATTTTATGTCTGTACTATGGCTGTCAAAAGTGTCTGTATGTACTGTATCATAGCAATGTCCAGTTACAGGGCTACCATATATACAGATGTACAGTCACACAGTTTACCTTACATACAGATGTAAAGTCACACGGTTACCTAACATACAGATGTAAAGTCACATGGTTACCTTACATACAGATGTACAGTCACACGGTTACCTTATATACAGATGTACAGTCACACGGTTACCTTACATACAGATGTAAAGTCACACGGTTACCTTACATACAGATGTACAGTCACACAGTTACCTTACATACAGATGTACAGTCACACGGTTACCTTACATACAGATGTACAGTCACACAGTTACCTTACATACAGATGTACAGTCACATGGTTACCTTACATACAAATGTACAGTCACACGGTTACCTTACATACAGATGTAAAGTCACACGGTTACCTTACATACAAATGTACAGTCACACGGTTACCTTACATACAGATGTAAAGTCACACAGTTACCTTACATACCAATTTACAGTCACATTGTTACTTTACGTACAAATGTACAGTCACTCAGATACCTAATTTTTTTGATAGAAAAGTGGTCAAAAGAACCTCAGTCTGTATACTGTTAATGCATTAGTAACTACTGTTTATGTGACTGTCAAAAGCAGTTCTATTCATTGTATATGACACTGTTGTTATAGTTTATCATACATTGTCGAGAACAGCACCACAAAATGCAGGTGACTTTATACTGCACTGGAAATCTATTTTTTGCTAGTGGTGCTAAAGCTGTCGCTCCTATGGTGACCTTTGATTTTATTTGTAATGTATTGACACAGTTCCAGGTCAGCCTGCTCAACCAAAACAGGTTGTGAAGTAACATCAGCAATATTATACTCTGTTAAGTAGATATCAGTTCTATCTCTGGTTATTTCTGGTGATTACAAGATACACATCTCATGATTTTAGTGTCATCATTGTGTCAGATTTGATATAGTGGTAGATTAAATATTTAAATTTGTCATTCATTGAATATGTGTTTATAGAGGATCAATGGTGCAGATTCATGTCAATAGTATATATATAGTGGGCATTTCAGGGTATCAGGTGAAGGGTAGGCACTGGGTCAGCTGTCACAGAACTCAGGAATACAAGAATAAAACAGTCAGTAGGTGTGGACCCAACAGGTTAATCAGGACCTGGCCAAGATTAGGTGTGGGACCTAGAGGTTGTTGTTCAGGACTTGGCCAGGTTAGGCATGGAACCAAGGGATGAATCAGGACTAGGCCAAGAGTAGGTGTGGGACCCAGGGGTTGTTGTTCAGGACTTGGCCAGGTTGGGTGTGGGACTTGGAGGTGAATCACGACTGGGCCAAGATTGTTGGTTAGGCCCCAATTTCACAAGTTGTCCTTAACTTAAGGAAATTTTAACTACCATAGCAAAGCTGTATGTAAGTTAAGGAAAAACTTATAATTTAAGGAAATTTCCTGAACTTATGCAATGCATTCCTATGGGAAATTTTAAGTTAAGGAAATGCCTGAAGTTATGGAAGTTATGAAATTGGAGCCAGGACTTAGCCAGGTTAGTTGTAGAATCCAGGGGTCGATCATTGGCATGGGACTCCTGTAGAAGGTTTGATCACGACCTGGACAAGATCAGGCACTGATCAGGATTGACTAGGATTAGAAGTGGGACTCAAAAGGGTTTGATCAGGACCCGGAGTAAGTTAGGTGTTCAAGAACTGAAGAAAAGTACACCAGTGTTGTTCCTGGTATACCATACACACAAACTTTATAGTCTTCTTCCTTTAACATATATCATTGACCTACTTCACTGTGTTGAAGACTGTGTCAATATTCAGAAATTCTTGCTGAAGTTTGACCACTGCTTCATTAATGTTGTACATGGCATTTTGTTTTCTGAACCTCTTGATCCATTCAACATTGAAATTTCTTCCTGTCTTTTGAATACTTTTGATCTATTGTGAATTGTACAGTACTTAGTTTAGGAAAAACTTTCTTCAGAGCTGCTTTTATGTTGGAAATATTTTTAATCATTTAGAAAACTTTCATAGCTTTTGGATTGTGGTTTATAAAGTCACTGTTGTGAATTATGAATATGTTTTATTCATTTATTCTTTATATATTAAAAAAAAGTTTGAAAGTTAGAGTTGTTTCTTTGTCAAATTGATTCAGGAAAAAAAATGGTAAAACATCAATAAAAGTTTCGGCAACATTCATTTACTGATCCAATTTCATTTCTCAAATCAATGCAAATACACGGGGTAAGTTATAGACATGTATTGATCATGTGTGGAGATCTAAAGAAGCCTCGTCTTTCCTGTACTTCACTTATAACAGTACAATATTTATCATAAGGCGTGTAGTTAGGATACTAAGCCAGTCCATTCCCAAAATGTCCAGCTGAAGAACTTCATTTGAAGGACTGAATAAAGTGTCAAGTGCTATCAGTTGGGAATATTCTATATCTACAACAAAACATGCTACCACTTGTGACAAGTATAGAGGTGACAATGGAAGTTCAACAACATTACAATGAGGGATTAACTCTGATCTTATTTGGTTCATTGGTGATACACACAGCCCGTAGGTAAACACAGGCGGGTGTCACCAGTGAAAAAGTACTATCAGTTCTCAGTGTGGTCACTGATTACAGTGCTTAATTGACTTAGGTGTACAGTGTGGTCAGCTTTGGGATACAGCGGTCAGTTTCTGTGATATAGATGAACATTTAGCATGAAGTTAGGGGTAGGTACTGTCATGTGTTTTTGTAATGCCTATAACTTATTATATACTAGTTGTCTATACTATAACACATGACTCCTTGTCATCTATATGTCACAGGGCTGCTAGTATATTGTGTATATGATATGATAGCCCCGTTTAGAAATATTTGGTAAACAGAAATAAATTTTGGTATATGTTGATTTGTGTCTTGATACCTCCTATGAGAAGAATTCTTCAATTATTTAATGTTATAAAACACAAGATACCTAGGGATTTAAATGTTTATATTGTTATATACCATGTGGTTAAACAATATCATTGCCTTACCAAATATTGAGGCATCAGTAAGCTTTAGGAATGTCTATTCTGAAGGCTTCTTCAACTCTGGAGAGGATTAGGACATGATGCCCTGAAATGCAGGTGCAGATTTCAAGCCTCCTCAACACTCAAAGTAAACCCTGAGATATGTAATTTTTTTCAAGTTACACATGTATTGAATGTAGCCCTGAACTTTGTGTATGTGTAGATCCTATTGTTAACAAAATCTGATCACCAGGTAAAGACAAGCAGGTCGGCAAAGAATGCTGACATACACATACAATCATCCGTGGGTTCATTCTGATTGAGTATTAAAGCTAAGCGTGATACTTTGGGTCAGTTCTGGAACAGGTTTTTATCACAGCTGATGAGTGGTATATTGAATATCTTTGCAGTGTATCAATATGTTGTATTATTGCATAGACTTCTAGTAAATGAAAATATCTGAAATAGAAATAATTTATTTTTAGTGGTGACAATTTTGTAATTGTTAAGTTTTGTTTATATTCACATTTCTTTTGTATTTACTTATTGCTGATGTTAATTGAGTTTACTGCTACAATGTTCAGTGTTTTGCTGCAGCACCAAGTGTCTTACAAATTTTGTATCGTAACATGTTAGAGACTGCAATATTAGTCACCAGATAATCTTTTAACCTTGATTTTCATTTCAAAATCCACACAGAGGCTTAAGATATTAGGTTTTCAGATCTTAAAATCTATCAACTTTAAATGTTTCCTACATAATTAATCTCGATCATTGTATTATACTGTTAGTTTTAATCTAAGGATTATAATATTAGTTTGATTTTAATAACCAATTTAAAACTGAAAAATGAATTGCAATGGATTTTGATGAACATAGAATTATGCTGAATAAGTATAAGGCACATGTATGAGGTATGGCAATCTATAAGGACACCCCTTACAGCAAACTTTACTTGTCCTAGAAATGTCAGATTGTAACCATTCATATTATCAATAATTCAAATAAAAGTTTATAATTGATAAATGTTATTTATAATGCTTGTGCAAGTTACGATTGAACAAATTTTGTATGTATATTTACAACAATTACACTGTATTACAACATGCCTCATGCTATATATACCTGACTACCATTGTAAAGGACCCATGTGAGACCCCTCGCACTTTGCTTATTTTACTTAATTTCAAAGTAATTTTCAGTTTCGTACACACTCTAAATATAGATCAAATAAAATAGTGTTTAACAGGTGTGTAATATGTACAATATACAATGTTTATGAAAACGTGACATTTCATTAAAGTGAATCTTCCGTTGCTACTGTCTTTTAAATCTGTTATTAGCGATACTTATTGAGGTGAGATTCAGATTTAATGCCAGTTTCATATTAAACTTTCCATGTTGGAAACTTGTGTATATGACATTGATAATAGAATTAAATTTTAAAAACCCAGGGAGGAATATTGAATATTTATTGGAAAAAGGTATTAAAAATTAATATACCCTACATAAAAAAGTTTAGTTTTGTATTTTAAGCTTTAAGTTTTAGTTGAGTAAGACATTAAACAAGTGTTATCATGCATTAACTAATGTTTTAACTTTCCAGCTATCCTTCTTTATCATTGGTTTGTGTCACTTGTAAATGTGTTTTTGTTTTCCTGCAGACCTGAGGCGACTAAACCCCCTGAGATCCCTGCACACCCACCTCCACCCCAATTCACTTCAGTGTCCCCTCCTACAAGGAGTGAGGCACTTCCCCAGCACAAATCCCCTACCTCCCGACCTTCACCTACCAATCCAACCCGCCTCAAAATGTCGCTCCAAAGTGATGGCAACAGTATAGACGATGATGACAGTGATCTTGAACCTGACAGGTAAGTCTGGTTTATGTCTTATCTACTTATTTGTAACTGCTTGAAGCTGTTTTGTAAGTATTGTCTGATGATTTTAATGTTCTTCCAGCATGTAAAAAATGTGTTTATTCTTCTATTTATATTGTGCTTGGGAAAGTGTTTGGTTGCTTCCTGTCTTATTTTCGTTTTTTGTTACTAAACTCAAGAATCAGCATTTGAGAGCAATAAATAATTTAGTTTGTTATTATTTTACATTGTCTTTCAGTTATTTCTTATTTTCACATGGACTTGTCTTTGTTAGATTGTGACATCATCATCAATTGTCCATTTTGATGACGTCACAATTGTCATGACGTCATCAAAATTGTAGGTCATTATCAATGACATCACCAATTTTGTATCTCAAAACTGGTGATGTCATCAACATTTGTTTAAACCTAAACTTGTGGTTCTTTTTCCCAAACATTTCTATGGATACATGTGTATACTTTTTTGTCACAAAAGAAAAATGGTGGTTACACAGCAGTTGTGTAAGGTTGGTGGGTGTTGAAGCAGCTAGCCAATGGCAGCTGGTAAGTGTTGAGTGTAGTCGCCAGGTAAAACCTGAAATGAAAGGAAAAGTTTTAATTATTTCAGTCTCGGGTTTGTTTTTGGTTCTGACTTTGAACCTGTGTAAATACTCTTTTACATGACTTCTGCACAGGGTTGTTGAAAGGTTGACTTTAGATTGAATTGATAATATTAATATATAGTTTATGATTGATTGTCATTTTTTTCCTGGAGTGTATTTTTTGTATTAGTGAGGAAAACATGATTCTTGAGAATTAATTACGACAATTTAAGCAAAACTGGTCAACAGATCTACTGTCAGTCAAAGAATCTGCTGAAACTTGAAACTCAGTTTGTAGGTTAGATAAAAGCTCAAACAAAATAAGCCAAACAATGTTTCAAATGGGAATGAGATTTACAAATAAGTTTACTAATTTGGTGAAGTGTTTCGTTCATATTGTTTATTTATGGATTTCGTTTCTGAGAGATTGAAGTTCAAGATTCTGAAGGATTCAAACAAAGGAATCCCATCTGTTGTTAAAGCTGAATTTAGAAGGCAAACAGTATCAAGCTGAAACCCATTGGACTTAGTTATTTGGTGAACATTCCATTGGAAGTGAAAATAATATTTGTAATTATACGACTGTGTCATATAACACATGTCAGCTGTGAAATATTGATGAGTTCCTAATGATATACAGAAGTACAAAGACAGTTTACATATTTATATATTGAAAGTTAAGGAGATAAAGGGAAATTTTAACAGAGTTGATATATTACCATAATGAGTTGTGCTAACGAACATTTTTTGCCAGTTAACAATAGTTTGTTGATTGAAGAAATTAGAAAGCCATGTCTGAAGAGTATTTTGTATATATCATATGGGACAAAAAGGCTTTGTAGATGTAGACAATAATTACCTAACCTTGGTGTTTTGGATGTTATTTGTTTGTTGACAATGTATTCCTTTGTTCAGCTGTGTGAAATATTTCATCACATTTTGATGACATTAGCACAGTACATGCTGGCTGTAATTAAATACTCTAACCTGTTATTCTGTAAAACCAATAATGTATCAACAAGGTGCCTAGTGTTAATGACTTAAAAAATCATATCACCATGCAAATAGTCTGTTAATTATTTAAACTTTTATGGATTTTGGTGATAAAGAAAAGTTTTCTAGAATTTAACTGGTGATATTTCAGGTTGGGATTTCTCTAGCATAACAATTTATTATTGATCAGCTTGTTGATGTTTATGGTTGATCGCTTAACTGTACATAAAAAAACATCTGAACTGTAGTGCGACTGTGAACGATATCAGTATTGTGATCAGTGGTGTCACCTGCACAGTTGGTGTGGAGAGATGAACTTGTGCTGGAATGTATCCTTAGTGGGATGTGATATCCTGATGGTTTTACCTGTCTGATCTTGTCCTGTCCAGTCAGTGTAACATTACACTACAAATTATTGGCCTTGTGATAAGAAACTGTTAAACATATTAGGAAAATGTTGTTTGTGAGGAGGCTTTTGTTTCATACATGGTTGGTAACTATCAGAACTAAGGATAAACATGCTGGACTTCAGTGATGGAAATCAAGACGTGATAGTTTGGTTTGGTGAGAATTAAAGAGGATTATGTCTACAGAGGTGCAGTGAGATCATGTTCCATGGAACATATTACAGGAGACCAATGGTGTATATGTACCATCCTCCACCAATATTGCGTTCCCGGCAGCGCTGGCTCCTCCCAACCCCACTTGTGGTGAGGGAGAGATTAGTGTCGAGGGCTCACAGTCCCCCTCCTCCTACTCAAGTAGTGGAAGTCACACCAATGGTGGTTGAGGACGAGTAAGTCACCAGTGTGTTCTAGTAGTTGTGAATCCCTTGTCTGGTGCTTTGTGTGGTTATTGGATGTTTTGGACTTTGGCATCTTGTAAATGCCATCTGTTATCATGCCATTTATTGTAGGAAGTCGGTTGTAGGTAGGCCTATTCATTTTAAGGGACAAACATTTTGTGTTTGTGGTCATTTTCTTAACAGACTGTTGTGATAATTGTATTCCACCAAGAAAACCTTTTGTAACTTATTGAAACTCTACAGGAGGAAATACATGATTCCAGGACTTTGTGTGGAGATGAATCTCACCAATTTGTCCACATTATTGTCTACACTAATTATTATAGCCAGTCTCCTTATACTTGTGATATATCTCTGAGACCCCCTATAGAATTAAATTTTACTCCAAAGATGTTATCACTAGGGCCCTTTGGTATATAACACACTAAATTTATATCATGTTAGAATTTAGTGATCAACAATAACAGTTAAAGGGTCAAAGGTCATAATTTACCATTTTGTAGACAATATTATTTCATCCTTAAAGTTAGTATACAGTATTTACACTTTTTTAATCCTGTAACTGGCAGTGTAGTTGTCAGAATACGCCTGTCACATATATTTTTGCTGTAATGCAAAACAGCTGTATTTTAGCACACATGAATTTAACAGAGTAGATTTCTTAGCTTACTTAAAAACTACCTTTAACAATATAAAGAAAGTGTTGAAAAAAAATAATTTTATATGCTATAATGAACAAGCTTATTTATAAAAATTCAAAAAGTTGTTTCCATATCCTTTGAAATTTGGAACTATATTTCTGTGTGGAACAAAGATTGAACAAAAAACGGTTGAAGTTTTGATGGTCTGATTTGCAGTCAGTGTTGCAGGATAAACAGAATACATGGTCAGTGTTTTAAGATATAAACTGGCTTTTTTTGCTCTGGACAAAATGACAAAAGTCGCTTACCAGAGGCCTGCCACTTTTGTGTTTCTTCACCCTCGCCAAAATACAGCTGATATTTTAAGACACTGTATTTCATCTTATTACTAATGAATGTTCCTTTATCTGGAAAAGTTATTCGTAGATGGACATAGCACTAAATTCAACCTCAGAACTTTCACAAACAGATGGTAAAGTTAGAATAAAGTACTGATCAGTGTTAATTAGATTTTCCTAAAGATTGACATCTGCTGTTGACAGGTCGGACATGGGGACGTATCTGAAGAATCTGCCCACATCCTACAGCTACGCCCCCTACAAAGGTCTCGACCTCCCTGACGACGACATGCTGTCTTTCACCTCCACAGAGAATGGTGAAAACTCGACATACACCAACACCAACATCCCTTACAGCAAGGATGTTCTTGCCAATATGAATCTCAGTGGTAAGTTATTCTACAATTTAATCTTTGTTACTATGAATGATTAGAATTGGTTGATTTACCTATTTTTTAAATCAAAGCCATATAAACAATCAGAAAATTTTACTGCATTTTTGTACTTAAATACCAAAAGTTATACTGTAGTCTTTGAAGGATTAATTAGTGTTTTATGTTAATGTATTGAAATGTAATGTGCCTTTTACAAAAATTTGCAGGATTTATGTCTTTCATCCTGAGTGTTTGCAAATTGCAAAAAAGATCACTAAAAAAATTAATCTGATATTTGGTCTGTCAGGTAAAGCTGTAAATGAAAGCTAAAGAGATACAAAAAGATTATTGATGAACAGACTTTGGTCTTTGTGTTTGAGCAGTTGTGACTAAATTTCAAACTGGTAAGACTATGTAATCTATTACCATTAGACAGTGTACTGGTAAGGCTACGTAATCTATTACCATTAGACAGTGTACTGGTAAGGCTACGTAATCTATTACCATTAGACAGTGTACTGGTAAGGCTACGTAATCTATTACCATTAGACAGTGTACTGGTAAGTTTGACAGTGTATAGAAATCTATTACCATTAGACAGTGTATGGTAAGGCTGTAATCTATTACCATTAGACAGTGTACTGGTAAGGCTACGTAATCTATTACCATTAGACAGTGTACTGGTAAGGTAACGTAATCTATTGCTATAGTGTTTGATGATAGAAATGATACATAACTTGACTGTATCAGTATAGATTGTAAGAGCTATTGCCATAGAGATGGACATTCAATCTTAACCTAGAAATAGGCGCTCAGTATACTTGGTCACCATTTCTGATTCTTCTTGTCAACTCTGAACTTAAGTCATTCTACATAGTAAACTGAAACAAACTGCTCTAAAATTTAAACATATGTTACAAATTGTAATAGCATGATATTTAGAATTGCTTGCAGACAGTCTTGGACACTTTTTACCTGTAATATTTAGGCTTCTCTTTGTAATGTTATTTTTATTGTCTGATGTAGATCCTAACACCGTGATAAAGCTTCAGGACCACCTCCGAGATCAGAGGAAGATGTTAGATCAGGAAAGGAACCAGCGACTCACAATGGAGAGCAAGCATAAATCACTGTCCAAGGAACGCAATGAAATGCAGAAGTAAATATCTATATTTATTTTAGTTTTGTTGTTACTGTGGGATACTTTCAGTTTGATATGGTAGATTATACTTGATAAATATGTGGTCAAATAACATCTTTGTTCAAAACTGTGCTGTGTTGTCTTTACAGGAAGATAGACACACTGAACCAGCAACGTACATCACTGGAGCAAGCTAAACTTGACCTGGAGCAGAGGATCAGGACCCTGGAGTACAGCCTCAATGAAGAGGTAGAGATGAGGAAGAATGCTGACATCCTCCTCAACAAGACCAAGGAGCAATTGGCCAGAAAGGAAGAACAGTATACAAGGTAGGCATGAATACCTTGTCAATTGGCTTTCTCTGTGAAACATAATCCCAAACAGTAGGAACTTAAAAAAATCTAATCAAATAAGCGCAGTGGTTTTACACGTGATAGGAGTCTCAAGATTTCTCTAAAGGACAAATGCTGAAACTAATGTTTGTTGCAGTGAGATGGAAGGGCGACAGAAAGCAGAACTCCAGATCAGGAACATGCAGATGGAGATCAGAACTGCCACCAGTGCCCTGAAACAGGTAAGATCTTAGTCATAGGTCATAGGTCACTCTGGGGTTATTACAAGTTTAGGTCATTTGGGAGTTTTGTCATAGGTCATACAATCATGAACCAAATTCCACATGTGATGCCATCTGTTGCATACCACACAAACATTAGAGAATTGTCATAGGTCATATATATCCCAAGGTCATAGAGAATTGTCATAGGTCATATATATCAAGGTCATAGAGAATTGTCATAGGTCATATATCCCAAGGTCATAAAGAATTGTCATTGGTCATATATCTCAAGGTCATAGAGAATTGTCATAGGTCATATATCCCAAGGTCATAGAGAATTGTCATAGGTCATATATCCCAACTTCATAGAAAATTGTCATAGGTCATATATCCCAAGGTCATAAAGAATTGTCATAGGTCATATTTCTCAAGGTCATAGAGAATTGTCATAGGTCATATATCCCAAGGTCATAGAGAATTGTCATAGGTCATATATCCCAACTTCATAGAGAATTGTTATACTAATTACACATCACAAAGGTTATAGGTCATATCTTAACACAGGTCAGAGCGAATCATCCTACTGAGTTGGCTTTATATGTTAAACATTTGTCTGTAGATATCAAATACTTTTGATGTTACAGCTTGAGGATGAGAAAGAGACACTGACACGTCAGTACCAACATGAGAAGAATGCTCGTCAGCTTCAGGAACATCTTAATGAGGAACAACAGAAACTGCAGCAGCAACTACACACCGAACAGGTCAAGGCCGCCACTCAAAAGGTGAGTTTATGATAGGATCACGGCTATCAGTAGGAAGTGATAGTCAGGTCAAGGCACAAATATCAGGTGTTAGTCAGTTCAAGGTCACTAATCACAGGTGATAGTCAGTTCAAGGTCACTAATGACAGGTGACTGTAAGTTCAGTAATAATAGGTAACATCATTGCCTCTTTCTCTCAAACATCATCATCTGTATGATAATTAGAGTTATTTACCAAATCTGAGACATAAAGTTTGTCCTGGAATTCAGAAAAAATCTGCTGCATCTAAGACAGTTCTGCTATCATCACAGTACAATGGCACCACTAGGGTTATCATTACTTAGAAAACATAACAGTTTTCTTAACTCAGGTCAGACACTTCTAATTACCTCCCCTTCAGTAACACATTGTTGTATTTGCTTGCAGTCTGATGCAGAGAATCGGCTGGAAGTTGCTGATGAAGACAGGAAGTACACCCATGATCATTTAGAAAAAGCTCGTGCAGAACTTAGTGCTATGAAGGTATGTTTTCGATACAATTCCACAAATATACCTTAGCTTTATCAAGTGTAGGTATGATTCAATCACAAATTTTTCAGATGTCAAAATGAATTAAAGAAAAGAGCAAATTTTTCAGATTTAATTCAGATGTTATTAAGAAAAACTTTAAAAGCTTGTGTTATAACACATTACATTATCATCTGTCATTTGTCTTTAAAATTTTCCTGAAATTATTATGATACACCAAGTGGTCCTTTTCCTCTTCATCACAGATTATTATAAATTATCAAAACCTTTGATAAATAAGAAAACCTTTAAGTGACAGAAACTTCCCTTTCTTTTTAGTGATATCCTCTTTATCACATAACTAGCATGTTCTGCTAATGACACAAATGTCAAATGGCACACGTTATGTGATAATTGTGTTATGATGCCGTAAATGTAAGTGTGTCTGTAGTGAAAAAATATCCCATCCATGTGGAATTCTGTCTGATGAATAAACATGACAGACCAAGAGTATTATGTCAATGTTGTGATTTCAAGACTTACCTCAAAGCTTCTGCCAACAAGACTTTGTATCCTTCTTTTATTGAATTCCTTACAACAAGGCCAGGCATTTGAGATATTCTCTGTACGAGACATGTACTTTATAAAGACATGATCTCATGATTCCTGACCTTTGAAATGTTGGTCTCATGACATATTCTTGTTATCAGTTGGAGATTGACAGACAGAGGTCAAGGTTCAAGGATGAGAATGCACTGCTTTCATCAGAAAATGAGGAGCTGCAACGAAAGATTGAGGACTTGAAGACTGAAATTAAGTTGAATGAGGATGCCCTGGCTCATGCCACAGTCCAGTATAACCTCCAGATTAGCAACAGTCGCAGTGAGGTCAATGTCCTTAATGGTGTGGTGGAGCGTGAACGTCTGGCCAGGGAGAAGGGCGAGGCACAGGTTTGTACATCTGGCAGTTAATGTATTTTTTTCTGTACGGAGCTGTCAGTTACCTTACCCTGACAATCAGTATGACTTTGAAGAGTTTTCTGTTCCTAGACCTAGTACTGTCTGAAGTACCAGAAGAAATGTTGCTGACTAATGCTGAAATGAAATCTTTCACTTTTCCTGATGATGATAAACATATTCCTCCTCAGTGAGATAAGGAGTTTAAAAGTTTAGTACATGTGCATGCTTTAATGTAAAATATTCTCATTTGTTTGATGATGGAAGGGAAATTCAATCCATTAAGTACAGTTTCTAATGTTGTATTTCAGTTGGAATCAGCCAAAAACAGACTGCATACTGCTGCTATGGAACTGGAGAAGAGTGAGCAAGCCAGGAATGAACTGGAAAGGTATTTTACTTTTAGCAAATGTTGATTACGTTTCTATAAATAATCAACACACCAAGAGTAAAACATGAAATATATCAGAAAATCAGATAAGACAGAGCCATACTTAGACAAAATCTTTTAACATCATCTCAAATGACATTTATTTTTATAAATATATAAACGACCGAATACTTAACTTTGTAAACACATTGATCATACAAAGACAATATGCAGTGGAGGGTTCTTGACCCCTAAATCAGAGTTATAGCCTTTTGTTTAAAGATTCTTGTTTTGAGTATAACTTTGTTGCATTTAAGCTAGGATAATGAAATTTGATATATACATTGATCATACAATGTGCAGTATATCAATGATAGGGTCTCCAACCCCTTAATTACAGAGTTAAAGCCCTTTGTTAAAATTTTGTGTCTGGAGCATAACTTTGCCTGCATTGAAACTAGGATATTGAAACATGATGTATTAATCAGTCATAGAAAATCAAGGTGCAGTGTAGTAAAATCGGACCCATGACCCCCTTAAAACAGAGTTATTGCCCTTGTTAAAATTTTGTGTCATGAGCATAGCTGTGCTTTCATTTGAATGGAATTTGGTGTATATATTATGTGCAGTATAGGAAATTCAGGAGCGAACTTGCAAAATTTTTTAACTTTCCATGAAAGAAAAAGAAAGAGAAAAATCCTATAGCTACATACTGTGGGTACAACCCACTTAGGACTTTTAATTTTTCAAATTGTGCGTCCTATGCACAGTTGTTTTCTTGGCAGCAAAATAAACAATTTATAATCTGTTCTTAAGTTTTGTCATTCAGTACCAATGTTAGTGACAATGTCTTGATTTGAAACTTAACATTGTTTCTGTCAATTGTACTTTTTGCACAAATTTCACAGATTTGATGGAAAATGTATTCAGAATTTCAAATTTGGTCGTTGACAGTCATCTTCAATATAAGAGTTTGATTGTATTGCATGTGAAGGATTATATCTGACTTTGAATTTACAAATGTATATAATCAACATTTTTAGCCCATCAGTAGATTTGATAATAGTACATTTAAAAAGAAATATTTACAATCCATTCTCAAATTTGTTTCAGTTAAACAGAGTGAGTTTCTTTGACAGTGTATTGAAAAATAATGAAAACATTTTTTTTTATAAATACTGGAGCAATCCGCTTAGTTTTGGCTGGATTAGTAAAGAAAGATATTAGTACTTGTTTGCCTTTACTATGAAATTGTAAAATTGTACTTGCCGGGACAAGAAAAATAATTATATAATGGTAAAATTATTTGTACTGAATGAAATGATCAGAGTTGGCCCTAAAGCAGATTTGGGTAAATTGGAAAGTTTGTAAACAGTTTCCAATGGAAAACTCACCTCTGTGTGTGGTTTCAGGCGATACCAGGATGACAAAGAAAACTGGGAGGTCACCAAGGACCAGAAACAGCGGGAACTCCAGGATCTACAGGAACAAAATCAAACTGTGGTTAGGAGGAGTCATGCCATCGAGGCCAAGCTCACCTCAGTGGAAAATGAGGTAAGGTAGTCCCTGGTGATGGTTTTATATTGTAACATAAATGCAGCTAGTAAGTGAATTGTGTATCAAGGTTGTTGAAAACAGTAAGATAACAGCTTGAAATGTGCCAGAGGTTTGACATTGAATGCACAGTAGATATCAGCCAATCAGATTGTATATCTTTTATGTGACAGGTATCAGCCAATCAGATCAAATATTTTTTATAGGACAAGTATCAGCCAATCAGATTGAATATTGTTTATATGACAGGTATCAGCCAATCAGATTGAATATCTTTTATATGACAGGTATCAGCCAATCAGATTGTATATATCTTTTATATGACAGGTATCAGCCAATCAGATTGAATATTGTTTATATGACAGGTATCAGCCAATCAGATTGTATATCTTAATATGACAGGTATCAGCCAATCAGATTGAATATCTTTTATATGACAGGTATCAGCCAATCAGATTGTATATATCTTTTATATGACAGGTATCAGCCAATCAGATTGTATATCTTTTATATGACAGGTATCAGCCAATCAGATTGTATATCTTTTATATGACAGGTATCAGCCAATCAGATTGTATATATCTTTTATATGACAGGTATCAGCCAATCAGATTGAATATTGTTTATATATTGTTTATATGACAGGTATAAGCCAATCAGATTGTATATCTTAATATGACAGGTATCAGCCAATCAGATTGTATATATCTTTTATATGACAGGTATCAGCCAATCAGATTGAATATTGTTTATATGACAGGTATCAGCCAATCAGATTGTATATCTTAATATGACAGGTATCAGCCAATCAGATTGTATATATCTTTTATATGACAGGTATCAGCCAATCAGATTGAATATTGTTTATATGACAGGTATCAGCCAATCAGATTGTATATCTTAATATGACAGGTATCAGCCAATCAGATTGTATATATCTTTTATATGACAGGTATCAGCCAATTAGATTGAATATTTTTTATATGACATATCAGCCAATCAGATTGAATATTTTTTTTATGACAGGTATCAGCCAATCAGATTGTATATCTTCATATAACAGGTATCAGATTGCATATCTTTATTTTTTATAAGATGTAATATCATAGAGTTTATTTTTGTTTCACAGTTCCATATAGTTAGTGCTAATCTAATGGAGAAGTCTAACCTGTATAACCAGACTGCCAAAGATCTACAATACTACAAAAGTGCTCAGGAAAGCTACGACCAAAATTACCAGGTGGAAAAGGTCAGTTCTCATTGTTCTAAGGTATTGTTAGATAAAAGGAATGTTAATACCGTTAGGTGATATTTATCACCTGGAGGTAAATCATCAGGCATCAACCTTTATATAATCTCTAGCATTACTACTAGTATTTCTTAACTAGTCTGTAGTTGTTGTGTAGACTGGTATAACTTCAGGATGTGAGTTATATTTAAAAATTCAATACTTGTCATGCACACTTTGATTATATAGTTTATTTAACAAAATGCAAGGTAATTTTTCAACAAGAGAAATAGTTTTAGTCTTATTTTGTATGAATTACATATTAAAGACTAGAGAAAACAAAATATGGATAGAGATATTCAAATAAATTGAATTTCAGCAATAGACATGCATTCTTGTATACATAACAATCTTTTATGAAGTTACAAGCCAAATCCGGGAAAATTTTAAATTGATGTTGATCTTCTTTACTTTGAAAACTTACCATGATCATTAATTGAAGTCTTGATATAGAGCTTTGAATGTTTTATATTTTCATCTTCTACAGGAACATAATGTGAAACTTTCGGCCAAGATTGAAAATCTTCAAGAAAAGTGAGTTCACATGTAAACTTATATTCCTTATCTCAAGCATTTTGTCATGGTTTGCGATGTGAATTAACTTTTGACAGTATCTCTGAATTAATAGTGTTAAATGTCCCTACCAGAAAGTCAACTGCTGAGTTTTTAAAACTTTATTTTATGGTGAGGACATAAAACAGAAAAATAGGTTTGGACAGATATTGATACATCTTAAATTGGATTTGTTGTCGTTTACGTAATGTTGGCTGTACTGAAAGTAAAAATATATTTGTTTTGTGTACAGGAATACAACCCTACAGCATGATAATTTGAGTCTGAAACAACAGCTAGAGACATCCCAGCAGGCCTTGGCTGACCGAGCTGCAGACACAGGGCAGGAGAGATTCACCACAATTCTAGCTTCACTTAAAGCTGAACAAGACAAGGTAGAACACTGCAGTAAATCTCACTACATGTACAGCCTTCTTCCCTTCCAATCATATTACACTGCAGTAAATCTCACTAAATGTACAGCCTTCTTCCCTTCCAATCATATTACACTGCAGTAATTTATGATTGATGCAGATTTCCACTGGAGGGAGAAACACATTGTCAAATGACCTAGCAAATCTATGTTTTTTTTAGAAAGGTTTTCTTCCAAAAGTTCAAATGATGTTCTAGTACCAGTTAATGTAGATTTTACCAACATTTGGTAAAACTGAATAATCTGTCCAATGGCTAAGAATGTTTTCATCTTCTAACAAAACAAATGAACATATTTCTAAATTTTCATTTCTGATATACCGTTTTTTCTGGGTTATAAGTTGCACTCGTATATAGGCTGCAGAGCCAATTCTATGGATTTTTTTTATTTGATCCATATATCATACACACTGGAATATAATCTGCATCCCTTCATCCGCATACAAGCCACATCAATATATTAACTACATGCCTGTCCCATCAGGGAAAAAGTTGCAGCTTATAATACAGAAAATATGGTAATTAATTTATGAAAAATGGATTACAGGTATTTATTACAATACTTTTAATGGAAAGAATATTTTTTCTATTAGGGTGATAAAAAAATAACTTCCACATTCAAAGGTGTGTATATCTTCCTTGTTGCAGTCACGTTTGGCTTTGGAGGAGAGGAATTCATCCCTCACAGAAACGACATCACGTCTCAGGGAAGAGGTGCGTAATTCAGACGCCCGGCGCTCACAACTAGAGCAAGAGCTCAACCGGATGAATCGTGACTACAATGATCTCATCAGGAAACTTTCTGTGGCTGAGGCATCCCTAGAAATGGCTCAAAAGGTTTGTTCAAATTAAATCAAGACCTCTCATTTTATTTCATACTGTGTACTTTGTTACATGTGGATGTAAAGGAGCTCCATTGGATTCACCATTCTGATGGCCAGACAAAAAGATGTGGAACGGTGTTTCTATCAGTCAAGACAGTGGCATTGACTGTAATACCAGCAAATATACACTATTGAAAATGTTCTGAAAATGAAATTTAATAGAAAACTGATGTATTAAAAGGCAGTTATGTAATTTCAACAAAGTATTTTTCCATGTTTTATAATGTCATGTCTAACAGAGACTCCTTTATCATTGTAATTTTTTTAATGTCCTAAATGTCAGAGAAGGGGACAGTTGTGCTGACCACAAAAGGTCACTGGAACTATAATTACATTAGGGCTCTGTTAGATTCTCTTATAATGATGTACAAATTGAAAGGAGATATCTCATCCTTGATACCCCATTGGTTACCATCACTTTCACTCTCTACAACCCTGGAACATTTCCTGGCAAAATTGAAGTGAAGCAATTTGATTGGTCTTGAGTGGGTTTCAGGAGAAAATAAATGGACCTATCACAGTCTGATATGCTCCTTTGAAGATTACAAAGGAGTGTTACTCAACTTCACAGCCACTACAACATATACTCATGTGACCTTTAGATTTGTTAGATGTACAAGGATCAAATTAGTCTTATCCACAAGGTGTCACACACAGAACTACCAATTTGGCCATGGAATGTTCCAGGGGTGCAGAGAGCGATAGGGAGCCTAATCCCTGGAGTATTGAGGACAGAGAGATCTGAACTTATTATGTACCCACAAAGTATTACCAAAGACCAGGCCTATTTACATTTAACTGATGAAAGTGGATATTTGATGAATACTGGTTTCTAAACAACTTACACTGTAGTTAGAATGTTAAGTGTGGAGATTTTTATTTGTTTATACCTTTAAAGTTGAAGAGATACAGAAAACTTTGCATATGAAAAAACTGTATACTGTTTACTTTCTTGTCCCAGTAACTCTTTATGAGTAACGAATTGTGAAGTAATGATGTCAGCTGAGGTTAATTGTGGTTATGTATTGGAAAGAACTTGTCTCACTATATTTTCATTCTGTGTAGTCGAAGGAGTCCCTGGAGCAGGAGAGGGGACAACTGAAGCTAGAGGTAGACAGATTACACCAGAAGTACGAGATGGCCCATGAGAAATCTATCGAGTCCCAGGCTCGAATCACAGAGATGGTAGATAGACTTGAAAGATCAGAACAGAACAACCTGTACAGCAGTCAGCAAATCTTAAACAACTCAGCCAACATGGAGGCTTTCTCAAGGACAAAGGTATCTAGGGTCTTATTTCTCAAGGTTAAATATACTGTAAAGGTTTAGGTTGTTTAGCTCTGAGGTCTTACTTTGTGTAAAACCAAATCATAAATCTTATCATATGATATAATGATATCAGTTATGATTAGAAGACTATGTTCTGCTTTAATTTACCCTAACCACTCAGATTGTTTGGTTTTAGGAAGAGCTTGAGGACAGCTTGCAGAAGATACAAGTTGATAATGTCAAACTACAGGCGGAATTGTCACATGAGAAACAGCGTGCAGAGATGTTATATAAAGACTTACAAGACTCTCAGAGGGTATGTAGGAACAGTATGGAAGACAGGGAACAACTTTCCCGTAACATTTCTCACCAACTCTCCCATCAATAGATGTGTATTCTGTTTGTATTCCAGGTATCTGTAAACTGATACTGCATCCATTTGAATGCTAAGAGACACTACAGAACTATTGTTACGTTGAATGGAGTGACCAATAGTTTAGTATATTTGTGTTTAAGTACAGATTTTACCAGATCTATCTGCCTTTTCAGGTGCGTAGCAGTCTAGAGGAACTGTGTTCAAATCTCAAGTCTTCCAAGGCCCAACTGGAGGACAAGCTCGGGGTAGGTTTTCATTGACCAATCACATTGGTAATTAATGTGTAATAGGAGAAGGTGTTTATTTGTTTTAAGGAAATATTTCCAGATGTTTTTTAAAAAACATGATTTATCGCATTACTACTTGTTTGGAATGTTGGAATTGTTTGTTTGGTCTCTTGAATGTGTTTGAGGATGTACAAAAGGACAGCATGGTATTATGGAGGTTAGAATTCATGTATATCACAGAAGGATGATATTGGTGCACTTGTATAATGTACATGATATAACAGTGTAACGCCATAACAACATATTGTATATTACTTAGTGGAGAGGTAACCCTGAGCATGTGCATCACTTAAGTCAATGGCTTGTTGTATATTGTATTACTTCTGAAGAAGAAGCTTTGAGCATGTGATTAATACTGCAGACAACATAAGGATATATCTGTCAAAGTTATTCACCTCCGCACTGAAGGCTGGAGATTTAGCTGTAAATTCATTGTTGTAACATTGATGAGGAAGAATCCATACACTTAAGTCACCAGTTTACTACATGTTTTATACTTTAAGATAACTGACTTTGAGCATGTGTATCAGCATGAAGTAAGTCACTAACTTTATAATACTAAGGGTTGGAGACCTCTGGTCACTCACTGTTTATTATGTCACTAAGGCACACAAAGCCTTCTTTATAATGTGAACATGTATCACTAATATTATATATATTGTATGTTGTATCACTGAGAAATATGCCTGACAGCTTTGAGTCTGTCTACCAGTATGTGAATGTAGCATGACACCAATTCTTGTTTCAGCGTGAGCAGGGTATTGATGTAAGTGATGGGTGCACTGTGGCCTGTTTACACTGCATGGCTTATGTATTGTCTGTAGCTTAGTCTGGTAGAATGGAGTATCCCGCTAGCTGCTTTAACTAATCTGCAGTCTTCATTCTTGTAGCTTCTACTGATTCTGACTTTGACAACTTTACATTCTTAAACTGTTAAATGGAACATATGACTTTCAGTTTTGAAGTTGAAGATTGTGGGATTTTGAATCAAACCTTTGAAATCGCTTTAATTAATTTGAAGAAAAAGTTTTGGAAAGGAGATTAAACAACAAAGTCCTCTTGTTCAGACTGAAGTCATTATGTTACCATTTGTACATGATTCTACAAAACTCTTGGTTTAGATTTCTGAGGGATCCTTAGTAGTTTTCCTACTATAGTCATTTTGTTTTTCTGTTACAACAATTTTTGTCAGAAAGTTTTACTGACTTAAAGCATGACAGCACTAACTAATTAGTAAAACCTGACAGACTGACATCACAGCTGGTATAAAAACATTTCTACCCTTTAATTAGGGTTTTTTAAAGACTATGGTACATTCTGCAGTAACTTTCTGACTGAGAAAGTAGCATTTTCACAATCAGCTGTTACCCCTTAAAAGACAGGAACCCATCCTCTGTCATCACAATTAGATTTTCTTTACATATCTAGCCCTTACCATGAGAAGCTATCCTCATCTCATCTTCTACCCTCACACTGAGAAACTGTTCTCATCTATTTCCTTCTGTGAGTGAAACTTATCAGCTACTGTCATAATAAGATGTACCACCCCCACAATGAGAAACTGTTCTCATCTCCATACCCTACAATGATGAACTGTTCCCATATTATGCCTTTAAAATGAGGAACACCTCAGCTGCTCTCATCACAATTTGAAAATGTTTTCAACTTTGTCATCTTAGAAAATTCTCATGTACTGACTACTAAATTAGAAATTCTTCTTTTCTACACCCCATACAATGAGAAACTTTCCAGTTGCCCTCACCATGATAAACTCCTCATAATACTGCCCTCACAATGAGAAATTATTCTCATCTACACATCACACAACGAGATACTTGTTATCACTTGCATTCACTTTGATAGACTCCTCATAATCCTGCCCTCAAAATGATAATCTACTGCCATCACAGTGAGACATTCTTTGTAGCTATATTGCTGTTTACTTTGTGCTCTGTCAGCTCTATACAATGTTGTTCCTCTTACAACTATTTTGTCTTTATTTTGTGGATGGAGGAAGTTTTAAATAACCTGATCGATGTTGTGTGAGTGTGACAACATGGTTAGATTTGTTTACTATCAACAAATATATAAGCTTCCTAATCATATATAAGCATGTTGTCATACTTCCATAGAGACAGCTGTCTGCTAATAATGCTGGTTTCTAACAGATCTGTCTTCTTTACTTTATCTGCTAACTCACTGTAACTCTGTAGATGGAGTCTGTTACTCGCAACATGATGACACAGGAAGCTGAAAACAACAAGGAATTGTGGGAGTCAGAGGTTGTGTCTCGCTCTAAACTTGGTCTGCGGGTGAGTGTGTAATAAAACTGACTCTAATGTTTCTAATGTTTTCTAGAGAGTGGCTAGGTGATGTATCTTTCTATCAATGCCTTCCTCACACTGTATAACACTGTAGTACCTAGCTTACATGTGTGGTAACACACAGCTGTATCCTGACTCTGTGGACTGTAGTGTAGAGCTTCATTGTACTTGTTTCTATAAGGTGTTTACCATTTATGATAAATTGATCAGTTATCTGTTGGTTTAATTCAATGATGAATTCCTGTATAGTGTTATAATTATCTTTTATTAATACAAAACTCATTTTTTATTTGATAATGATAATGTTTTATGAAATAACTTAATATTGTTTAAAACTCATGTTTACTAGATATGTATTTGGCAACTTTGATTTAAAATCTAGACATTCTCTCAGAATATCACTAATCTGAACTCTGATATATTCAATAGAATCAGATCCCTGGGCTGTTAACTTACCAGGAAAGGATCAAGTATGTACATAGGACAGAATGTTCAGACTTGAGGAAAAAATTCCTAAAATATTGTAATAATTTCCTTAGATAAAGTTTACAATGTGATAGAGTCATGAAACTGAGGTAGGTATTAAACACAATACTTTTAGATGATAATTTCATCACATGAAAACATATTCAGTTTTCATATTTCAAGAATAAATGATTGTGTATTGTGTGTATTACATAGATTGTACAGTATGAGAGACAGAGACAGGATGCTGTTGGCCAACTAGAGGAGGTTTGTATATAGTATATTATGTATTCTGTTTGGGATATTCTGTAAGTTTAGATGTAACATATTATCATTTATTCATATTCCTACTGATCACTACCCTTGTGTGTATAATTATAGCAATGAGAACTTTACACCAAAGTAGGATGTACCATATATGTGATAGGTAAACATAAGTTGTAGGATGTACCATATATGTGATAGGTAAACATAAGTTGTAGGATGTACCATGTATGTGATAGGTAAACATAAGTTGTAGGATGTACCATATATGTGATAGGTAAACATAAGTTGTAGGATGTACCATGTATGTGATAGGTAAACATAAGTTGTAGGATGTACCATGTATGTGATAGGTAAACATAAGTTGTAGGATGTACCATGTATGTGATAGGTAAACATAAGTTGTAGGATGTACCATATATGTGATAGGTAAACATAAGTTGTAGGATGTACCATGTATGTGATAGGTAAACATAAGTTGTAGGGATCGTTCTATTGTTCTTCTCCTGGGAGCTGTAGAGTTTGTGTGTCAATGTATCAACACAGGTATCTAATGATTGCTTTGGTTTATGTAAAAAGACTTTTGACGTTGAGCCCCTTTGGTCTGTAAACAATACAAGTGATGACCAGTTCTATGGTTGTCTGTAAGTTTTCACTGATATTTACAGGAGAAGAGAAAGTGCAGAAAAGCAATGGAACTAAAGAAATCATCAGAGGCCAAGTATGAAGCCGAGCATGAAAAGTAAGTACTGTTCATTTACAATCTGGTACCCAATACTGGGGTGTGGCATGTAAACCCATTAAATTTATACATACAACTGTTGGGGGAAAATGACTGATATCAAGACTGAGTTTTCCATATTAGATATCACAAATGACTGATATCAAGACTGAGTTTTCCATATTAGATATCACAAATGACTGGTATCTTCCATAATCCAAGTTTTCAACTCACCTTGTCCAAAGGGCTGGTGAGCTTATGTCATGGCATGGCATTCATTGTCCTTGCATATGCCAACAGCATCCATCAACATTTTTACTAAAAATTGCTACTAGTCATGATTGACCGAACAGAAATTTGGCCAAAACCATTGTTGAGGAAAGGGGAACCAAGTTTGTAAAAATATATATATTTTCTCTGTCTCCAGGGGCCTGAGGACGGGGCCCAAAATGGTCAATTTTGCAAGTTCTTTAAAATCCTACACCTCCTATAGGAACAAGTGGATATTGCCCAAATTTGGTCTGAAGCATTCATGGGTGGAAAAGAATCAGTCTTTTATAAAAGTTTGGTCTTGGCTTCCAAGGGCAGAAGGGATGGGGCCCAAAAGGGGAAATACTTCATAATCTTACTCCTCCTGTAAGAATGCTTTGATTTTGCAAAAATTTTGTCTGAAGCTTTTTTGAGTGAAAGGAAAACAATTTTATTTAAATGGTGGGTTTTGGCATCCTTTGGAAAGAGGGGCGTAGCCCAATAGGGAAAATAGAGCAAATTCTTTACTTCTCTAGTAAGAGTTATTTGATTTTGCCCAAAGTTGGATCTGAAGTATTTTTGGGTGAACAGGAATCTACACTATATAGATGATGGAATCCAGCCCCCTGGGGTTGGAAGGGCGGGACCCAATTGGGGAAATGTAAGTTCTTTAAAATCCTTCTTTCATAACTGGGATAGTGTCCAAATTTCCTCTAAAGCAATTTTATGAATTCACTAGTGAATCTGCCTTCTGTGTGACCACAAGGCCAGGATGCAATAAGGAAGTTATTTCAGAAATTAGTTGTTATATTTGAAATTCTTTGTTCAATGACTGAAAAGCTGAATTAGCCTGGTGAGTGACACAGGCCCCTTGGGCCTCTTGTTTATAGATGATAATATACTGCACTAAAGATTTCTATGATTCCTGATTTCAATGCAAATATTATATTTGTATAACTATTCCTTCCAGGAATGTCCAACTACAGACAGAGATTGCTAGTCTTAAATCATATCTGAAATCGGCCAAAAAGAGGTTAAAGGTGGGTATTATCATGAGATAGTGGAGATTTATTGTTTAAAGACTACCCTACATTGGTGGAGAGGTTTATAGAGTAATGGAAACATGCACATTATCTATTGTGTATGGTGGTGTTATTTGTTCCTGAATTGGGTAGTGCACTATTTTTACATCAGTTATATTCTTTACTTTAAGCCAGCTGGCTATTAACAAAATTTTTTGTAGGCCAGATTTTATATATTTCTAATAAATCTCTGTAACTGTCGCGGTATGGTGTATTATGTGATACAAGCCTGGCATGGAAATTTGGCTTGGAAAATTTAATGATTTTATAAAGGATATCAGGGAATGTTTGTTGTTATCATAGACATTTGCCATCTTTTTTCTTTACCAATGTTGCTCCTCATTTCCTGCTGGAGAAACAAAATGACAGTGTTACACTATACTTTATAATCCTGATGATCGGTTTATAATTGTTGGTATACATTATACTAATGAATACACATCATAAATTCTGTTTTTCTAGAGAACTGATATATGTATTGGACAGGAATGTCAACCAAATCAATATTGTGCTCTTGTACGTGGAATTTTTAGGAGTTGAAAAAGCTTTTCACTGTGTTACTATTCTTCTCGCGTATCATCCTGTTGGGTTAATTAGAAAATATACATATATTAGAGATTATACCCTCAGCCAGCATTTGTCTACTTCAGATTACCATTAAAGCTACTGTATATATCAGTATGTTTTCTGGATGCTCTGATAGACTTGTATTGAAAATGCTTATTTGCTCAAACTCTGTAAACTTAATGACTTTTTGACTTTGAAACATTGCAGGATCCCTTAGACGATGTATGTATTGTGTATAAAGCTGTTTTAGTGTGATAACTAGTATTCACTGCTAACCTTATAGACAGATGAACTTAGTAAACTAGACAGATGTGCTTATAACTATTAGACTCTCACAATGAATATTATCATTATCAATAGACATGAAATGAGTACTTAAAAATGCTTGATTGATATCTTTTTCAACAAAGTGAGATTAAAACATTAAGATACAGATGCACTTACGGCTAGCTTAGTAAGCTTTTAGAGTGCAAAACTCAAAAATCAGAAATTGCAGAGTTGTCTTTCTTTTCTTACGGACTGTCAATATCTAGGATGCTAATAAAATCTGCTGTGTGGATTTGATGAATTAATATGTTATAACATATTGAAAGGTTTTGAAGAGATAACAACTTTTTTTAAGAACAAAATTTTTAAGAAGGAAAGTCTTGAGGAATCGGAACTAACAAGTTTTTTAAGAAGGAGCTGTTTAGGCCTTACTGAGTTGCTATAGTAAGAGGTTGTTTGATGGGGGTGGGGGAGGGTTATTGATCATTAGTATACATAATTGTTCACTGATTTATGTTTGACTGTCATGCAAGTATTTTCACATTTCATATAATTATTTATTTATTTATTGTAATATTTTTTCTTTATTTCTTTTTTTCTTTTTGTATTTTCAATATAATGTTTAACTTTTTACTGTATCAACACTAAAAATATTTGCTTTATTTAACATTTTAAAACCAAATGGACTTGTTTGAATTGAGATGAAATGTTGATGTGAAGATTATTTCTAAAATCAATGATTTAGTTCTTTTTCTCTTTACTAACATATCTCTTTAATTCTATCCCTAACTTCTCATGGATGACTTTAGACTGTAGACAACTCGGATAATCGCATTAATACACTACACTCAGACTTCGACCAGGAGAGGTTAGCGATGGAGGGAACACTGTCTACAGTCAGAAGACAGGTAACTAAGACACGCCCACCTTCCAGTGTGGACCACGCCCCCTTTCCTATGTGGACCTGGCCCTTACCGTACTCTTTGTCATTGTGAATAGATTCTCATCCTATATATTTGACTGCAGTGTTCAACCATAGTTGATTGGTTTCAATCATTCAAGTTTTTTTTCTCTTAAGTGTATTTGATGTATTGATAATTGCAGCCAGAACTTAACAGAAACTTTCAAAAATTGTAATGCCAAAAATGGGATTTTCCAAATAAAATGTCAATGACAATATTGACCAAACCAATCACTTACATCGCTCAAATTCTTACCTGAACACTTTTACGGTAGCAAAATTTTTAAAGACACAAGATTGAAAAATGCAGTTCGATGCTTGATCTTGATCAGCTGAATACTATTATATCACAAGCATAGTCCTTTCATTTTCATCCTATTGACTACTATATTTTCATGACTTTTATAATTTCCTCTGAGTACATTAATAGCTATTTGACCTTTGAACCCAGCATTTTGGCCTTTGGATTTTTGTTGTTTGAAATACCTTTGACAATTTTGGTTTTGGTACCTAAGCCTATCATCCTGTTTAATGATATTTGACCTCCATGGTTAACCTCTGACCTTTGCCCTGCCAGCTAAGTGAGCTCCAACAACAGGTTGAGGAGGAGGTGGACAGTAAGTCCAAGCTCCAGGCCAAGAATCTACAGCTGCAGAGTGAGCTTGGCTCTCTGAAACGATTACAGAAGAGTGTAGAAAAACTTGAGAAAAGCAAGACGAAGATGGAGCAGGAGCATGCAGCATACAAGGTCAGCCATGCTGGTCACCACTTCACCTTTTCTGTTGTGATGTACCTATTGTTGTTGTACTGCTGGACCCCCAGACAGCATGCTTTTGGTGAATTCCCTGGTGAAAATCAGCATGCATTGAATTATGACTTGTTCCAGTTACCTGTTGTGATGTTTGCCAGGACAGCATGCCTTGTTTATGACCTGTATTCCAGTTACCTGTTGTGATGTTTGCCAGGACAGCATGCCTTGTTTATGACCTGTGTTCCAGTTACTTGTTGTGATGTTTGCCAGGACAGCATGCCTTGTTTATGACCTGTATTCCAGTTACCTGTTGTGATGTTTGCCAGGACAGCATGCCTTGTTTATGACCTGTATTCCAGTTACCTGGTGTGATGTTTGCCAGGACAGCATGCCTTGTTTATGACCTGTATTCCAGTTACCTGTTGTGATGTTTGCCAGGACAGCATGCCTTGTTTATGACCTGTATTCCAGTTACCTGTTGTGATGTTTGCCAGGACAGCATGCCTTGTTTATGACCTGTGTTCCAGTTACCTGTTGTGATGTTTGCCAGGACAGCATGCCTTGTTTATGACCTGTGTTCCAGTTACCTGTTGTGATGTTTGCCAGGACAGCATGCCTTGTTTATGACCTGTATTCCAGTTACCTGGTGTGATGTTTGCCAGGACAGCATGCCTTGTTTATGACCTGTGTTCCAGTTACCTGTTGTGATGTTTGCCAGGACAGCATGCCTTGTTTATGACCTGTGTTCCCAGTACCTGTTGTGATGTCTGGTTGGACAGCATGCTTGGAAAATTTCAAGGGGACCACGTAGTCACCGCTTTGTCTGTCTGTCTGTCTGTCTGTCTTGTCTGTCTGTCTGTCCCTCAGTTACAGAGTTATTGCCTTTTGTGTAAAAACTTCTTGTCCAGAGCATAACTTTGCTTTCATTTAAGCAAGGATAAATGAAGGTGGTGTATACATTGACCATACATTGACAATGGTTTGTTACAAGAAGAAGTAATGTTGTATCTACTCGTGTATGGAATGCTTCAGGACAGTGTACTTTGTGTGCTAAGAGGTCAGCACCTAGAGACATTAAAGTATAATGCCTGATTCTACTAAATATAAAGACACTTTACTGCTGCTTTGAATAGCACAACCACTCAGCAATTTCTTCAGCAAGCTTTGAATAGAAAGGAAAATATATGTAGCAACAAAAATCATGATTCCTTAGTAATACTTCCATGTTGTATGTGAATCAGCTGACCAACAAGTTTCCAGTAACATTAGAACTACTTCTAGGTGTCCATGTTGTTGGTGCATTTATTCACAAAAGAACCCACTTTTGTTGATCACTATTTGTTTAGATAATTAGTCACCAGTCCATGTTGTGTAGATATATATAGATCTCATATTGAATGTCAATAACTGTTCTGTTTAATAGTATAATGATGTAAATAGTTCAATAATACCTTGTATGTTCTTACAGTGCATGCTTACAGATATGATAAATCTAACATTTTACTAACAAATCTTTGAATTCCTAGACATTTGTAACAATGATCTATACATGATCATTGGTAATAGAACTGTTATCAGGTTTAATAAGTAATATTTATTTGTTAATGTACAAAATTATCAAACAATTTTTATCAAAACAAAAACAAAATGATGAAATAGCAAATATCAGATATGTCGTTAAAATATTTCATACTATACATTATGTTCCATGATATATACTGAAATAGATGTTTCCAGATTGTCATTATTGGGTAACTTTTATACATTTCTTACAAATCGCTCTTCATTCAAAATTTTAATCACAAAATCACAACCTAAATCTGGCACCCTGATGACTCCTGGTGCTGTAAACTTTTACAAAACTGTCCCGGTGATGACTACTGGTGCTGTAAACTTTTACAAAACTGTCCCGGTGATGACTCCTGGTGCTGTAAACTTTTACAAAACTGTCCCGGTGATGACTACTGGTGCTGTAAACTTTTACAAAACTGTCCCGGTGATGACTCCTGGTGCTGTAAACTTTTACAAAACTGTCCCGGTGATGACTACTGGTGCTGTAAACTTTTACAAAACTGGCCCGGTGATGACTACTGGTTCTGTAAACTTTAACAAAACTGTCCCGGTGATGACTACTGGTGCTGTAAACTTTTACAAAACTGTCCCGGTGATAACTACTGGTGCTGTAAACTTTTACAAAACTGGCCCGGTGATGACTACTGGTGCTGTATACTTTTACAAAACTGTCCCGGTGATGACTACTTGTTCTGTAAACTTTTACAAAACTGTCCCGGTGATGACTACTGGTGCTGTAAACTTTTACAAAACTGTCCCGGTGATGACTACTGGTACTGTGTTTGAATGTTACAGGTGTATTACATTTTAGAGATAGTGCAGTATGAGGAAAAATTGGTCCATGATTGCATGTTTTATTGCCTGAAAAATATCACATCGTCAAATAGATCTGTTACTGCTATTTAAATAAAAAAGAAAAATGACAGATATTGTGTATTACAGTAGCAATAGTGATTTCAAAAAAGATCACAGTTGATACTGTAAATTTTAGGAAAAGAATAAGAAAAGATAAGAAAAAATTACTGGGTTTTGGTCTCACCAGTTGTCCTTAAAAGGTGTTTCTTTTCAACAATGTTGCCTTCTGGCTCAGTAAAATATTGCTTGTTATCATAACCATTCACCAAATACAAAACTTGAAAAAAGAAAGTCAAAAACAGTGGAAGCGTTTGTAGTAATGCGAATTACCATACATCGTTTCAGAGTCGAGTGGAGAATGGGTATGTGGAGAGGGAGGAGCTTGAACAAGTCAGAAAGGAAATAGAGGCACGCTACCGACTTGAGCTCAATCGCAAGCTTGACGAGGTGAACAGTTACCTGGAGGAGCAGGCCCGCTCTCGTGAAAAACTGGACAACTCTCGGGATGAAACTGACTCCAAACTGAAACAAATCAACAGAAAGTTACAGGTTTGCAGCTGATGTTCTGTTATGGGGGATGTGATAACTATAAAAACTCCTCATGTCAGCCTAGAATTTGTGTTATCAGTCCATTGACAGGTTAATGGTTTTATATCAAAAGTCCAACCACCTACTTTGAGTCTAATATTCTGTTTAGACTGCCTGGGCTTATTAGATACTATACTGGTGTTGTAAGTGTTTATTGATGATGTCAATCTGTCTGTGGCAATGTTTTGAATTCTTGTCCTACACAGGAGGAGACAACTGCATTAAGAATTAAATACGAACAGATTCTTGCCCAGAAGGAGAGTAAAGAAATGGAAGCGAAACGTTATCGTGACCTTTACGAGAGTGAGATGCAGTGGAGGATGCGCCTGAGTGAGCAGCTGATGAAATCAACAGACCGTGCCTTCAATTACAAAACAAAGTTAGTGTAAGTGCCACCATGTACTTATGTGACTCACAGCTTGTAGTCTCAATATCTGCATGGTGGTTCACCCTATTTATCATTTAATACTGACTAATGTGGTTTTTTCTGTAGCATGCACATGGCTGTCCTACTACCTACTGATATATTATGCTTTGGTTTGACACAAGACAATGGTGTTGTTTTTTTTGTTATTTTTTTTTCAAGTTTATGTAACACAATGCTTTATTTGTTGTCCTACTGTAAATTTTATGATCAATTGCACATATTTATAAGGGTATCATTTGTTATGAACTTCACAGAAAAAAATATGTTCATCAACTTTAAGTCACAAATCAGGTATGGTCTGTCATGTGTATATGTATAGCCTCTTTGTAAATGTTTAGCATGCCTATTCCTGAACAATACTCAAGTCTGCTTGCCTTATCTGTCTACAGTTTTACAAACCCCTGACAATGTGATACTGCCAATTCTACCTACAAGTTTTTGATGGGAGTAATTGCAAGGGATCAGTACAAAAGGTTAAGTGGTGTGCATGTGGTTGAATTTCTAGGTCATTTGACCCAGCTGCTCCTGAACACTTGTGTTGATTTCAACCAAATTTGGTGTGAACCATCATTGAGGGAGAGCAATCGTTTTTGACCTGACTGAGGTTGATTGGACTCCTGGATAAAGGAGGGACAGCACACCAAAGGGAAAATGATTTGCAACAGAATGCTACTTATAAAACGCTGAATAAATTTCAACCAAACTTTGATCAAAACATTCGGGAGGGGTATTATTTCCTATATATGTGAGGTTGCAGGGCCTAGTATATGCTGGCCCTGAAGGAAAAAATTAACCAATTTTGGTACTAATGTTAAAGGTGTAGTGGTCATAATAATGGGACATCTGGTGTTAAGTCTGGTATTTCAAAAGTTTATTTGTTGGATTTGGCACAGTGCTGTGATGCGTATAGTCATTTTATGCTTGCTTTAATTGCTTCAACAAAATGTACCAGTCAAAATTTCTATCTAACTGGATTGGATGTTTAACAAACTTTCTTTTTCTTATATAACTTCAGTGATGTTAACACAAGGGATGTAGTTTTCATTACTTCTGCTCTCCTTGATAACATACAAAGTAAAGTTTTGTGGGATTCTACTACTTCTATTTTCTAGGATGGAATGAAATTAGGAACATTTGTTTACCTTGAAAACCATGGTCCTTTGTATGTTTTCTGGGGAAATGTACATTTATTTTACAATCAAACTTGTCAAAGAAAACGAAGACTTTCCCTGAGATTAGAAATCTGATTCAGATACCAGTAATTTGTTGGCCATACACACACCTCGTTGCCACTTACATATACAGCATAATCATTATATGTATGATGTGTTTTTTATCATGCTGAATTACAGTGCAGAAAGACAGAAATCTCGCCTGTATAACAGTACTGGAGGCAACATGTCATTTTCGGGAGTATTGAATGGTCAGCTCCTGGATTCAACACGATTCTCTGGAACTGGAGATGATATACTGGGCAACAAATTAAAGGCCGAACTTGACCGCAGCATTGCCAAACACCTAGAAGCAGGTAAAGCATTGACTAGAATTTGTCTGATATTCAAAGACCACGAAGTAATGCTGTGTCTATGTCTGCTCATCTGTGTTACATGTGAAAGTTCATGTAATTATGCCTTAGAAAAAATTGTATAAAATGTTCTGAGAGATTGCTTTAATCTTATAGTAAATATGATATATAGATTACATGGAGAATGAAACCCCATAGAAAAAATATGACTTTAATGTTTCTTGTTGTCTTCAGTATAATGGTTAAGGTTGCTACTGTTGATAAATACCTGTATTGATGTGATGGAGTTGGTATTCCATGATACAGATTAAATATACACTACCTCAGAATAGTGGCCCTGATACACTTGTTTTCTCTGTTTATGTTCATAAGCATAACGTCCTTACTTTCAGGTCCCCATGACAACATCAAGCCATTAATATCTAATGTGGAGGATCATGCTGTCAGCTCCTCATTTGCCAAATCGAACTCTGACTATCTAGAGCTGCTGAAGAGGAAGTACTGTGTGTAGGATTTCACAGCTTGTTATATTCTCTATAAACCTTTCCCAGCATTACAGTGCCATTATCAGAGGTACTTTGTCATACATGATAGTACAAACATCGCTATCCAGATCCTCCTTATGGCAAAGAGGCCATATTGTGAATCGTCGATTACCAATGCCAGTGGAGGAGAGTACATCAAAAAAGTCTTGTGATATTTACATAATACATTTCCATCTACAGAGCATGTCATCAAAAACTGTCCTGGGCTGTCAGGTGCCATCATAGGATACTCAGCTCAGTTGTGAGCACCAATTATAAGTAGTAAAGACATTAGTGCAGCGGTAGACAAAGATAACCCTAATGTGTAAATAGTATAACATTACACAGATTTGTAGCCAATTTACTGTTATCCATTAATATTATACATTATAACAGTTCCACAGAAAACCTCTTCATTTGATGATTTCGTAAAGGTCTCTTCCTTTGTTATCAGCCTGGGGATCTTATTTTCGAGTCACAACTTACCTTTCACATTTTGATTATTTCTTTGTTTTTCGTGAAGTGTTAAAGGTTTTCTTCTCAAATTTAGGGGTTTTCTGATAGCCATACGATACCGACTAGAGTGACGAGGCTAGCAGGTACCTTTGTATAAGATGTGTGGTTATTAACAGCATTTCACTTAATAATCAGGAGTCTTCTGATACTGCTACTATGCAAGAGTATATGCAATTCTTGTGATGGTACTCGTTTTGTTCGCAATATTAACAGACCTGAAATGGAAGATGTTATTTCTCTGTTAAGTTTATGATAAGATTTAGTGCCAGATTTCAGTTATGTACATGAAGTTGTTGTGTCGATTATCCGTCCATCCACTGGTTTTATCTACTAGTTTTATTTTAATGGTGGTCAGTCATGTAGGTGATAGTTTTATGGTATACTTACATATCACATTTTATCGTTGGAAAGCCTCTATGTTTGTGTATCTGGAGTAATCTACAGAGATTTTGGTTGTTGGATTGATGTAAAGATTAATCAGTTCCGTCCCCAGTCAACAAACCCAGATAAGAAATTTTATTTTATTGTATACAATGGTTGTAAATTCACCTTTGTGAATTGCACAAGACTAATTCTTCTGAAAGTACGAATTCTTGTGTATTTTGCCGTCCAAACAAGTGATAATTTGGGAAATGAGATTGAAATTTGATTGTGAAGATGTAAAACTGAAAGGTCTGTTTATATGGATGATTGAATTGTTCTATGCCGTCCGCATTGAGACAGTGTTATACACAGTAATGCTGTAGAGGATCCTGTATCATTCAGCTCACTTTGATCACTAAACTGATAATTACTTCAATCTTATAATAAACTTATCTTTATCAATATGAATGTAATGAAAATGTAGATAGAAGTCGCTGACTGTGCTACTTTCTCAAGGTTGTTATATATTATATATCCCATGTGCAATATGTACTCAATACAGGTATACAAGGTTGAGAGTGAGTGGAGCTGTCATCACAGGATTACCTGTCATTTCCCCAGTCACTGATATTAAACTGAGGCCAATTGTGGATGGTTATGTTGTACATTTTTATAGGTGTTAGAGTTAAGATTTTATCCCAATACAGATGCTGAAATTTTGATTGATACCATATTTTAATTTCACATGTTTTAAAGTGAATTGAACTCAATTACCTCTGGAAATTAAATTTCACTGAAGTTTGTGTTCTGAATATATAAAGATTTAGCCTACCTCTGATTTCCTCTTCTACCAGCAAGGCTGTAAAGGTCTTTGAATATCTTAACAAATAGGCCACCTTGATCGATCTTGTTTGTTTAGTCATGTGTTCATGAGAACTTGTCATTGAATCAATGTCTGCCTCTATTAATTTCATGTAATATATCAGTAAAAAGCTTCAGCATCTGGTCATATTGTCCACCTGTAACAATAACTACATATGTATATAAAAGGTAAATAGTATGTACTCCACCTGGCTTGTTCCTCCAATGTGACACAAGGCTGATTTTTTGTAGTCAGACCAAGGTGATGCCTTCATTTCCACACCAAATTACCAAAATATAGCAGTTTGTTTTTAAAATTGTAGATTACATTCTTTTAATAGTAAAACATTAATGTAGTGAGACCTATTTGTTTATCAGATTTGTTTTATCACTTTTCATATCTTTTATTGTTCATTTTGTTTTTATTATTTTTAGACCTTTATTTTAAAACTGTTTTCAAGATTATTAAGTGGTGCAAAAGCCATTGATGAAATTATCCATATGTCACCAGCCTACAAGGTCATCTACATACAAGGTCACCCACCTACAAGGTCATCTACATACAAGGTCACCAGCCTACAAGGTCATCTACATACAAGGTCACTGGCCATGGAGTCTAAATATAACCTACTTTATATAAACATTAATACATATCACCATGCAGTACTTTATAATGAGTAATTTGTACCTAGTGTTGTACAGACACTCTACTAACAGTACCTGTAGTGTTTCACCATTATACATGATAAACATGTGTAAGGGCAGAGTAACGATAATATTACATTTATAACAATTTATGTACTTTTATAACAAACTTGAATTTGTGTATCCATTTTGTACACAAGAAATATACAAAATCAAAGTATTTTATTAAAAAAAATCTGAATAACCTCTGTTGTTTGTCCTTATTTATGTTTATTTTCTTGTAATTTTCCTACCTCGTTAATCTAGTACTTTTCAGTAATATATCCTTGTACCACAGTCTTTTGATTAGGAATCATTTGTATGTATCATAGGTACATTGTTTCGGTGAACAGCCGGGGTCATTTTGAGGTGAGGTCTCCTTGAAATAGCTGGTGGCTACCTCACTCAACAACATAACAGAGGACCATCACTTGCCATGCACAGCAATAAGGGTTAAGTGTCTTGCCCATGGACACAATATATGCATGTCAGCACAAGCTGGTCATCACACCTTTTACTTACTTAATAGAATAACATTTTGTGGTCCTCACAAATAGTACACCTGATGGTACTCGCAAATAGGACCACACTTGTTGGTACTCACAAATAGGATCACACTTGTTGGTACTCACAAATAGGACCACACCTGATGGTACTCACAAATAGGACCACACCTGATGGTACTCACAAATAGGACCACACCTGATGGTACTCACAAATAGGATCACACTTGTTGGTACTCACAAATAGGACCACACCTGATGGTACTCACAAATAGGACCACCCCTGATGGTACTCACAAATAGTACCACACCTGATGGTACCCACAAATAGGACCACACCTGATGGTACTCACAAATAGGACCACACCGGATGGTACTCACAAATAGGACCACACCTGATGGTACTCACAAATAGGACCACACCTGATGGTACTCACAAATAGGACCACACCGGATGGTACTCAAAAATAGTACCACACCTGTTGTTTCTTGTATATAGTACATTGCACTACACCTGTTGGTACCCCATGGTAGATTCATGCTGTTTTATTGTATTGTATATGGGCATGGAGTTATTACCAAAAACACAAGTGGATGCACTTAAAACTGCAGGGAAATATTTCCATATGAAATTATGGTAACAAAAAAAAAAAAAAATTTGAATTTAAAATGATGATTTTCTAGCTATGAGTTTCCAAGGCAAAGAATCAAAGACTGTTATACAAAGACACTAAACACAGTTCTTTAACAACTGTTTATTTTCAATACATGTAACTTAATGACACATAACTATTGGCAACATACAAATTTAAAAAACACAAAAAAATCACATTCTCTCTTTGCACGTCAGTATGCCTGCTGTGTGTTTACACCAAGATTCTTACAGAAACAACAAAACTATGTGTACTGTAGCAGAAGTAAGTTTTTGGGCTGATGTTGGAAGAGAATCAACGAAAAGATTTTCTTAACACAACTCGAAAGATAAACGAGGAGCGAAAAGCATGGCATTATCCCCTGCACCCAGCTGTTAGTTTAAAACCTAGATGTGATACATACATACTGGTATCACAATTTATGACATCATTCAATTATGTACTACTACTATCACCTGAAGATCAACTACAGTGAAAGCACTAGAACAAAATGTAATGTCTTTTGTCAATTATTAATTCAATTTTCCTTGCATCTCCTCAACTTCAACATTATATATTTATATATACATATATCTTATATGAGCCTTATAGTAAATATAAGAGTTTAAATCTGGATGTTGATTCTGTGTGACTGTTGATATTTAAATAGAGCTTGGTATTGTCCATGAACAAATTTATGCAACACTCTATAAGCTCTACAGATGTCACAAAAAGCAAAAAATTTGATGGCAACAGAAAAAAGGTAAATAATTAAATGTCCTCAATAAAAAAAGGCACAACTAGGGCACTAACCCAATATATACAAAGAGTTCTGTGGAGCTGAGTGGAATGGTTTAGAAGTTGTAGCCCAGAAAAGAAAGTTCAAACTAATTTTTTGTTTTATGACTATGTTTCCATGGAAAACAGAAAAAATTTAGAAAATAAAAATATATACAGAAGGTTTTGTGAAGTTGAGTTAAACAGTTTTAACGTTATAGCCCTTGGACGCACACACAGATGCACAGACAGCACAAATTAATATCCCCGACAAACACGTTTCACTGTGGATAATTCCTTGTGAATACTAAAATCTTCCACAATATGATTAACCATACAAATGATATTGTAAAATTTACAAAATATTTCATAACAATGTCATCTATAAGTAAAAGGCCATAGAAGCATGCTGAAGTGACAGGCCATATCTTGCACTATGTGCAAAAAGGTAAGTTAAAAGTTAAAAGGAGCACACCCACATTGGCGTGTTCCTTTTATATCAATAATATCATGATCAGCAAGTCTCAAACGATGATATCATTGTCAATAGAATGCTAATATAAAGCACCATCAATATAATGAATGACAGAACTGTTATATTGAACAACCTTAGCTGACCCAAGGCCCTCAACCTTATAGTCTATTACAAGTAGCTCAGGCCAATCTGTCTTGCTAATACATAAATTAGCGTCAACAGAAATATTAGGGTGCATGGAGGCAGGGACTCTTCCTACTTAAGATGAAAGATTTCAGGTGGGGAGACTCCATATTACAAGAAGTCCAAGGTGGGAAGACTCCATCTTACAAGACGTCCAAGGTGGGAAGACTCCATATTACAATAAGTCTAAGGTGGGAAGACTCTATCTTACAAGAAGTCCAAGGTGGGAAACCTTACCTGTATTATAGAAAATCAAAAACTCCTTCATATTAAAAAAAAAAAGACTTCTACATATTATAGAAAGTTTAAGGTAGAAATCTTACAGGAAGTGCAAGGTCAGTGAAAAATCGTGATAAGTTAAAAGTGGTCAGTGGTCTCACACACAAGAGGTCAAAGGTGGAATAACTAAAACTTACAGAAAATCTAAGGTTAAAGAAAGTCTCACATGGGAAAACTGTCTTGCATGAAATCTAGGATGGAAGAATTTGAAGTCACAAATGAGGAGCAGAGCATGCTGATGGTATCAATAACTTGGTTACATTAAACAGCTTTGTGATTAGTATACAACACAAATACTCTCTCAGAAATTATTTTATAAACAAGTTTTTAGTACAAATCATCTGGAGAAACAATGATTTTATATTATAATGAAGATTGTTTAGTTCCTATACACTCACTAACTTGTAACACTCACAGTAACTTTCCTGTATACCATATAACTTCTTTATCATACAAATGAAATAACAGATATGTGTCGATCAGATTTGTGAAAGAATGAAAACAGCAGAATAACATATTGAATGAACAAATACAATGCATATATAATGTGTATACTTTAACCTTAACTGACCTTTAAGTAAGTTTTGGCAAAGTTTTCTAAACAAATAACAACACTATGTATTTGACAACAATTTCTGAAAGTACATCACACTTTCTCTGGATTTCTACCAGAGACATTTCTCTGTAAGCTGAATACATCTTCTATATTGATTGATAACATGTAATGATAAGAAACAATTTATATCAAGGCCAACGACTCATTTATATTATTATTCTAGAATATTTATCTTAAAAACCTTTCAACCAACACTAAACAAGTACATATATCAGAGTTGGACTACATAGAAAACTTGAATATACATCTCAGTTGTGATTATTTTGATTGAAATCTGACAGCAGTTCTGGAAAAAATACTTTAAAACGCATCCTTTTTGATTGTGCTAGTCATTCCCTTCATCTGTGTACTTCCTGTGCTCCTTGGCAGGAGTATGCAACCATTACCGGTACATTTTCACGAAAACAAAAAGTGTTTGAAAATTTAGGAGCTAATTTGCTGATTAACTCATCTACAGCTTATTCCGATGGACAACGAATATGATCAAAAGTCTGGGAAATGATATTCAACAGAAATCAATGAAATAGAAATATTACACCCCATTCTAGCTCCCAGCAGAAACAATATCCCAGTATTCCGTCAATGTATTAACTTTATGGCATGATGTTGATGCTATCACCGAACTTTTGTTTCATTCTGATCAGAAGTTTTGTCTTGGAAGATTCAATTTAACTTGTAATCAAATCAAAGTATAGATCAGTTTACAAGTAAATTAAGCCTTTACATTACAAGTTTATGCCTGATCCAACATACTCATTCATTTAAAAGCTTACAATCTGGGAAAGTCTACAGTAAAAAGTAATATTTCTTCAAAACCTATCTACATAAGACTCTATTTGACAAGGTGTATGGTATTCTTACTTATTTAAACTATAAGACTCTATGCAGATGCGTCATTTCTAAATCAGATTAGATGCTAGGTTAAAAAATCACAGAATTCAGGAGTCAATTTAAGAGGTAAAATAGATCTATATGATTCCAGGAATGTTGACAGGTTTCAGGTACGATGATCATATACACTACATTACCTGGTATACATCAATCAGGATGATCATCAGTCACAGATTCTCCCAAAAGTTAGAAACATCACTAAATAAAATAACTTATTATATAGGAAACTTTCATCATTTCCTCCACATTCACCTATTGTACACATACATATTTTTATGTCCTGAAAGTATTACATTAAAATATGACAATGCTAATTGCAGTTTGTTGATATAACAATCAACATGAATGTGTGAATTCATCAATGCCTTAATTTACCTGGAAGTGATTTGATTGGGCCAAGTTAAGTATGTTTATAATATCTTAAGGATTTCAGGTACCAGTCTACCAGTAGTTCACATTGTGACAACCCAGGTCCACATCACCAGTACTCCACAATGTGACAACCCAGGTCCACATCACCAGTACTCCACAATGTGACAACCCAGGTCCACATCACCAGTACTCCACAATGTGACAACCCAGCTCCACATCACCAGTACTCCACAGTGTGACAATCCATGTCCACATCACCAGTACCTCTAGTGTGACAACCCAGCTCCACATCACCAGTACTCCACAGTGTGACAACCCAGGTCCACATCACCAGTACTCCACAGTGTGACAACCCAGGTCCACATCACCAGTACTCCACAATGTGACAACCCAGGTCCACATCACCAGTACCTCACAGTGTGACAACCCAGGTCAACATCACCAGTACTTCACAATGTGACAATCCAGGTCCACATCACCAGTACTCCACAATGTGACAACCCAGGTCCACATCACCAGTACTCCACAATGTGACAACCCAGCTCCACATCACCAGTACTCCACAGTGTGACAATCCATGTCCACATCACCAGTACCTCTAGTGTGACAACCCAGGTCCACATCACCAGTACTCCACAGTGTGACAACCCAGGTCCACATCACCAGTACTCCACAGTGTGACAACCCAGGTCCACATCACCAGTACTTCACAATGTGACAATCTGGGTCCACATCACCAGTACTCCACAGTGTGACAACCCAGGTCCACATCACCAGTACTACAATGGGTAATAAAAAATCCTTGAAATCCACAATGTGACAACCCAGGTCCACATCACCAGTACTCCACAATGTGACAACCCAGGTCCACATCACCAGTACTCCACAATGTGACAACCCAGCTCCACATCACCAGTACTCCACAGTGTGACAATCCATGTCCACATCACCAGTACCTCTAGTGTGACAACCCAGCTCCACATCACCAGTACTCCACAGTGTGACAACCCAGGTCCACATCACCAGTACTCCACAGTGTGACAACCCAGGTCCACATCACCAGTACTCCACAATGTGACAACCCAGGTCCACATCACCAGTACCTCACAGTGTGACAACCCAGGTCAACATCACCAGTACTTCACAATGTGACAATCCAGGTCCACATCACCAGTACTCCACAATGTGACAACCCAGGTCCACATCACCAGTACTCCACAATGTGACAACCCAGCTCCACATCACCAGTACTCCACAGTGTGACAATCCATGTCCACATCACCAGTACCTCTAGTGTGACAACCCAGGTCCACATCACCAGTACTCCACAGTGTGACAACCCAGGGTCCACATCACCAGTACTCCACAGTGTGACAACCCAGGTCCACATCACCAGTACTTCACAATGTGACAATCTGGGTCCACATCACCAGTACTCCACAGTGTGACAACCCAGGTCCACATCACCAGTACTCCACAATGTGACAACCCAGGTCCACATCACCAGTACTCCACAATGTGACAACCCAGGTCCACATCACCAGTACTCCACAATGTGACAACCCAGCTCCACATCACCAGTACTCCACAGTGTGACAATCCATGTCCACATCACCAGTACCTCTAGTGTGACAACCCAGGTCCACATCACCAGTACTCCACAGTGTGACAACCCAGGTCCACATCACCAGTACTCCACAGTGTGACAACCCAGGTCCACATCACCAGTACTTCACAATGTGACAACCCAGGTCCACATCACCAGTACCTCACAGTGTGACAACCCAGGTCAACATCACCAGTACTTCACAGTGTGACAACCCAGGTCCACATCACCAGTAATCCACAGTGTGACAACCCAGGTCCACATCACCAGTACTCCACAATGTGACAATCCGGGTCCACATCACCAGTACTCCACAGTGTGACAACCCAGGTCCACATCACCAGTACTCCACAGTGTGACAACCCAGGTCCACATCACCAGTACTTCACAATGTGACAATCTGGGTCCACATCACCAGTACTCCACAGTGTGACAACCCAGGTCCACATCACCAGTACTCCACAATGTGACAACCCAGGTCCACATCACCAGTACTCCACAATGTGACAACCCAGGTCCACATCACCAGTACTCCACAATGTGACAACCCAGGTCCACATCACCAGTACTCCACAATGTGACAACCCAGCTCCACATCACCAGTACTCCACAGTGTGACAATCCAGGTCAACATCACCAGTACTTCACAATGTGACAATCCAGGTCAACATCACCAGTACCTCACAGTGTGACAACCCAGGTCCACATCACCAGTACCTCACAGCGTGACAACCCAGGTCCACATCACCAGTACTCCACAGTGTGACAACCCAGGTCCACATCACCAGTACTTCACAATGTGACAATCCAGGTCCACATCACCAGTACTCCACAGTGTGACAACCCAGGTCCACATCACCAGTACTCCACAATGTGACAATCCAGGTCCATATCACCAGTACTCCACAGTGTGACAACCCAGGTCCACATCACCAGTAATCCACAGTGTGACAACCCAGGTCCACATCACCAGTACTCCACAATGTGACAATCCAGGTCCATATCACCAGTACTCCACAATGTGACAATCCAGGTCCATATCACCAACATTTCACAATATTATATTATCAGAGCCAAATGACAGTTACATTGCTTCATTTGTGTTGCTACAATGGGTAATAAAAAATCCTTGAAATTCTCAAGTCTGACGAAGTCACTGCTTAATCTGCAGTACAATAACAGGTCTCTTGTCTTATATATATACACACAACTTATTGAATACAAATGAAGGCATAATGCTCTCAAGTCTTGATCACTAACACAGTTGAGCATGACCTTTATATTAAAGCCTATAGGAGTCCGGGTCAGCACCCACACCGAGACTCTTCAGTAAGGTGAACTGTCTGTGACTTGAGATGTACAGTACCTGGACTGACAGACTGTCGCAATGATTCAGAGAATCCATCTAACTCAGAATGTTTTGACATCATCTCCTCCATCAGAAACCTGCACGGTAAAAACACATGTATCTTTATCATATTTATGGTAAACTCCTCCATCAGAAACCTGCCTGGTAAATACACGTGTATCTTTATCATATATACGGTAAACTCCTCCATCAGAAATCTGCACGGTAAATACACATGTATCTTTATCATATATACGGTAAACTCCTCCATCAGAAATCTGCACAGTAAATACACATGTATCTTTATCATATTTATGGTAAACTCCTCCATCAGAAATCTGCACGGTAAATACACATGTATCTTTATCATATTTACGGTAAACTGACAGAATAAAAAGTGGAGTGCAGTGTTTTTTTAAGTAAATAACTTGCTTTGTTTTCAATCATTCTTTATTTAAAATTATATTTGTATGTGTTGTTTGTGAATCATAATCAAATACTACGTTATAAACACACATACATTTTGAACTAGTGTTCAGCAATTGTTAACCTGATGAGAAATTCAATCAACCTCCTGACACCTTCACCATCAGATCACAGGTCAACGTCATTGCTATGTGTTTAAAGAACATGGTGCACAAAGTAAATCATGACACATTATTTTTCTTTCTAAATGAGTTTACCTCATGGACTCCTCGATCATAAGGCCCTCCTTGACTGAGGTTTCTGTCCACCCTACAAAGTCATGCTCCTTACACATGTCTTCAATCTCATTCTGTTCGACCTCTCTGTGGCTCAGGTCACACTGAAAGGTCAAATACATTCAGTCAAGTTGAATAATGCCAAAATTATAACATGTACCTGCTCTTCTTCTCAGGTTACACTGAAAGATCAAACAAGATAATGCAAAGCGTGACATTATCCCACACAGCCCACTGTTTAATAGAAAGATACACATTCATAAAATGGATATACTTGTACAAAGTTTCGTGTAATTACCTTGAACGTGAACAAACATTACTTTGTGATTTGTCCTATCTATTTCCATGGTAGCAGGAAAAGTATTTAAATGGAGTAATTATGTTTAACAGTTTTGGAGAACAGATCAAAAAAATAACCCTGCACACAGGGACGCACAAAGCCCAATTTATTATCCAAAATGCATTTTGCAGAGGATAACAAGGTCAAATAAGTTTATAAAAGGTCAAATAAGATCCTCTTCAAACAAACACCCCTCACAGATTGAAGGACCTCTGCATACCAAATCTGGTCAAAACTACAGGAAACTGTTAGATAAGAGGCCAGGATTGTGTTTTTGAAAAACCTTATATATCCTACTTAGGTTTTAAGAATTAAGAAGCAATCGCAGCAAACTTAGGTTTTGTTATACCATTGGACAATAAACATATAATACAATCATTTGAATGACCAAAGAGTAATGGTCATTTACAGTAAAACTTGTTCATAGTTACCATGGAAACCAAGATTTTGAAAAATAAACTATCACATCTTAAATGGTCTTGTTCAACGAAGGTGTGACCTAAATTTCCAGTTATCTGAAGGCTCTGAAAACAGCTCTTTCTGAAAACATAGCCAGACAAAATTGTTTATTTTTTCATATAAAAGGAGGGAATAAAACAAAGTCACTACTGGGGCACATCTCCTTATTGTGCAGGTCATTCCCATAATTTTAACAGATCTCTTGTAAACTGAATGAATGCATAGCTAGACAATATTGTCTTCATTTTATTTTATATACAAAAGGGATATAACTCTCTGAAAAATTTTAAAAGATCCATTGTAATCTGAACGAGTGTAAAGCTGGACAAAGTTTATCAACAGACAGATGGATTCCATTAAACTCATCTCGCCCTCGCACTCCCACCCCCAACCCCCCACACCCCCTCCAACCCCCCACACCCCCCCCCCCCACCCCCATCCCCACCTCCACCCACCCAAAGCTTCGTTGAGAGAAGTCCAAATTATTTGCTTGCTCATAATTGTTTCTAAGTACATTTCACTAATACAAAAGTCTCTTGAATATATAAAACTGATTTCATCCCCTGCAGGTATCTATCGGTGAGACCTACCTTATTGGCCAGTAGTAAACACGGCACAGTGGAACCATCAGGTAAAGAGCATTTAGCATCCAGGTCTTTTTTCCATTTGACAGCATTTTGGAATGTTGATCTTTGTGTGAGGTCAAACATTATGATACAGGCATGTGCATCTTTATAATATACTCTGGTCATAGATGTAAATCTTTCCTGTCCTGTAAAAGTTTCCAAATTACTTTACATAAGTATTTATAATACAAAGGAACTTTGTTCTTTATTGTTCTGATATCTCCGCACCTGATTTGTTTTACTAATGTCATTACACTATCAAACTATACTTTTTCTGGCTCTATTTAATTCTTAACACAAAAACATCTAAAAACTTTCTGATGAACATTACACAGAAATGATCTGCCATTATCAAAAATCTTAGAACATAAGAAAGCATTAATACAATGCTAAATCTGTATAACTAGTACAACTGTCCTAATTTATACAATACTAAATCTGTATAACTAGTACAACTGTCCTAATTTATACAATACTAAATCTGTACAACTGTCCTAATTTATACAATACTAAATCTGTATAACTAGTACAACTGTCCTAATTTATACAATACTAAATCTGTATAACTAGTACAACTGTCCTAATTTATACAATACTAATTCTGTACAACTGTCCTAATTTATACAATACTAAATCTGTATAACCAGTACAACTGTCCTAATTTATACAATACTAAATCTGTATAACTAGTACAACTGTCCTAATTTATACAATACTAAATCTGTATAACTAGTACAACTGTCCTAATTTATACAATACTAAATCTGTACAACTGTCCTAATTTATACAATACTAAATCTGTATAACCAGTACAACTGTCCTAATTTATACAATACTAAATCTGTATAACTAGTACAACTGTCCTAATTTATACAATACTAAATCTGTACAACTGTCCTAATTTATACAATACTAAATCTGTACAACTGTCCTAATTTATACAATACTAAATCTGTATAACTAGTACAACTGTCCTAATTTATACAATACTAAATCTGTACAACTGTCCTAATTTATACAATACTAAATCTGTATAACTAGTACAACTGTCCTAATTTATACAATACTAAATCTGTATAACTAGTACAACTGTCCTAATTTATACAATACTAAATCTGTACAACTGTCCTAATTTATACAATACTGTCCTAATTTATACAATGTATAACTAGTACAACTGTCCTAATTTATACAATACTAATTTATCTGTATAACCAACAACTGTCCTAATTTATACAATACTAAATCTGTATAACTAGTACAACTGTCCTAATTTATACAATACTAAATCTGTACAACTGTCCTAATTTATACAATACTAAATCTGTACAACTGTCCTAATTTATACAATACTAAATCTATATAACTAGTACAACTGTCCTAATTTATACAATACTAAATCTGTACAACTGTCCTAATTTATACAATACTAAATCTGTATAACTAGTACAACTGTCCTAATTTATACAATACTAAATCTGTATAACTAGTACAACTGTCCTAATTTATACAATACTAAATCTGTATAACTAGTACAACTGTCCTAATTTATACAATACTAAATCTGTATAACCAGTACAACTGTCCTAATTTATACAATACTAAATCTGTACAACTGTCCTAATTTATACAATACTAAATCTGTACAACTGTCCTAATTTATACAATACTAAATCTGTATAACCAGTACAACTGTCCTAATTTATACAATACTAAATCTGTACAACTGTCCTAATTTATACAATACTAAATCTGTATAACTAGTACAACTGTCCTAATTTATACAATTTATACAATACTAAATCTGTATAACTAGTACAACTGTCCTAATTTATACAATACTAAATCTGTATAACTAGTACAACTGTCCTAATTTATACAATACTAAATCTGTATAACTGTCCTAATTTATACAATACTAAATCTGTATAACTAGTACAACTGTCCTAATTTATACAATACTAAATCTGTATAACTAGTACAACTGTCCTAATTTATACAATACTAAATCTGTATAACTAGTACAACTGTCCTAATTTATACAATACTAAATCTGTATAACTAGTACAACTGTCCTAATTTATACAATACTAAATCTGTATAACTGTACAACTGTCCTAATTTATACAATACTAAATCTGTATAACAACTGTCCTAATTTATACAATACTAAATCTGTATAACTAGTACAACTGTCCTAATTTATACAATACTAAATCTGTATAACTAGTACAATTGTCCTAATTTATACAATACTAAATCTGTACAACTGTCCTAATTTATACAATACTAAATCTGTATAACTAGTACAACTGTCCTAATTTATACAATACTAAATCTGTACAACTGTCCTAATTTATACAATACTAAATCTGTATAACTAACAACTGTCCTAATTTATACAATACTAAATCTGTATAACCAGTACAACTGTCCTAATTTATACAATACTAAATCTGTACAACTGTCCTAATTTATACAATACTAAATCTGTATAACTAATTTATACAATACTAAATCTGTACAACTGTCCTAATTTATACAATACTAAATCTGTATAACTAGCACAACTGTCCTAATTTATACAATACTAAATCTGTACAACTGTCCTAATTTATACAATACTAAATCTGTATAACTAGTACAACTGTCCTAATTTATACAATACTAAATCTGTACAACTGTCCTAATTTATACAATACTAAATCTGTATAACTAGTACAACTGTCCTAATTTATACAATACTAAATCTGTACAACTGTCCTAATTTATACAATACTAAATCTATATAACTAGCACAACTGTCCTAATTTATCAATAAAACTAGATTTTAAGCTCTACTTGTATCACAAAGTGAAAAAATACCTATTAAATCTAAATAACCAAGTACTATAATACCCAATATATCTTAATTACAAAGTACCTTTGTATCTTAGAGTGCTACATGGATATCATCAGTTAGAACTATGTTACAAAGTGCTAAAACACCTGTTATAATTGTGTTACAAAGTGCTAAAACACCTGTTATAACTATGTTACATAATGCTAAAACACCTGTTATAATTGTGTTACAAAGTGCTAAAACACCTGTTATAACTATGTTACAAAGTGCTAAAACACCTGTTATAACTATGTTACAAAGTGCTAAAACACCTGTTATAACTATGTTACAAAGTGCTTAAACACCTTTTATAATGTCTGTATAACAAAGAGTTCTATCCGAGGCTATACTCATTCAACCATATACTATAAATATAGCACCTGCCGCGTCTGTATAACAATGTGCTACAATCTTTGCTATACTCACACAACTCAATGTTATAACTGTAGCACCTGCCGTGTCTGTATAACAATGTGCTACAATCTTTGCTATACTCACACAACTGAATGTTATAACTGTAGCACCTGCTGTGTCTGTATAACAATGTGCTACAATCTTTGCTATACTCACACAACTAAATGTTATAACTGTAGCACCTGCTGTGTCTGTATAACAATGTGCTACAACCTTTGCTATACTCACACAACTAAATGTTATGACTGTAGCACCTGCTATGTCTGTATAACAATGTGCTACAACCTTTGCTATACTCACACAACTCAATGTTATAACTGTAGCACCTGCTGTGTCTATATAACAATGTGCTACAATCTTTGCTTTACTCACACAACTGAATGTTATAAATGTAGCACCTGCTATGTTTTATAACAATGTGTTATAATATTTGTCATACCACAGAATGCTTTAAACATAGTACCTGCAATATCCCAAATCTGAAGCTTGATTGCTTGTGTATCAGACCACTTCACGACTTTCAAGGCAAAGTCAACTGAAAATACAAAGATATTGCATCAATAATGAAACATGTCCATCAGGTTAGTAAGTATTAATATAGGAATACAACACACATCACAATCACATCGAAAATCATGTGTTATTTATCATCGACCACACTGTCACCTTCATCAGATGACCAGCATGAAGAATATTTGCAATGAGATATATACAGTGTATGAGAAGGTACTGAATCAAGAGGAACTTTCAGCTGTACTATGATCCTGCGTATACAAAGATGGAAAACATTGTGATAAAAACAATAAGAATATAATGATCACTGGACAAACTGATGATCTTCCATACGTACCTTGGTTAGATGGTAACAATGTACTTACCCAGCAAAGTTGATTCATTAACACTTTGTTTAAAGCTACATTTGATAAATGGGCCATATATCCTAGCACATTACAAGACGTTTTAAGGAAATTGTTAACAGATCTTAACACATTATTTTGGCAGCATTTTAATTAATAAGACAAACATAATACTTAGTAATTCTAGTGTGTTACTGGCAAACAATCATTACTACCGGGCACCAAGTTTTTTCAACGATAAAAAAAAACTTTCATTCTTACTAACTTTTACATTGGTCAAGTTTGTTCACTTTATTCTAGTTTTAAGCCATGGAAAAATTTAGATCATAACCTGCAGACAGCTGGCATGATTTTTCAGAATTAATATTTGACCCCTGTAACCCTGAAAATTGGTCAAGGTCAGTAAACCGTAATCCTTGAATGCTGTTGGCCAAATTTTGAAATAGTAATTTAAGGTTTTTTCTGTCGCTAAACACTTACCTCCAATGTTCATCTTGTAGTCTCGTCTGTACGAATCATCCCTAAACACTTACCTCCAATGGTCATCTTGTAGGTTCGTCTGTACGAATCATCCCTAAACACTTACCCCCAATGGTCATCTTGTAGTCTCGTCTGTACGAATCATCCCTAAACACTTACCTCCAATGGTCATCTTGTAGTCTCGTCTGTACGAATCATCCCTAAACACTTACCCACAATGGTCATCTTGTAGTCTCGTCTGTACAAATCATCCCTAAACACTTACCCCCAATGGTCATCTTGTAGTCTCGTCTGTACGAATCATCCCTAAACACTTACCTCCAATGGTCATCTTGTAGTCTCGTCTGTACGAATCATCCCTAAACACTTACCTCCAATGGTCATCTTGTAGTCTCGTCTGTATGAATTATCCATAAACACTTACCTCCAATGGTCATCTTGTAGTCTCGTCTGTATGAATCATCCATAAACACTTACCTCCAATGGTCATCTTGTAGTCTCGTCTGTACGAATCATTAACATATCGTTGTACAAATGAGGTCTTGCCCACTGTTGGGTCACCTATGATGATGACCTTGAAGAGAATTTCAGTCATGTCTGTAGCTCCTGTTACACCTATTTTGCACTTTGGTTTTGCATTGAGCCGTTAGTATAAAGACTTAATTCCTTCGTGAATCCATGAATTAAATTGCAATATTGACAAGAAATCAGTTAAGTTAATCACTTTATGTCAGCTTTCTCTGGAGATTCCCAGATCCTGAAATGAAAAGAAAAATTAGTAAATGATTGAAATTTGCTAAACCAGAAATTTGAAAAATATCCAACCAGTATTTTCATGAAATAGTGATATCAAACTATAATTTACAAAATCTAAGATGGCTGTCCGTCAGTCATTTTGTTTTATCTGACCAGTCATACAGTTATGCATTCAGAAGAAACCAAGCTAAAGAGATCAATCCAATGCTTTTTTATGAAATTATGATAACACTGATGACAGACCGTCACCAGCCAAGGTTGATTTAAATATGATGAACAATATACCACATGCATAAGTTGGTATAACTGACAAGTGTCATCACTTCATCGCTGAATTAACTGTGAAAAACTATATGAAAAGAGTAATTATCTTGACAATATGTTGTCTCAGGACAAAAGGACAGAAAAAAATATTTCCAGTTGTGTTATTGCACAGAAGTTATTCTCAAATATAAATCTAACATCCAGGATACAAGTCTCTTTTATATGAGTAACAAATCTTTCATCAATGACCTTTGATCAACAACATTGAGACTTAAAATTTCTGGTGAATTTTGTTTTTATAGTTCATGAATAATTCACATGAGCAACCATTAACTAATGTCATCATACAAAAGTAGGAGGGTGTATACTGAAATGATATCATTTTTATTAATAATTAGATTCTCCGCTGATAAGTACTATGTAATATGTACACACATATCACTCAGTCTTTCAGGGACAGAAATAATCACCCCATTACTTACTATATTTAATGTCAGATAACATTGATAGGGAACAGTGTTAATCATCTTTGCTAACGAGGAGGTACAATCAAGTGTTTAGTAGGGGCATATGCAAGGCTAGCAAAGATCACAGGTGTTTCTCCTTCATATTGTATGCAGAGGCTTTGAGAATGAGATGCTTATTTGGAGCTTAAGAAATGGGTTGTGGTTGTCTTCAGGGGAAAGGACTTGTGAAGGAGACAGTATTTGAAGTTGAAAGTACATTTCACCTAACTGGTTAGATTCAAAATTAGGTTAGTAGTTCAAAATTCAGTGAGGCAGATTATGTTTTTATCATTGCTTCCTATTACACAGTGCATCTGACATCATTTACGGACAGACATACTTCATCATATATTGTACTGATCACAGTATATAACACCATAATGTAACTTGTTCACATTTAATGCATACATTTTGATCAACATAATGCCGTATAACAGATGAAGTGTACAGTTTCACTCAATACAATGACTCAAAATCAGTGCATAATACCAATTAAGGCATTAGTTTCCAAAATGTCGTCTCCATTGCAGCATTTCCAGTGATTTTGTCAAGAGTTTTACTTAAATTTAAAATATCACTACTATAAGTATAAAATCACATTCTGACATATTATACATCTGTTTGCAAATTAAAATTGCATGACATTATACATATAAGTGATTGATCCGATATGTGCTGATCATTAAATCCAGTGATATCATATCAGGATGCGAAAAGTGAATGATACGTTTCTTCAACAGTGTCAGTGATACTGAATCAACTATTTTGCCTTATTTAATGCTTGTTAAACATACACATTATATATATTATATATATATGCCATGTAATAGTAATTAATTACACACAACACAGAGTACTGAACTTCAACTATGCTATTTATAAATGAAACTGTCATGTCATCACAGTCTTGAATTAAATGTGTGGTCGATGTCTCTAGTTAAATTTTCTATTTTTCGTAATACATGTACCTACATACTTACATAACACTTGCTTTAAGATTCCATCAGACGACAATAACACCGCCGGAACACCGGTCTCCCACACAGTTCAGCATTTGGGTCAGATCACATGTGAAACTCACCATAAACAGAAAATCACGTGTCACATGATCGTTTTGACTTCTGTCATGTGATAAAAAAAAAAAACCGGAAGTATAATATTTCGGTCTCCGTTCGATTAGGTTCACGGACCGGAGCGCCGGACGGTATATTACGGTATTGTTACTATTATTTGTTCCTGAATGGACAGTATAATTTTCGACACGGATAAATATATAATTTTGACATTCGTGATAATTCATATGATGCAAATAAGACTACACCGACCTGCCTTTATTGTGTAAGAACAAGAAACACATTTAGGATAAATTGCAAAATTTCGCGTATTTAAAACTTTAGATAGAAGAACTAACAGACAAACAAACAATTTCATACAATATCGTTTATGAAATACGTTATCCGTAATTACAAATATTATATTTCACAAGAAAATACAGGGGCATAAGTATTATGTATCATGACAGAGACGTATATATACGTCTCTGATCATGACAATCCATTTTTGTACAAAAACTTTTCAAAATAAATCATAGTGGAAAACTGAACTTTGATCCAAGTCCGTGAATATACTGATTTTTGTGAAAAAAAATCTATCGACTTTTGATATTTATCAAGTGAAACCGCATATTGACATAATGAAGTCATTTTCTTAACAATTGAAATATTACCCTATATTTATGCCGATTTAAATCTGAAATATGAAGAAAACGTGTCTGAATCGATCCAATACCCCAGACATATTCAGTGGAAGATAAAACAATGGACAGCAGACAAATACAATAATTAAATTAAGGCAACAGATACGAAAAATATCATTGACTTTCTCAAAAACTAAAGGTGAGATCCGGAGTTCCGGACAAGTATGCATCGTGAAGGCATATTTTCTGAACGTGAAAAGTCTGCGTTGTTTTGTCAGATGACATCTCAATTGTTTATTTTTGTTTTCATTTTATACCTACCGCAAACAAGTTGGGAAGGGGTAGGGGTGATATAGGAATCACCTTATCTGGTTGCCCATGTGTTCGCGACTATCATTTCCAATAGTCAAATAGCATTGGTGCTCTGTCAGATTGTGAAATTCAGAATGATTAACAAACAATACTACACACATGCGCTAATTATACCACGGACTTTAATATACGATAATTCAACTATTCTCTACTCTATATGTGGTACTATGTATCTTACCCCTACCTATCGACACTCTTTAATTATGTTTCGTACATTAACTGCCAAAGTTACATAGCCACATTGTTCAAAAACAAGTCGAAACAAGTGCCTGTGGTCCAGGGGACGTAACTCTTACTTCACCATGGAATTGAAAATGATATTGACTAAGTTACTTTATCACTTTACAAATGTCTATTGCGTTCTCGGACGGTGATATTGCATTGTGTTTAGCTGGCTTGTGTGTTCTGGTGTATGTATGGTTGAATTGTTTCTTGAGTATAATTGTGTGAGATTCTGGATTTTGAGAGTGCATGTATTGGAAATGTGTTTGCTTTTTAATCCTATAGTCAGTGGTGAATAAATAGTTCTGTATAAAAGAAAAACGCCGATAACTGTTTATTTCAGTTGCGCTACCTAACAGGGTTCCATAGGCTACCAGCCAGGGTAGCCGGGCCGAATCCAACTGCAAACCAGTCCATTACAGTTGTGACTCAAGAGGGCAAGCCACGTGGCTTTGTTGATGTGTGTGCTGTCAAGGTGTGACGTCATATGACTTCCGTCAATATGGCGACTTCCATGATGCAGACAAACCTGTCGCTTTTGCGACAGCATCTTTCTGTTGCTGTAGGGAATAGTAGTATTGTTGTCAAGGCTGTAGCAGTTGCAGTAACGTGTGGATATCTTTTGACTTTTGCTCAGTCTGCTTTGCCCTTCGTAGCGGTGACACCGGGCTATGTTATTCCACCTAACTTCTGGGTTTGGACGTTTGTGACACATGCATTTATTGAAGTCCATTTCTGGGATGTTCTCGTAGATATCGCCGTGGTTATTTTGTGTGGAAAACTTTTAGAACCGTTATGGGGTGCTTTAGACATGCTTTTGTTCTTCTTGATTGTAAACACAGGGGTAGCGGTTGCCACGGCATTTTCATATTTAACATTTTACTTGGTGTCGAAAAATGAAGAGTTTTTGTTTGAAACATACATCCATGGACTTGCAGGTTACATTGCAGGGTTCGCAGTGGCTGTGAAACAGATCATGCCAGATCATGTACTCGTTACGTCTCCCTTTGGAAAACTCCGAAACACGCACATCCCTCTGTTGCTACTGTTTGTGGTGGTGACATTACGCCTGGCAGGTTTACTTGATGGTCCATATCCTTTCATGTTCGGGTTTGGAATTCTTATCAGCTGGATCTACCTTAGATTTTATCAGAAACATACAAATGGAAACAGAGGTGATATGGCGGATAACTTTGGTTTTCCTAGGTAAGGTATCAGGAAAATGCTTTAACAATTCTTTCCTTCAAATTCACACACACATACAAAAGGCCAAAAGCTGCAAGGCTCCATTGTAAAGCATGGTTTTCAATTATAAAAGAAAGAAAATCCAAATTTTATTTTGATGTAATGTGATGAAATGAAGTAGAATAAAAACAGGAAAGATGGAACGATTTATGTGGGCCCTATGTCAAACAAATTTGACCTCAACCTTTTGACCTTGTACATTTGACCTGATGACCTTGACCAGTGATTAATCAACTTATTTATTTCAGTCATAAAGCTTCATTTTAATATAATCCTCATGTGATATATCTTTTTATGGGATAATTTTCATGAACTAATCAATGATATGCTCATGAATTCTGACAGTCTCCTAAATATGGCAGCCATCTTTCCTGTTTAGGCAGATGTTTGAAAGAAACGTACTGACATCTTCAGAGGAGTCTCCCTACATGATCTGTCCACAACATCTGATGGCTTATCAATCTACTTAAGTGAATAAATACCTTTACAATTCTGCAATAGGCATGACAAATTTTAGTTACATATACTAGGAATCAATATAAACAACACTTTATACAGATAGTCCATGTAGAGAAACTTTTTAAGCCTTTTCAAATGCCTTGACCTACATCCTGACCTAAATTTCTCAACAACTTTGCCTGAAAGTGGGTGGAGCTTTTACATGATCAATGGTTGAATTTTGTTTTTAATATGAGATGGAAAAAACATATCTCCTAAATATATATCATAACAAAATATCTGTTGATAATATATTTCAAATTTGACCTTAATCTTTGACCTGGTAACTTGACCTGCAGTCAGTTTTGGATGGTGGATGTATAGATGAATAAATTTACTTAACTTCAACAAAAAATCTCTTACTCTGTAATATCATAGACTTAAAATAGTTGTATAATCATTCTTCTGTTTTAGCTTCTTCCCAAGTCAGCTTCAACCATTTGTTGCCATGTTTTCCAATACTGTTTTCCTGGCTCTAGTGAAGATTAAGATTTGTAAGAAGCCACAAAGAAAGTATGATGTCAGTTCGCCCTCCACCATTACCATCACCCTGCCTGGCACTGACCAAGATGCTGAAAGAAGACGGTAAGTCACACAAATAAGGACATGCCTGTATTGACAATTTACACACAGGACTGTCAGTTGTGAGTTAAAACAGTATACACTTTGCTTGAATATAGATTATACCTTTTTTAAAAGATATCAGAAGCACAGCATTGCTTGTACAATCATTATATTGGTTTTATATAAGGGAATCATTATATTGATATAAGGTCATCAAATATATCAAATTAGTTAACTGATTGGTAATGTGGTCTTCCAAGCAATCATTTCATGTTTAACCTTATAGTAAGCAAATATTTTAATACTGAGGACATACACACATATTAACATACACATATACCCCAACCTCCATCAACACAGAATGAAACAGGACATTGGAAAGATTCATTTCAACTTTTTAATCACACAGAAGTCACATTGATATATAATGTTTGTTACCCATGGGCACTACTCAGAATATCATTACTCAAGCAAAAAAGCATAAGCATTCTTTAGAAATTGCCGTTCATGTCTGGATTAACAATTTCTTTACTGACCTTTTTACCCTGATCAGGATGCTACATGTCAATACTTACTGTATTGATGTTGTTAACATCAGATCAAGTCTACTTCAATTTTCCCCTTAAGTGACAGTATTGGTTGTAATTGTTATTCAGTCTTATGGAAAATTGAAATATTATTTTATTATCTCTATATTCTTCTTTTAGACAAGTAGCATTAAAGGCACTTAACGAGAGGTTGAACAAGTCAGACCAGCCTGCGAATTGGCCGTCTTTGGTAGATGAGGAAGGCAAGACTTCTCCAGAAAACGGTTCCTCCCCAGCTAAGGAAAGTCTTGTCAAACCTGCTGCTAAACTCACCGACACAAAGGAGCAGCAAGAACAGGCACCGGGAGCACAAACATCGCCCAAAACTGAAAGCTGAATGTTAATTTATATTGAAGAATAAGATTATTTGAACTTTTAACCTTTTGTATCACTTATTAATTATATAAAGCAAGATGTTAAGATTGATTTCTGTGAACACTGTCTACACTTAGGATTAATATTCAAAGAGTAAAAATCCAACCAAAAATTGAGAGAAAATGTGAATATTTTCTTGAGGTTTCAAATTCTTTTGTTGAACACTCATAAACTAGAGCTAAACATGCAATGGTATGATAAATTTTCATTTTTATTTCACATTTTGAATAAACAACACTGACAGTGTATGTGTGGCTTATAAAGCCACAGCATGAGGGATTAACATTTTGACCATTTGTAAAGGACATAGAATTCTTATGTTATATAAGTGTTATGTTTTATAAAGTGTATGTGATAATGGATGTTGAATAATTTCTATGAAGTATTCTATGTTTCCAGAGTGAATAAAAAAACCAACTAAGATTATACAACTGCAATGATAAATGTTTCTTTGGTAATTACAACATTTTAATACAAAGCCATGTACTTTCAATACTACATTAAGACTGAATCTTTGCAAATATTGATAGGTTCTTTTTATGTAAAATTGTTAAGTAGTTGTCTCCCTTAACATTCTAGCATTCCTAATAGTAAGATCACTTCATCTACTGTGGTTGTATTGCCACAGTCTACCAATAGATTTGTTTGTGAAGAAACAAGAGAATATGTTGTACATTATGTCCAGAATATGACAATAAAAGACAAATTACACTTCATGCAATTAACATAATGATTGATCAAGTTGTGATTTATTGTTATCTTTAGAGTATAACTAAACATATTTCATAGAATAGTTTCACCACTATTGATGATTGTGATCAAACTCAGCGAGGATAATCTTGTGATATGTTTTTCTATTAATATCTCTTTAATTACAGAACAAAATCATCCAATTCCATTAAGTATTTGCCCATATCCCTTTGCAAGGCAATCTTGCAGTACATTTCAATTTCTTTTTTCTGCATTATGAAATCTTGGCTGGTGATGACATCATACAAATCATTTTAAATACTCTCAATACTTTGTAATATAATGTTATAAGAAATTGAGTTATTGATTATAGTAAAGGGTAGGTTTTTCATTGTAGAGGTACCTATTTCTCCTATGTTTATCTTTGAGAGTTATGTGCTGTGTACCGGTATGTATATATATGTTCAGCTTTCCTACATATAGACAGTTATGGGATAATGAAAATGGTGCCAGTCATAATTGATGTAGTAGAAATTTCCAAGAAGGTAAAATCATGAAGGTTTTTAAAGATGTGTTCCTGGTGTCAATGATATGTTGATATTTGTCTGTTGTGTTCGTTATGTGAATTTGATGGGACAGTTATACCATCCATCCTTTGTGAAAGCTAATGTTCATCCAATGAAACTGCATGGATACACAAACATGTTAATGAGGATGTACAAAAAGATGGCTAACTGTGTGTGTGTCAGGTTTGAGGATGAGATCTTAGGTTCAAGTACTATTCACATATAAGGACAGAAAAATGAACAGTGCCAGAATTTTATTTTTATCAGCTTTTAAAGTTTTATATGTGCTATCAATTTTGCTATATTGTGTAACAATATCTGTTTATAGTATTCTTGTATAAGAACCTTCTGGGGCCAAAAACAATTGTTGTCATCATAAAACAAAATTAAAGAAGTAAATTAGAAAATACATGAAATAGAATGTTCGTGTAAATTTGTAGGTGAAAATCAAGGCCAAAGGACAAGGTATGAAGTAACAGTTCATGATTCTGTAAGGGTTTATGTTATCTGAACTACCACATTCATAATTGTTACAGATATATAGTATGTAGTATATTGCTAAACTGTTTATAACAGGATTCAGGCTAAAGTGTCGGATCATGCTACGGACAAGTATGTAAGAGATATTCTGAGGTTGCCATCATAGGACTTTAATGTAGGCATAATGAAATTGACAATTGAAGTGTATACCAGGGTATATGTACTGGTCACAAATTATTTGTCTTTTATATATGTATATGAAGCAGTCAACCAATAGGAAAAGTAGATTGTGACCAATACATAAACTGTTAACAGAGGATTATAATTTCAAGGGGAATAACTGTGTATATCTTGATTATTCTTGTTAGCAAAGTATCTATTTTTATGTTTACTATGTTATCATACATAATAAGTAGTTAGTGTAATAATTTCTATAAAATATGTATATATTGATAACTTATTTTATTGTCTGTTACATCAAATGGGTGTGCTTTATGTTGTTTAGGTAAAATTTGTGTTTCACTGATAAATAAGGAAGTACTGTCTTGTGTTCTGCACTTCATTATGTTAGATTTTCAATTGTTTTCTGAGGAACTAATTAACTAGGTTAAGATGAAGCTTTGCCAAAACGGTGTCGTTCAGAATTTTTCATTTTTTATTGAATGCCCAGAAAAGGATCTAGATGAATATTGCAATAGTTATTTTAATGACTTTATGTGTTGGAATATTTTCTTGAGATTGGTAATGTTAATAGAAGTTTTCTTATAACACAACCAGTAGGTCTTCTTCTTGTTGTGTTAAAGGAACTTCTATTCTATGTATTTTGTTTGACTTTGTTGTGTATTTAACATGAAGATGCTAAATTGAATATTGAAGAGTCAATACATACCTTTAAAACATGTACTCAATAAGGAAGATAAAAAGTTATGTTAGAAAGATATTCTCAAAGTTCGACTGACTTGATGCAAGCATTCATTCAAAGTTAGACTTTTTCTTAAAAGATATAGGATTTTTGACAGGAAATAATTTTAGAAAATGCAGTAGTAGTAATTAGGGCACATATCAGAGATGCAAGTGCCCCATAGTAGTCACTCTGTCAGTCTGTCTGTCCGTCCACAAATCCAGACAATATACATAGTGAAGTCCAAATTTGTTAACCTCAGCCATGAATATAGGGATATGTAGCAACATGTCGGTGCCCTTGCTGACCTGTCATGTGTTCTAGTTTTAAATTGGCATTGTAGCACAACCGATCCAGCTGAATTCTGATGACTAGGTAGCTTAGTTGGTTAAAGTATGTCTAAGAGTTTGGAGTTCTGGGTTCAAATACAGGTTAAGCCGTATCAGGTTTTCATGATATGTAGTAATGTTATTGATGATAATATTAATTACCTTACACTTTCTTAGTGATGTTCCTTCTGTGTTCAGTGTTATACATTACTTTGTCCAGATTATCAGTAAACAGAGATGCTAACTAGAATTTTTAAGCCGTTTTCTTCATTTGTTATATAAACACCACTGTTCACCACAGTTAATGTTCTGATTTATATCTGTCCCTACAATATATGTTAGCTTTCTATTCACTGGTACAATTGTATATATATATGTAGACCTTGTTCTTGTAGTCTGCATACATATCTTTATGTACAGAGGTGTCATACTGGCCATATGATGTCTTCTTCCTCTTGAAACTGCTATTTATTTCAATATTTAGGATTTGTTTGTGTCTCCATTTCTTTACACTCAATCATGATTGTAGAACAGAGTTTATATCAGAACTTCTAATTTACGCATGAATATGATTTCAGATAAGATTTAAAATTTAAATCTATTTTTCTTATAATATGATTATTTATGTGTAATCTGATTCTTATTATTTCATGATGTCATTTTATTTCAATTTTTCGTTTTCTTTTTCAGGATAGAAAAAAATCAGATACATTGAAACTAGAATATACTTCAAATAATTTTCATTAACTAGCATAAATTTAAACTTTCCAAAACCCCTCCCTTTACGGTATGCTAAGAGAATTCTAGACATCTGTTACTGCCAAAATATAGACTGAATCAACAGGAGATTGTATTTATTATTGTTGAAATGAAACTTTGGATCACTATTACGGTAAACTAATGAAAACGTTTGGCTGAACAGTGACCAACCTAATGATTTAGATTGGCTGATTGTTCTTTGAATTAACAAAAAGGGGAGGATGATGAATTTAAATTTCTTTAGAAATTTAACAAATATGTGTTTTAATTTTTATGGCCAAATTGGGAAGTTGATTAAGTTGGCAGATTGTCTGGTTATTAAACCTATTTTTCTACTAGCGGTCTATATATATGTACATGTATATTGAAAGAGTACAGGTAATGTTGGAGTTGTTTTAAAGAAATCATTTTCTGTTTATGAAATATTTAGAATATATTATCTGTATATATTGAAGGGTTTAGCATACTTTTGGTTATTATGTTAACAATTGGAGTATGATGTGTTGTTGAAAGCTTACTGAATGTGATGACTGTTGATGACTGATAGAATATCTGTAAATACAAGCTAATTCAAAATCTTGTCTTGTCATTGTTCTATCTACCTCACACAACCACTCCTCACTCACTCTTGTTTTACTTGTCTATATTATAAGCCCACTATCATCAGATAGTTGTTCATCTGTGAAGAAGTTTTGTTACCACTTGAAAAGTATGGGATGGATCTTTCTCAGATTGCATATGTAGGTTCTCTTCAATCTTTATTGGTGCCCATTTGATTTTGGGACTGATCAGAAAAAAACATGGCAGACAGGTGGTCATCTTGGAATTTTACAATGATATTTGTTGTCGCTATTTCTTGAGAAGTACTGGATGGATCTCTCTCAAATTTCATATGCAAGTTCCCCTTGACCCCTAATTATGCCCATTTTATTTTGGAATTGATCAGAACAAAGTAGCTTAAAGCCGATGATCTTGAATTTTTCCCTAATTTCTGAAATTTCTGCGATTTTGAAAAAGAGAATTTGTTATTGCTATTTCATATGAAGAACAGGATGGATATGTCTCAGAATTCATATGTAGGTTCCCCTTGGTCTCTAGTTGTGCCTGTTTGACTTTGGGACTGATCAGAAAAACAAAATGGCTAACAGCTGATTATCTTGAATTTTGACCATGAAAATTTGATATTGCTATTTTCTGAGAAGTACTGTATGGATCTTCCTCAAATTTCATGTGTAAGATTCCTATTAACTCTAGTTGTGCCAGTTTTATTTTGGAACTGATTGGAACAACAAGATGGACATGAAACAGTCACTTACGAATTTGACAAAGGAAGATTTTTATTGCTATTTCTTGAGAAGTACTGGATTGATCTCTCTCAATTTATGTAGGTTTCCTCTGGTGCCACATTGTGCCTGTTTGATTTTGGGACTGATCAGAAAAGTGAAATGGCTGATCGGTGGCCATCTTAGATTTTTACAAGAGATTTGTTTTCTCTATTTCTTGAGAAGTACTGGATAGATTTTTCTCAAATTTCACAATACGGTTCCCTTTCGTCTCTTGTGCCTGTTAGAATTTGGGACTCTTTAATTTTGATGGAATGACACAGATGTCTATCATAGTTGCTTATACTAGATCACCCACTGTCAAAACCTTCATCTCTTAGGATTACAATTCATTCAATGTCGGGGTGTAGGATAGGTATATTTCATTGTTCTGTCACAAAAACCCTGGGTTTTACCACAATTTGTGATCTTGTGGGTGAAATATCCCATCCTTCACCCAGATATATGTTAGAGTATTTTTTCTCTCATTTCTCATTCTAAAATATGGAAAAAATATAGACTTCAGACATCAACAATTTACTAAGCCATATTACAAGAAAATTATATTGTTTTATAATGCTGTCAATTGACAAGTTGACACAGAAAATGAATTCTGCATGCCTAGATTAAGTAAACAAGATTTGCCCAAGAAAATTAAACCAAAATAAAAACAGTAATTGCAGATAAATATTGGTACACAAATGAGTACACATTGTATCAGGGGATAATGTCAATTGGGAAGGATCATATATTTCTACCCAAGTGTGCCTGTATTTCATGTCATTTCAAATAAAAGAACAGGGAACCTTGATATATTGCCCTAGACAGACCACAATTACACATATTGAAATGAGAGAAACACATGTATTCCATGTTGTGTACACTGTATTACTTGTCATGTACATTGTATATACATGGTGTGTACACTGTGTGTGTACCTGTTGTGTACACTGTAATACTTGTGGTGTACACTGTATGTACCTGTTGTGTACACTGTGTATACTTGTGGTGTACAATGTAATACTTGTGGTGTACAATGTAGTACTTGTGGTGTACACTGTGTATACTTGTGGTGTACAATATGTACATTTTGTTTACTTGTCGTGTAAAGTACTATTAGATGCCGTGTTTAGATACATCTATGAGTAATCCTCACCCACTTTACCAATGGTTGGCCTGATAATTCTCCAACACCATGATTCACTATTTGGCGTGAACCAACCCGTGAGACAACTCGAGCTATTTTTCTATTATATAACAATATATCAACACTTCTTATTCAGCAAGATCTAGCATACGTACTAATATTGTAGCGTTTGTACCGTGTTGAGGCGAATTAAAACCCTGTTTCTTTCTCGAGATATCATCTATTTCTCTGCGTGCCCAACAAACTATAATTTGGTCCTATCTACCGGACACGTGGATGCGACTAAATGGAAACAAAGAAAATAACATACCACTGTAATCAATTTACATGTGATTTAAATCAACTTTTAGTAAAGAAATAGTTCGATATATTTTTTTTATCAAAAAGGCACGAGAAAATAGGACATTAGAGCTGACATGCATTTCTCAAGTCCTCCATATGGATTACAATCTCCGTATACATAGTGCAGAACTTGGCTAACACTGTATAGTAATATGATGTACTTAACTAGAAACACTTCATCTCTAAAGTCTTGTGGTTAAAATGACAAATATTTGTCGTAATTATGCTTTAATGTGGTATATCGTTCTAGATATAGAATTTCTATCTGGTGCGCGTGCTTTTGATAGAATACCACAATCTACTGGTAACGTCGGGTTTATAAAGGGGGACAAGATTTGTACCGACTTTGAATTATTATATAAATCAGCGAAAGTGAGAATTCACTAAGTGTTTAAATCCTTAATCCTGCCCCCACAGAGAGTAATCGGATATACTACAAAGTTTACGTGAGAGGCCTGTATGGTCAGTTTTATCCGGAACTTCTTTATATCCTTAGACGACTATTTGTTCGGGAGAGAATTTGTTCCATGACCACCTTTTCGACTGTATAGATGCAGATTTTGTTTACCTTTTTTAAAACTAAAACAATATTTATTTAGTTAGTTATTGAAACACTTCACCTACAATATTGTCTATATTGTGTTTAGAAAATTAAAAATATGCGTTAGATTAAATATAGACTTGCAGACAAAAATTATTTATTTATGGTAAAAATATCGGGGTCCATAAGGATAACATTAGGGGTAGTAATCACATGATATCTGCACGAAACCCTTGGATTTCAAAGGTGTAAAATTGAACTTGGTTAATATTTTCTGATTATGTTAAGTATATCATAACATGTATACTCGAATGATACCATGGAAATTTATCTATTTATTTATTTATGAGCACTGTTCCGACTCGCCAGACAGAAGGGATACACAATTCCTGAATCTTGGCCGTTTTTGAAAAATGAATCGTGACAAACTGGTATAGTCACACAAGCTAGAAATGTCCCGCACTTGCTGAAATAAATGTAAACATATGAGGTTCGTGTGTTTATCAGATTCATAAATGTATGCAACATATGAAGAGTTACAAACGATGGTGTAAGTTATGCTAATTTGTGACCTAATTTGTTTTTACTATAACAAAACGTTTACTCGAGTTCTTATCGTCTGAATAACAGGTACCCATGTGATGCGAAAGACGTTCTGGAGTCACAAGATATTTGTCATACGCCTCACGTTTTGATAGTAGCGAACAAATTGTATACAGCTGAAAGTATATAACATAAAAAAGGAATTTCTCAATATATATACTGTTACAGAAAAAGGTAATATCTCAATATATATACTGTTACAGAAAATTCTCAATAAATACATTGTTACAGAAAAAAGGAATTTCTCAATATATATACTGTTACAGAAAAAGGTAATTTCTCAATAAATACATTGTTACAGAAAATTCTCAATAAATACATTGTTACAGAAAAAGGTAATTTCTCAATAAATACAGTTACAGAAAAAGGTAATATCTCAATATATATACTGTTACAGAAAAAGGTAATATCTCAATATATATACTGTTACAGAAAAAGGTAATATCTCAATATATATACTGTTACAGAAAAAGGTAATTTCTATATATACAATAAATACACTGTTACAGACAATGGTAATTTCTCAATATATATACTGTTACAGAAAAAGGTAATATCTCAATATATATACTGTTACAGAAAAAGGTAATATCTCAATATATATACAGTTACAGAAAAAGGTAATATCTCAATATATATACTGTTACAGAAAAAGGTAATATCTCAATATATATACTGTTACAGATAAAGATAATTTCTCAATATATATACTGTTACAGAAAAAGGTAATTTCTCAATAAATACAGTTACAGAAAAAGGTAATTTCTCAATAAATACAGTTACAGAAAAAGGTAATATCTCAATATATATACTGTTACAGAAAAAGGTAATATCTCAATATATATACTGTTACAGAAAAAGGTAATATCTCAATATAAATTGAAATCTTGCTACAAACTTAAATTCGACATGTTTATCAAATAAAGAAATATCTAAAAATCAGCGGAGAAATATCTTATGTGTTAAGAAAGGCATTTGGAGTTTTGAAGAAAAAAATAACTTAAAAGTTAACGAGAGTGTGAACGCTTACAAAACATTACATTTATTACCTAACGCATTCTTAATTCAGTGGCACATTTTTCAAATTGTTGATATCATTTCAATGCAATATTCAACAGCTAGTTATCCATTGAAATGGATACAAATACTGTGGATATCAAGTAACTTCTTGTCGCCGACTAGCGGGTACATTATGTATTGAAGAATTGATGAAAGCTCTAATCCCGATAATACTGACCGTCGGAGGGGCCAATTACTCAACCACTAAGCCGACAATCCACTACCTACGAGTTTATACCGGTCGGCATACAACAAAACTTAACTTCTTAATAATGAAATATATCTGGAGTGACCAGCTTGACCCACGAGATGTAACATGTCTTAAAAAATACTTGGTCACTCAGGTATAAAGGCTGACCGTGGTCTGGGTTCGTACATTTGGGTAGCGACAAGAGGACTGAGCAGTACCCAGGGTGACCAGTACTGACCAGAAGTGACCACTGAACCACGTGCCAGGTATATATGTTAGTATTCATATCGATATTTTAGTAGATAATACTGCGTGTCCCCATTAAACATAGAAAGCTGATATCACAATATTTGAAATGAATCTTGAATTTGAT